CACTTCTGCGCGTTTTCACGCATTTTTTGGTGGCCTGTGGTGGGTATTGAGTGGAAAGATGCCGGATCAGGCCTGGTGCTGCAAGTTGCCATGGCCAATTTATTTTCACTTTTTGCTGTACCCATCCTAGAGGATAAGCCAGCACCCAAAGTCACTAGCCGAACTGACCAGAGTCAGATACAGAATATCTCAAGTTCATTTTGTCAGTGCATCAATTCCGTTACATACATACTGGTGCAAATTTGATTATTTGCGAGAAGAAGAAAACGAACGAACCCCCCATTGATACCTTGAAACAGCGAAGAAAAAAAAGAAAAAACGACGAAGAGAAATAAAACTTTGATATCATGGCATCATCATCGGCAACGTAACTCTAAATTATACCCACCGAAAGCTCCACGGATTGGAACAGCGATTAAGAAAACCCAGTTACCAGCACTCCGACCTATCAAGTTAAACCCGCGCATATGTTTATTTCTTCCCTTGGTAACTTCCAGAAGACCCGTATCCAGGCCCTCCAGGCCCCCCAGGCCCCCCAGGTCCTTGGGTGGGGTTGTACTGTGCCGGGGGTGCCTGACCAGTGTACGGTCCCGGTTGGGAGTAACCACCCGGCTGTTGCCCGTACGGCAGAGGCGCACCCTGTGATCCGTATCCAGCCTGGAGACCAGGTGGGTGTTGATGACCAGAAGGCGGTTGTCCATATGGTGATTGCGGTGGTGCTCCATACGGCTGAGGCGGCGCACCGTGCTGCGGCCTGCCATGCGGCGGTGCCCCGTACTGCCCTTGCTGCGGGCCACCGTATTGCTGATGTGGGGGTGCACCATATTGAGAGGGAGGAGGAGCGCCATGAGAGCCGCCGTATGGGGGTGCCTGTCCACCAGGCCCTTGTGTAGGCGCCTTGGAATCCTCGTCCTTGTTGTCATACTGAGTAGAGGTTAGTAAAGGGTTATGGTTGGTAAGGCGTGGGAGCTTACTGTGCTATCAATACTTCCAAGAAGAAGCTTGGTATACCAGTGGTGCTTAGTAAGTGTGAGACCCTTTGACTTCCACTCAGAAGATTCCATTTCAAAGTCTGGGAATATTAGCAATTTAGCATTACAATCAAGGGAGTGTAGTGAAATGTATACTTGATGTGCAGTCAATCAACCGACCGATTGCCTTGTCCTTATCGAGCGAGGCTAAGAAATCCTGGGCACCCTTATCATTTCCAACTTGGGCAATTTGGAATGAGACAACTTCGCACACAGATTAGCCCATTTTATCATACGAATAGTATTGACTTATATTTACCTCCTCTACCCTGGAAATGGTCTGAAACTCTCTGGATATGTGACTGGAATTCTCCGTGCACATTGTCGGTTGGCCGGCCATCAGTAATGATGATTATCAAGATTGGCTTCTGGAGCGTGCCAGCGCTATCTGCAGCATAAACCAATGGATCCAAGATCTTGTTCTTCAGCGAGGTTGCCAATGGGGTGACGTCCTCAAATACGGCGGTATTAACAAGGTCTATAGCCTGCTTCTCGGTTCTGATGTTGTCACCCTTGATACCCTGGTTCATGAATCTGACCGAAAATCCATCCGTATCAAACAGACCAGTCGCGAACGCAACATTCCCAAGGATGAACTTCAACTCATCGATGAGTCCATCTCCGAAGCGCATAGAACCACTGTCGTCCAGAAGGAACACAACGTCAAAGAGGGCAAGCTTCACGAAGTCAAACCCGACCTCCTGCGGGACGCCCCAGTGAGCGCACAGCGTGTTGACAGGGTCTTTACTCGCAATGTCCTGTGCGATCTGGAAGAGTCTGGAATCAGGGTACATATGCTCGATTTTCTTATCTTTCACGCACTCCTTCAAGATACTCATCAAGACTTTGGCGTCTGGCGGGGGGCCACCAGATGTTGGAGGCGCTCCCCCGTAGGACTGGGGAGCACCGTATTGCTGCTGCTGTAGAGCTCCATATGGGGGCGCGCTACCGCCACCATAGGGAGGTTGCTGGCCCTGTGGTTGATAACCATAATAAGCATTTTGCACTCCATAGTTACTCTGCTGGTACGGAGGTGGGCGATAGTTTTGGGGAGTAGACTGTGAGTTTACATATGCCTGATACTGTTGCTGCTGTGGAGGCTGGTATCCACCATGAGGACCTCCGGGAGGTCCACCTTGCGGGGGGTAGCCACCGTATTGGCCTTGGCCTTGGCCTTGACCCTGCGGTGGCTGCTGCCCATAGGGTTGCCCCTGTGGAGCGCCATATGGCGCAGGCTGCCCACCGTAGGGTGCAGGTGGGGCGCCGCCGCCAGAAGCAGCGATCTTGCTTGCAAGCTGTGGATTGTAATAAGGGTTATACATCAGTCAACTAGTTCAGGTATTTAAGTCTTCGTATATGTGTTTGTGCTTTGGAAGAGGGGGTTTTGGGTACGGAGTTTTGGGAAACTGGTGGTTGCGACGCGAAAGGGATTTGGGGGGGTGGGGTGTAATGCGACAAGGAGGATATCGGGTACATCTTATATCTGCGTCCAAGAAAGGGTGTGATGATGAAGAGAATAATTGCCACGATGTACTTACTCCCATGATTTAGTTATTAGATGACGGAAAGTCTCGACGTGTGATTTGAATTTTGGGGTTTGTGAGAGCTACTAAAGTCCTTGTTACTGACGAGAGCGGCGGTGTATCAACTTTCAAAGAGTAAACAGGCTAGAAGAGTTGCTTTGACAGAATATGGAGATGGGAAATTGAGCACTGGTGGTGGGGAGAGCGGAATAAATAATAATGACGAACAAACGCTTATGGGGGCTGTACTATACGGTGATGTCGTCAGCCTAGGTCTCAACCTTGTCAGGTTTATTCAAAAATTAAAGGGAGGGGTACACTCGCTCACCTAGTGACGGCGGATCCTGGCTTCCCAAAGTTAACTCTGCTATTGGCCTCAAATTCCTGACCGCCATCAGACAGGAGCCGCCTTCACCCCATGAGTGAATATAGGTACCTTCTCATGTTTGGCTGCAACTCTACTTTTTCTAAAGTCCCTGCACTCTGATTGGTCGAGATCTAGAAACCCTAACCCTGAACAGCAACCAGCCCACAAGAGGTGGGGGTAGTGAAGACCCCTATTGAAGACCTTCCATAATTGTAGAGAAGGCTTGATATCCATAACCCCACCAAAAACCCCACCTTGACAACCAAACTCTCAACTGCTGTTTAACAGGCCAAACAGACCCAAAATCCGTTTTTATGAGACTCCGTTTGTCCTCGCCTAACGGAGCCGTTACTAAACGGAGTTTCGATACCTCCATAAGTTAACAGCCAAACGGGCCCTGATAATGCCTCACACCAACGGACAATCTGTAGGCAACCATAAGACAAGGAATAATGACTTTTGTCTTTTGAAGGAACACAGCCGTTTCCGGGTCAATGACAATGGTCTAAAAGAAACCACCAAAAACAGGCTAAAACTTTCCATTCGCAGTCTAACAAGCTTCACTATTATAAATCGTTTTTTAGTCTGGGCCAGTGGCTGGAAGATATGTTTACGTTTACAATTCCAACTATTGAAGACTCCCAATGAGCCTTTTTCTTCTATCCATAATCAACCTTTCTATCCATAATCAACCTTGTCAACCTTATACTATACCGAAACGGACGTTTTCTACATACATATGTAAGTAGATACCCTCATAGTTCAGTAGTGACGGATTTCGGCAGATCTACTTGAAAAAGCATGTAGTACTCGGGGCAGGCAAATACTCTAATGCAGGTTTCTTTCGACCTACCAATGGGTACGCGTGCTAGAAGTGCTAGTGATCGCTAGGGGGAGCAGCAACGGCGTGGCTGGGTACCTATCGCGGGTATTAGCAACCGTCCGCGTGGAAATTATAACATGAGCATCGGTGCACAACTCGATATGCCGGATTGACAAGTTCATACGATACGCATTCACGATAGCAAATTGATTCTAGAGTAGGAAAGATAAAATTCACAAATGATCTCGTACGGGATTGAGGACTGAGGCCACACCGGAGTGTCACGCCCAGGGCAGTTGCAACGCCTGAAGCATCACTTTTCCTACTAGTAGAATGGACACTTAAGAGCAGAAACATGGAATAAAAACTCATATATAATGAGTCTACCCTGCTGATATGATATGGAGTAAATTTCTCTAGCATTTTGTTAGAAAATATTTTTTTTGGTGAGGGTAGGTAGATATTGATTTCGCTCACTCAAAAGTTGACTGTTGCCGCGGACGCCTGTGTGGGTTTATATGGCTTGCCGGATCCGGATGTGTAGAGTAATCTAATCTGTGTACCTACATGTACCTACACATGGTACTGTAGGTACGTACTGTAGTTCTTGAACAAATCGATTGTATTCCACCACATCTGCACGTGCACCCACATGTTTCTGCGTTTTCTTGGAAATTGAATCGCTGTCACCTGTGAGTGAAAAATAGTATTGTCGCGCAACAGTCAGTTAAACGTGGCGCGCGGTTGTGCTGTTCTGTTTCTCGTGCACCTTGCTCGGTTACTAGTCTATCTTCGTCTTCTCCCTCATTCACTCACTCACGGGGCTGCTGACTTGCCATTTCCAACCGATCGAAGGGCTCGAGCTGCTACGCAACACCTTTCTCGCTATTACGCTCTCTCTCCTCTCTAGTATCTGTCTGTATCTCTATCTTTTCCCTCTTCTGCCACCGCCTCGACCAGTTCACACCCCCTCCCGTTCCAGTTCGACTTTTTTTTTTCCCTTAACCGCGTCCAATCCTTCTCTCCCATCACATCGGTCCCAGTTATTCAGCCACGCGAGTCCTGACCAAAACTGATCACCGCTACCAGCACTACTACCACCCAACTCCCAACCCCCCATCCTACGTGTGCTGTCGTTCTTGTGCCGTGACTCCTCAACCTCTGCGATATTTTGGCCGGATTTTCTTTCTTTCCTTAATCCTACAAAAATCTTTACAACCTTCTCTAGCCAAATAATAAATACGTAATATAGCGTGATGGGGAACTGCGGCTCCTCCTGTTCTCCTTGCTGCAGAGGTACTTGGTTCCTTTTTCGATATTTTTCCTGCTCGTTACGACAGGGTACTAACATGATACAGGCCGCACTCGCGATGGTCTATATGAGCCTGTTCTTCAGGAGAGCGAGAGAGAGGCAGTGTCAGACCTCCTGCAATATCTCGAAAATGTACGTCTCGTGCTTCTTTCCCTCACTAAGAGCTCCTGTGTGTGCCATTGACTTCGGTTGCTAACGTTTTTGCGATATAGCGTTCTGAAGTGGACTTCTTCGCTGGCGAACCCCTTCGAGCTTTGAGCACCCTTGTTTATTCGGATAATGTCGATCTTCAACGAAGTGCAAGCTTAACGTTTGCAGAGATCACGGAGAGAGGTGATATAAGCTCCAACTGCCTATGTTTATAAAAACCAGGGGGAGGAGTCCGTGTGCTGATGCTTGGTATCTTTGGTCAGACGTCCGAGAGGTGGATCGTGATACACTGGAACCGATACTCTTTCTTCTCCAGAGCACAGATATCGAGGTCCAACGTGCAGCTAGTGCAGCTCTGGGAAATCTTGCTGTCAATAGTATGTATTCGAATTCGCTGCACGTTTCGCACGGGTTCATTTCTTGAAATGCTAACATCGAACTAGCTGAAAATAAGGTTGCTATCGTTCTCCTTGGCGGGCTTGCGCCTCTAATACGGCAAATGATGTCAACCAATGTTGAAGTACAGTGCAACGCTGTTGGTTGCATTACAAATCTCGCTACACATGAAGATAATAAAGCAAAGATTGCAAGGTCAGGCGCATTGGGTCCATTGACTAGATTGGCGAAATCAAAAGACATGAGAGTACAGAGAAATGCTACGGGGGCTCTGCTCAACATGACGCATTCAGGTGCGACAACAATAATAACAGACCCCTTGCATATGAATCCGGGCAGCGTGCTTACTCATTGTGCATTTAGACGATAACCGACAACAACTGGTCAACGCTGGAGCAATACCCGTTCTTGTCTCACTTTTGTCTTCACATGATGTTGACGTCCAGTACTACTGTACCACAGCTCTTAGCAATATTGCGGTTGACCAAGCAAACCGAAAAAAGCTTGCGCAAACGGAACCTAAGCTTGTCTTCTCTCTTGTTCATCTAATGGATTCATCAAGCCCGAAAGTCCAATGCCAGGCCGCATTAGCACTTAGAAACCTAGCATCCGACGAAAAGTATCAATTAGACATAGTCCGTGCAAAGGGCCTACCACCTCTACTCCGCCTTCTTCAATCGTCATTTCTACCGCTCATACTGTCTGCCGTGGCTTGCATCCGGAATATTTCGATACATCCTCTGAACGAATCACCAATTATTGAAGCCGGCTTCCTCAAACCACTGATTGACTTGCTAGGGTCAACAGATAACGAGGAGATACAGTGTCATGCTATATCAACTCTGCGAAACTTGGCCGCAAGCTCTGACAAGAACAAGGAGTTGGTATTAGAGGCTGGCGCTGTGCAAAAATGTAAACAGCTTGTTTTGGATGTTCCACTAAGCGTTCAATCGGAAATGACGGCAGCTATCGCTGTGTTGGCTTTGAGTGATGATCTGAAGTCACATCTTTTGAACTTAGGCGTATTTGATGTTCTCATTCCCTTGACTGCCTCGGAGAGTATTGAGGTTCAAGGGAATAGTGCGGCCGCGTTAGGAAACTTATCCTCGAAAGGTAAGGCGAATTTTTTTCTCCCCCATATCTATACTTATAAGATGCTAACTTGACTGTTAGTGGGTGATTACTCAATGTTCGTACAGGACTGGTTGGAGCCTGAGGGCGGTATTCATGGTTACCTAAAGAGGTTCCTTGCCAGTGGAGATCCAACATTTCAGCACATCGCCATTTGGACACTATTGCAATTGCTAGAGGCTGACGATCCACGACTAAAGGATCTAATCAGTCAGTCGACGGAAATTGTCACTATGATCAAAAACATCGGTGAGAAGAACATCGATTCGGATGATGAGGGCGAAGACGGTGAAGGCGAGGTCGTGGCATTAGCAAGGCGATCTGCCGCCCTGCTAAACGGCAGTGGTAACTTCGGCAAAATCCAGTAAATGGATCATTTAGGACTCTAGTGGGATCTATCTCTTAATCATCTGAGATGTTCTTTGTTATTTTTGTGTGATTCCATATTACGAGCAACCTGGACCTGGCTGGCACATATGGGGTTTACCCTAAATGTATTGGTTGTTATTCTCTATCGCATTCATGCGTCCTCTCTTTTATTTTCCTGCGATTACTACATCTTTGCGTTTCAGATCTTCTACGCACAGCGAATTTTGTGCTGGGGAAGCAGTATTGAGCAGGCTTATGAGCCATGAATTTCGTTGTTTTTATTGCATTTTCCCTTCCCTTTTCTTTTATTGCTACTACGGTGTTATCAGGTATTGAGCGTGGGAATGTTCACAGGAGCTAAATTGCAAATCGTTGAAAAAAGAAAAAAAATCGAAATGTATTTCTTTTTGTTGCACAAGTTGGAGCTGAAATTGGAACTGTTTTCTTTTTCTTTTTCTCTCTCCCCCCTCATTTTCATTTCCCTTTGCTGGGTGTATCGTGTCGAGCACGCGGAGCCTTCTCTTACGGCTGTCGCTGTAATTTCTATTCTAGGCCTTATGTTTTTTTTATCTTGACCTACACTTTGGAAAGAGAGAAAATAACAGGACCTATTTTTTTATTAATTTCCTTTGTCATTTTTGTGCTATCAATCTTTTTGCTTCTGCTTTTTTGCTTTTTTGAGATGGAGAAAAAAAATTGGCCCTTTTTTCTTTTTCCCTCTGTTTTACGTTTGCATGGAGGCTGTTGTATAAATCACGACGAGGATGATGATGAGGGCTGGGAATTGGATATACTGGATATAATGTGAGAATGATAAATTTACTATGCCTACAGTACCAGTGGAGTGGGTGCAACCTTGGTGTTTCCAGCATTCAACTCGTTTTCTCAAATTTGTTCATATAATGTTTATTACAACTGCCTTGCATCCTGGGTTGCGTGGCCTAATGGTTAAGGCGCTGGTTTTCGGTTATGAATATCACCAGAGATTGGGGGTTCGAGTCCTCCCGCGATCGGACAATTCTTATTACCTTTTGAAGATGGGGTTAGCTGGCTTTGTTTGCCGCCTTTTTTAGTTGCTACTTCGGTGTAGTGTTAGCGGTGTGATGATATGGGTAAACCACACCCCAAAATCTTCCTAAAGCTCAAAGAACCTTGGCGAGGGCCTAGAATTAATTTTTCGGCCATTTACCCCATAAATTGGAGCCTGCAGAGGGCGGTAGTGAACTGGCGAGGCTTCATTGCGTTGCCGGACCCTTTTTACCACCCATACATGTACGTTGGCAGAGGCGGGGTTGTTTCCTTTGGGATACATGGAATCGCACCTGCACATTTAGATAGGACCGACACATCGATAAGACTCCCACTGTACAGGAACTTTACATTCTTTTCCTTTCTGCCTCTTTATTATGCCATCGCTTTATGATCTGATAGTTTGCGACAAGACGCCTTCTGATTCCTCAACGAGGAGGCTATGTAGCCATTTTTTTTCTTTTCCAATGTGAAGTTCTATCTCCCGGCATGTCACTACGTTAGTGCACTTAAGCTTTGCGGCAGTGCATGCATGTGTTGTTTATTTAGGCGAGTGGGTCAGGGGGCTATGGTGAATCATTTATGCTCACTCGGTCGGTTTTTGTGGGTGGGGTTGGTGTAGTATGCAGTCATGGAGTGTCACTCGGTTCGGGGTGATGGAGCGTGACTGCATAGGGCTGTGGGTAAGCGGGTGAAGTGGGGGGGAACGGGCTGGAGGAGGGGTTACATGCTAAGGAGTAGGGGGATGGGTACTAGATAGGAATTCTAAATGAAGTTATTGATTATTCTATCGGGAACGCATTAGATTTATCATTTCTAGGGTAGGTACCTAGGTACATATAACTATTGAAAAGACAAAAACTCTAACCCTTTCTCTTTCTTACTCCCTGTTTACCCATTTTATCTTTCCCCGTAGTCACCACACTGCCCTTCTTCCCCCCCAAGCCCATTATCGCACCTACATCACTTATCCCCTTATCAACCACATCTTCCTTGATCTCCCAGCTCTTCACAACCTCTTTCACCTCATATCTCTTCTTCTCTTCACTTCGACTCTCTTCAATTCTCCTCACATACCCACCAAACACAACAACCTCTGCAATCGCAACAACCAGCGAACAAGTCATCGCAAGCGCCAGTCTTTCGGGCACGTCCCAGCTATTGGCAACCATCCACACCGCCACGGACGTCGCCACAACGGATAGCAGGATATTGGCGATAATGCTCAGGTGCGACTTCAGGTCGTTGATCGTATACTCCCCGTCTTCGTCGTCGGCACTGGTGTGTAGCTGTTGGGTCAATGCCGCGTAGGCGCGAGCTTCCTCCTCGGCCCGCAGGCGCCCCATGAACGCTGTGTATTCGGGAGTCTATGCGTGTCAGCATGGAAATGTGATGTGTTTGTTTCTTCCTAGAAAGACAAAAAAAGGAAAGTAAGACAAAACAGCGACGTGGCATGACCTACAGGTGCTGGTTTCGGCGGCTTGGGGGGTGTGTAGACTGAGCAGCCCTTTAGCAGGGCGCTGAACCTATAGGTGTCGACATTGTGGGCGCGTGTGAGGGCTCTCGAGATGCGGTGGATGGTGTGGTGGTCTATGGATGGGGTGGTGGTGTTTATGGGATCTGTGGTAGTTGGGAGGGTGTTGTAGAGGTTTATGGCAGCCGTGAGGTGCGCGGGGAGCGTTAGCTGGACCATGATGGGCTGGACTTTGGTGTTTTGGAAGGTTACGTTGCTGGATACTGGGGTGGTGATGTGGGCCGAGGTTCATACATGTGCGTTATCATTACTAGCAATTTGTTGGTGTCACGTGGACGTGGATAATGCACAGCAAAAATATCTGAAGTCCAGCTTCTACATCAAGTACCCTAGCTGTAGATGATTCACATATCACAGCGATGGGAGTGTGTATGCAGTACTCTAGATGCATACATGCATAGGTACACGTATCCTTCTCTATAAGCAAGTGCCTCTTACTTAAACAATATAAATGCTAATAAATCCCTACTCCGTAATCGGCGTGCAGTAGAAAATTAGTAAGGGCAGTAATAGTAGGTAGAAAGTAGCCAAAGTCCGTCACTACATAACTAACTCCTTCTTAATTAATAGATGCCAAGACTCCACTATCGAAGGGCTCGGAGGAAAGCAGCCCCAACCCTTACTCCGATTCCTCTTGCAAGTGTAAAATAATCAACGCCCTACTCTAGGCGAACAGATAGGCGAATCGGCGTCCTTGGTTCCTCCGCGCGCGGCCACTCTGAAGCCACCGACCGGTAGGTTGTCTCCCCGCACCACGGGGCCCCTCCGAGAGTAATAATGCCTTAAGCTAAAAGTGACTTTGTTACATGTATATAGAGAAGACGTGGTCGCTACTCTACCTAACTACCTACCTCCACCACCAGATCAATACCTATCACTACTAGCGATATCTACATCCAAATTATCCATCTAAATACTCTAATAATGGCTTCCCAAATGCCAATGTTCATCGAAACGCCCGTTGCCACGATCCCTCCTCTCCATAACCGCCTGCACAGTACCTTCTCCACGCTCAAAACATACCCGCTCGAGTACCGTCTCGAGCAGCTAAATAAGCTCTACTGGGCTGTCAAGGATAATGAGCAACTCCTGGCCGATGCACTACATGCAGACTTCAGGAAGCCTTATCATGAGGTCTATCTGACGGAGATCAACTGGCTCGAGAACGTGGTACTCGGCATCATGAAGAATCTGAGGGAGTGGGCGAAGGATCAGCCGATCAAGGGTGTACCGATGACGATGAGTTTATTTAATAAGCCCAAGATGAGGAGTGAGCCGTTGGGGGTCGTGTTGATTATTGGGTATGATTATATCTCTCTTAATGAGATTGTGAGGGCGGGAGTGGGGGCCTTTTGGAGCATGGGTTGGACAGAACTCGAACAGAGGATGGGTCCTCTTTTGTCAATTGCTCGAGCTCCTGTCCAATCCATGCTGTTAGAAGCCTCTAATGTTCTCGCGAGATCTCTGTCAAATCAGTCCTCAAAGCTCCCCAAGAGCCAGAACTACTTTTTCCCGTCCTCCGATCATTACCACTTAACTACCTGTCGATGCTAATATCTACATTTCAAAATACACATATACCACTTTCTTACATTATGCCCTGTTATACCCACGCCAGTATAAAAGCTAATACAGATCCGCATAGACCCTCAAACTTCCCAGCCCAGCTCGTTCTGCATCCTCTCATTGGAGCCATTGCCGGCGGCAACACTGCCGTAATCAAGCCTAGTGAGCTCACCCCCAATACCTCTGCGATCGTAACTCGCATTGTCGAGGCCCTTGATCCTAGCGCATATAGCGTCGTCAACGGCGGTATTCCACAGACCACGCAGCTACTTGACCTTAAGTGGGATAAGATCGTGTACACTGGGAGTACTCGTGTTGGCCGCATTGTCGCCGCTGCGGCCGCAAAGAACCTTACTCCCGTGCTACTGGAGCTGTAAGCTGTCCTTCCTGGTCCCAGTAGATTAATGTAGAGCACTTGCCGGAGTTTTTATTGTGTCAAGCTTTATCTATCCTTCCCCATTGGGGCCCGTCTTACAGCGGCCTGAACTTTGGTCTCAATGGGGAAGAATAGGTAAAGCTTGACACAATAAAAATTCCGGCAAGTATAGTAAAGTACAGTAACTGATCTTTATATAGCGGAGGTCTTAACCCCGTATTCGTGACTGCCAGTGCCAACGCAACCATCGCTGCCAAACGCACAGCCTGGGGCAAGCTCCACAACGCTGGACAGATCTGCATAGCACCCAACTATGTCCTCGTGCATCCGTCGCAGGAGCAGGCGTTCGTTCAGGGCTTTATCCAGGCTATTTCTACGTATCTTCCCAATGGCGCCAAGGGGTCACCAGACATGGCTAGCATTATTGATGGGCGCTCGTTTGAGCGCGTCAAGGGGCTGCTTCAGACTACCAAGGGGAACATCCTGTGCGGTGGGGGGGTGGACGAACACACGAGGTTTATTGAGCCGACATTGGTCAAGGTGAGTGATGTGGGGGATACGCTGATGAATGAGGAGATCTTTGGGCCGGTACTGGCAATGTTGGTAGTCGATAATGTCGACGAGATGCTCAATATTGCCAGAGGCATTGGGGAGACGCCGCTGGCGATGTATGTTTTTTCATCAGAGAAAGAAGAGCAAGAGAAATGTAAGTGCCTAGCTTTAGTTAGGAATTTCGGAGTTGAGAGGGAGAGAGCTGACTTTTATTAGTAATGCGTGGCATGAAATCCGGCGGCGTCACAATCAACGAGTAAGTTCTAATTGAATCCTGACTCTAGTCAAAAACATTAAAACTAACAATACTAGCGTGATGCTTCACGCTAGTACGACAGACGTCCCCTTCGGCGGTGTCGGCGAGTCTGGCCACGGCAAGTATCGCGGCCGTGATACCTTCGAATCGTTTGTGCACAAACGCCCTGTATTGTCGCAGCCCATGTGGATTGAGAAGCAGCTGCGGTTAAGATACTCGCCGTACACGCCGGAAAGTCTCAAAATGATCAAATCGATGCTGGGGGACCCAAAATCACCGTATGGTAGGGACTGGGATGGGAAGTCGGCGCCACTTTGGTGGAGAGTGTTGAGTTTTGGGGCAGCTGATACGAAGGGTATGTTGTTGAGGTGGGTGGTTCTTTTGACAACGTTGTGGCTTGGTAAGTCACTGGTGGCAGGTCTTGAGAAATAATAGGACAGATTGGGTTTTATGGGTGCGTTAATTATGGCATGCAATTGACAGAATCCCTTTTAGCAATACCTCTATAGCGATAGTTAGTTAGCTTGCTGGGGGCTTTTTCTTTTATATCAGGATGTGGCTTTTTGTATGTAATCAGTTTTGCTGTTTTTTTTTTTTTTTTTACTGAATTTATCGCATTCTCTCCGGTCTTACTATCAAACATGTAGTGAAACTTCCGAAAACAGAGTGATTAATCTATATGTGAAGATATTCATATTATACTATCAATTTTGTAGTGTACGTACGTATTCTAACGCCTTAAGAAAACCCGCTGTAAGGTCTATCTCTGTACAGCCTAGCCCCCCTTGCTTACTAGTATCAAAATTGATAGCCAAAAGTTGTGGTTAGGAGGCCACAGAAAACAGCATCATGAAATATCACTCACATAGCAACACAACCCTGACTGTATAATACTCATGTATCCTACGCACTTCCTAGTTAGTTTCAACCACGTCTTGATGCCTATTAATCTGCATTATAGTCATCTGATTTTTTGGCCCTAAGTTATCTGCTGGTGGGGCTGGAGCTTCATATATTGGTGGTAAACTATACTGACCGAGCACAAAGGAAATCCAGTGCTACGTTTTTTCGCCTTCCCATCGAGATATAACTATCCATTATCAAGCCTCCTTCCCGTGACCAGGGGAGCACACAACTCAGTGAGTCTTATCGAGATAACCTTGGCCAGATGTAACCGTAGTTCACTGAGTAGCTGACATACTCTTGGCTACGCCGCCTTCTACCCTCTATCCACCATGGCCATTGGCTAGCAGTGGCTATATTTATCATAGACAGCTGCCAGGTGGCGGTCTTAGGTCTTCGCACATATGGTGGAAAGTACTCAGGATAAGGATTTCATGGCGGTGGATCAAACTGAGGGGTGTCTAACTGGCCGGGGTAGATCATGACGACTGCCTAGAGCTGAGGGATAAGGATAGGTTGTGCGCTTGCTCTAGATGCTGATCCCTTGATGTACAATTACTCTATAAGGCCTTGACTGCATGTACTAGTTATAGTAAAACATCTGTTCAATGTGGTTGGCCCTCCTTGCGATGGTACAAGAAGGCCCGGGAGTTCTGGGTACCAAGGTACCAATATACATTCATGTGTCATGGTAAGGTTTTGGCCACTCCGACTCAGATAGCCCTTATCTATCACTCGAGCTTGTTTTTCGAGTGAATTTGGCGTCATGGGCATGTTTTAATAGAGTGAGGCTATTTTCAAGAGAAACTATGCTTACATAGACGTACCATGTCATGTAAAGCAGCAATAGTCACAGGAAATATAGGAACCTCATAACTCCTCGCTACATACATGTAGTTCTGACAAGCATTAATTCCTCCGACTAAATCAACTTCTTTATGTCCAATAATAGATTACTCGTAGAATAGTGCCGAATCTAGAGCTTAAAAATCGTCTTAAAAGGAACTACATGAACTAACATGCATGAAGAAAAAATTTGAGAACCAGACCAGTAGTATCTGTTAAGCAGAATACATCAGTAAAAATGGGCTCGATTGATATTACTGTTCAAATCTTCTAAACAAAAAAAATATGAGGGAGTCCAAAAGATAGAAAACAGTTTCTCAAATGATACATAGCCACTGTATATGCAAGTTTATGATATATTTAAACCATATACTCTTTGTTGCATCTCTGATAGCCATACCCTCCTTTGATCAGCATCTTGGAGTCCTCATCGTCACGCATTGCTCGATAGACAAAGGGGTTTTCCTGATTGTTGACGTGCTGCGCTGCACAATTATCCTCATAGGATTCCTTGCAATGGGAGATTGCCGTCCTTAATACATCGGGACGGTTTCGTAGGGTGTTTAAGAAAGACTGGTATTTGCTGTGGTCGGTGACCGCGAAGGATGATATAGCTATAATGTTGGCTATACCGCCGGCACTACTTCCCACCTCCAGCCCCAATACACGAACTGCCACCCTGTGGTTTCCAAAAGTACACAACTATCCATGCCACCATGGGTTTAGATCTTGAAGCCTTTCGTTGGGTCTTGGGAGATGAACACCTACTTCCCCTGGAAATCCTTTGCCTTCACCCCTCCAGCTTCTACCGTCGCACATTTTACTAGTAATGGCTGCCGGCAGTAAACTTATATCGTATCCTTCACGCATCATTAGGCTAGGGAGTAGCCAGAACCTTACTTCTCCGGTGAATAAGCCACTCGCGACTGAGCGTCTGAAACTAGTGTTCTTCGGCTCCAAAAGTCGCAGCTCTTTCGACACCCTGTCCTTTCCCTTCCACCTCTCCACTGTCTCTGACATTTCTGTTGTGCACCGTACTCTTGTTCTACCCATTCGAAACCCTGACCAAGTTTTCTTTTTGTTTCGTGTAAAGTCACAGATAGGCCTTGGTCAATTGCTTTTCGATCTCAAAAAAAAAAAAGAATATCGTATTTCTTTTGTTCTTCTTTTTCTTCAGTTGCTTTACTGTATTGGGTTTTCTCAGGAGGGATGAGGAAAGCTTTCTACGTCTCTCTCGTCCCACTTGATTCAAGATTTTTGCTTTGGGTGATTATTCAGAAAGTGCCAATTGTCTCTCTTGCCTAGTTTCTCAGCTGGGCTCGGTATCTGAAAGTACTCTTTTGCAGCTCAACAGCAACCGACTTTTGCACTTCACCTATTCTCTGTCGTTTCCTTCGAACTTGCTTTCGTATAGATCCAGAGCGGCGCGATGCCGATATATTTCGTGGATTTCTATGTATCGTGGAAGGCATAAAGTGCAACTCGAGCAAGAGTGCAGAAATGGAGGCTGACGACGAGTGACGATAATAGTTTGTCGTACTTATACTGATATAGGATTATAATTAGCTTTCTCCAAGGCCCTCCGAAGTAGATCTTGAGAGGAGTAATATTAACTTGTCAGCCCTGAGGTGATTGCTGTTGTTGCAACGAATTGAGCTCGAAGGTGGTTATCCGTAGCCGAGTTGCCGAGTCGAAATATGAGTGCCGTTGGACGTGTTCTTATATCCAAAGTAAGCTCAAAACTGGCAGCGAGAATTGAGAAGTTTGCGGGTGGAGGTAGGTCCATAGAGAAGTAACAGGTATAAGGGATGAAAGGATTGAGGGGCTTCTCACAGCTATCCAGTTAGAGCTATCAGATAAGCTGATTGCACAATTATGGCTGGTGTGTTCACCCAAAGACCCAAGCTTCGAATTGACGTCTGGAGACTAGGTCGAGGGAGCTATGTAGTTCTCTACAAAGTGCGGGGGGACTCAGCGGGGTTTATGTAGACGGGCTGGTTCCTTGTCTTGCTCAAAGATTACATGTACCTACAACATATGCATGTACCTCTACGAAAATGCATATAAATATGGTTGGCCCACTAGCCCGTGGGATTAAATTCACAAACACGGCCAAGGTAAAGTACTACCGCTAACAAACCTACGTCTTGTAACTTAAATTGTAAACTCCAACGATGGAAACGGGAAGAAAACATATGCAGAGATCATCCAATCACTGATCGGGCCAGCGTGCATTGCGCATTTGGCCCTCTGCGTAATTTTACAGTCAGCAGCCTCGTTGTTGAGCTCGTAATTAGTATGACGTGCCCAATCCAGACCTGGTGACGTTCCTTCAATCCAATTGGTCAAGAAGTTCGTATTTAGTACCAATTCCACAAGTACGATTACCTCAGTTCATGTATAGAAAACTTTTGTAATCTTTTCCTCTATTCTATGCGGCGATGTTCCAATCTGCTCGGTCAGATTTCCAAAATCCGATAAAATACCATTTCAGCTATCGATAAATGCACCCTCTGATTAATTTGATGTATTGGGCTATCATGTATTGGGCGAAAAGTGCCTTTGTATGCCTGGGCACTCAGTGGTACAGTAGTAGGCTGAGTTTTGGAATAGCTATCTGCGACAAACTTGTAGCGAACCACATATGGTGTAACAGCATTCACTATCACCCACATCATCAGTAATCTTGTAGGATCGAACACAGCCTCATATAACGCAGCCTTCCGCGCCGGCAACAGCCAAGAACAATTTAGAGACGAAATGGAGCCTATGTATCAGCTTCTCCTGTAGGTTATATAGTAGACACATATCGGGTAGAGCACTAGTGTTGCCAAACAAATTCTAGATTGAATGTCAATTGACGAATCCAATTGACGGATCCAATTTGCGGACTCACTCGCCTCAAGTAATGCAATAGGAACTGTACCAGATATTTTGTATATTGTATGTAGAGACTGTATATTAACTAAATAACTATCGTAGAGAATGTGTATTACTATCTTATATCTGTAGAGACTGCGTATTAACTACCATAAAACTCCTGGCTGCATGCTAATTAATAAATGGTATATCAAACGAAAATAAACAAGGTAAACAAATTCGAAACAAAACAAATGTGGTTGACTCTAGAGACTGTAAGAAATTAAGAAAAAAATACAATGAAACGGCGACACATCGAGTGATTCGGATGGCGAGTGAGATCTGATGATCCCTGATACTCACTCAGTTTGACAGACCACAACACGTCAAGTACAAAAGCGATTTCCAAAAGTTGGTTGATAAATTGCCCAATATAGATGCCGATCCATAAGAATATATGCATTCTCGCTGAAAAATATAAATATCCACAAGGAGAATCATAAGAAAAGGAGAATCGTAAGAGCCCGCCCAAACCGTGCACCTCCCGCCAGAAAAAAGTCAAATGATAAAATAATCAAAGGAATCAAAGGAAAAAGGAAAACGAGAAAAGGAAACGATGCAATGCGACAAAAAATAGACACCAAGTCCATGCGTCATTCATTCGTGAGAAAGGGAAAACGTAATCATCCATCGACACGGCCCCTATGGGAAAATAAACAAAACCCTAATCCATCCATATGAGAAATGAAAAAATGAAAATGAAAAAATGGAAAACCGCTTAGACGCAATAATAATGGAGAAATAAACAAAAACAGGAATATTTAAGGGAATAGGAAATAGGGAAAAATAATATAAAACGAAAATGCAAATGCAAATGCAAACGCAAAGCAAACGCCAAAAAAACAAGTCTTTTTTTTGTACGACTTTACAAGCCGTAAGAGGATGATCTGTACAACCCACCAAAACCTAGCTCAGCACTAGGAATGGTGGACTTTATTCACAGTCAGGGTCAACCCCAGATGCAACTTAGCCCAAGCTGTATCTCATGGGCGGGTTCTTTGGTACACCCATAGCACGAGGACCCTCCACGCCCCTTCTGCTCTCCACAATGCCTTTTGTTCTCAGCTGTTTCTCGGCCCACTCTGCACGATTCTTCCAGACTTTCACTTCCTCTTGGGCCTCCCTCAACATATGGCTCAGAGCACCGGCGTTGGCAACATTCTGTGCCAATTCCAAGTCCTTCTTTGCTTGCGCAGCTTCCTCAGTCTTTACATCCAAAAGTCGTTGCAACCTTCGGATCTCAGTATGAAGCGCAGAGTTACCGCGCTTTTTTGTGGGAGAAGGTGCCTCGGTATGATCTTCTCTCCAGACGTACCGATCATCAACATCACTATCGATTGAAATACCTCGAAGATGAAGGTTCGGTGTTGCGGGTTGAAGAGGGGCAGTTGTAGGGCGTGATGGGGATTCTGATGGGTTGCGACGTGTTGGTGGACGCATAGGGACTTTTGACATAGACTTTGTGGCCTTGTGGGTAAGCTTGACCTCAGACCTTGCATTGGGTCTTGTCAAGGTGAGCATGGGACTCGCAAGGACAGGCGACTTGCATTTGGTCTTGTCTTCGAAGATCGAGAACGCAGGTATAGTTCTTGTCTTTGGTATCTTGTTCTTGATGTTCAAAGGCTTCGGAGTTGTCTCTGGGTCTGTGCTAAGAGAGAACTCCCCAAGGTCAAAGTCTCTAAAGTTTGTAGGAGTGAACTCAAAGTCCGGAATCTCAGTCGGAGTTTCTGAAGGCACGCGTGGTTTTTCCGGTAGCATTTCGGACGCAATGATGGTGTTATCGCTTCCCATCCTTGTTTGACCACCGAGGAATGCACGTTGGAGTCTTGTGGCAGCTTGAGCAGCAACCTCAAGCCCTGGCGATGAAGCACCTGAACTGTTTGATGAACTAGATGCCGAGCTCGGTGTTACTGGATCGTAATCTGCTACTTGTCTGAGCTGGGAAGGCTTTACACTGAAGTTAGGTCTGCGGCTAGGTGTGTGTATGGGTGTTTCAGGATTGTGAGCAACCCAGTTTGGCGATCCAGGAGTAGACTTGGCACCTATCGATCTGGTAGGTGATCTGTTTGGAGAGGGTGCCTCAGGAACTGTACTCATTGGCATTGACAGGTATGGTGGTGCGCTAAGGTATGGAGTCTCGTCATCCTCTTTAAGGGTGTCATGAGTGGAGAATTGCATAAGATCTCCAATTTGCGGCGGTGGCTTGTGGAATGACGGTGGGTTGAGGCCCTGAAAGGGTAGGATGGACTCGTCATCTGAGGCAATTCTGCTACGAATTGTGCTAACACCCCGACGGCTACGCATAGATGCTGTTTTCGTCGCCCGTATAGATTGTGACAGTAACCTTTCCTCTTGGTTTTCTTCTGGAAGTTCTTGCTTAAGCGAAGGGAGATCATAGGCTTGGGCAGTAATATTCAAGGCATCGATCTTCTTCAGCTGGTAAGATATCTCTTCCCAGTTGTTGATAAGCATATCACACACCACAGCAGCGCGCTTTGTCTTTTCGTTTTGCATCTTGTTGTAAGCACTGCTGTGTCGGTGAGAGTACCTTCCACGCTTTGAGCTGATATCTGGCACAGGTGAGATCTTTGGTAGTACAAGTAAACCACCCCTGTCGTCCATCTCCTGCAACAGAATCTGTTCTGACTTATCACCTAAGAGTAGAGGTCCAAAGATTATCCCTAGCGCATCCTCCTTCATTGCCTCGAAAAGGTTGTGAGGGTCCTTCAGCTTGGATTCTTGCTCTTGCTCTGAAGCAAGGCTAACAGCTCTCAAAAGACCAAAGACGGCACAGATCAGAGCGATCCTAAAGTGAAGATTGATAGAGGCGATAGCTAGAGCAATCATGCGAGGTTTTACTTTCCGAGACATCTGTTCCCCGAGTGATGGGTCAGGGTAGACAAACGAGTGAACGTTGTACAATGCCTGGAAAACTGCAGGAGAGCCAAGAAGTCCACCAGGAAGTCCGTGGAGGAGCTTTTTGAAGAGATGCGCGACATCATGGACGTGAAACTTGATGCTGGTAGGGAGTTTGGCAAGGGCTATTGTCTGAACAACCGCTTCGTTATTGTTCTCTTCGAACTGTCTTTGGTAGTAGTCATAGAGCGAATAAGTGGTGTTGAGATTACCAGCAACTCGAAATAATCCAGGAGTTTTGAGGCCTTTACTACGCGTTAGAGACCCCTTGCAGAAACCTTATTGTACTGGAGAACTGACCATGGGTCAATATGTAAGATGCAGAAGCATGCATGCACGTTGGAATCAAAAGATCGCCAGGTGACAGTCCCTCGGGTAATGTAAACGGCGAAACGCCGCCCAATCGGATCATATCCTCCAAATGCATACCCTTCAACGAATCCCGCTTCCCCCGTCCAATCGCTGCAAGATCACCAATGCTGCTGCCCCTCCTGCGCCCCAAAGACAACTTCATGTTCCCATAACTTTTTGAAATATCCATCGATGATGGTGTTCTGCCAAGCAACTTATTCCAAAGTCGGTTCCCATGCATAATTGGCGTTGAGTCTCCAGAGCTGTTGTTAGCATTCGACGCACTCGATACCGATACTGAACCGGCAGGCTCAGTCTTGTAGTTGTCGGGAAATGATTGAATGCCATGTTTTCTCGCAAGTTTGTTAAATTGCGACGAGAAGAGTTCGTCTGTTGTTGGTTTGTCGCTTACTGTTCCCACCGCAGAATCTGTAAATAATCGATTGCTCATTCCACTCCAAGCCGAGCTGATTGTTTGACTTCTTGATATTGAGTTAGGCGATAATGATTGTGATCCACTAGTGCTCTTAACACTTCCACCACCCCCTAATGGAAAACGAAAGGAGCGCATGCTCCTCGTTGTATGACTTCGAGAACCCCGTACTGTTGTTTCTGGATCCCTTGTTGGCGATTCGAGTAATTGCGACGTGACGCCCAAATCGAATGTGTCCGCCTCTGTTGGGTGTTCCTCAAGAACATTGTTATTTCGAAATAATGAAAATGAGCGTGGGAATGTACTGTTTCGAGAGGTGTCTTGTGTTTGTGGTCTTGAAGGTTGAAAGCCACTATCAGGCATTGATGCCAGTGATGGACGGGTGCGACGCGATGGGCCACGGCGAGCGGGTTGGAGTGGGTCCTGCATGATTGTTGCTGCTGGAGTACTCGAAGGTAAAAAAAAGGTAGTGTGGTAAAGGTAAGGGGGTACTACTGCTTTCGAAACATTAGTATATATACGATAGGTATGCGTGACAAATAAAAACAAAAAATCACGAAATTATGTCATTGGAATGGCTCACGAATTAAAATGTAAACTCAGACAATTGTGTCGTCAATCATGAATGGATTAGAAAAAGTCTCTCCGTTGATAGAATGAAGGGAGAAACGATTTATTTTTTTGTTTGCAAACAAAAATGATAACAGCAAGTACTAGGCAAAAACAGTGGTAGTGGAAGGAGGGGAAGAAGAGAAGTAGAAGAAGATCAGAAGCGAGGTAAACTGATAAACGCCCGCGGGAGGGGCCTGGGATTTATTTACATCGAACTCGGGGGAGGGGGTGGCAGGGAAGAGGCCCCATACATAAATACATGGTACCTACACAAACCTAACCAAAACAAACAACACGTTCAAAGACTAGACAACCGGCAACTGTCACTGCGAGCGAGACTCTGCGAGTAGGTAGTATGCACTAATACTGTGACACAGTAGTAACCCGCCTCCGATATTCTCCAAAATTGTCTCTCGGTCTGCTCCCCTCCACCTGTCACCCGAACGCCTGGATGTCCAAATCCTCCATTTGGATGTGACTAGTCTTAATCAAGACGAGCAATTTCATGATCCACGGGTGCCTTCAGTCGCCTAACCTTCATTGATATGAGACCCGATTTATGGACTCTCATTCTGTTTAATTAGAAGATCTTAAAGCACGGTCTCAGCCCAGATATGGCCAATTTCTTCTCCAAGCTTTACCGTGTTTGCTCGACTTCGCTGTCCCCGTTGCACTGACATGACATCGAGTGATTCGCAATGAGGAAGTTAGATGTTTTGATGTGTTGTTTGTTATTTTACAGCCCTTCCCTTGTTTGATTTCTTCCAGCCTGAATTCATAAACCAGGGAGACGCGACTTTCGACCCCCCACAAGCGTGTTTCCACCGCGTTTTAGGATGCGCGCTTCCTGATGCAGTCTTACTTGCAGTAGACATCATAATATTATGACCTCTTGATCCACAAAACCACAACAAATTGTAATAACAAATATCTCTTTTCCCTTACGTCGGCCATTCAGCTTCACGGATTCAATATTTCGTGCATATGGCACTAGTTTTGCCCCTCCATCCCTCATCCCTTTAATAATTTTTTTCTTATTGCCACCTTATATAACGCGCGGCATGGCGGCCGGGTTATTGAAAATCCAGCCAGGTCGCGTGTGGGCTTGTCACGCACGGTAGCACGTGACCGCGTACTCATTAGGTACCACAGAGAATATCTATCAATCCCTTCCATCTAAATTTAGGCGCGGTTAGGGTCGATTTGAGCGAGATGAAGTAAACAGGATGAGGCACGGACATTGGGCCGAGACCGGCTCCGGAAGGAAACTGACCGGAGGCGTTCGAAATTTTCAGCATCGTAAATATTCTCGCGTCCTGACTTCCAATATCAACAAATATCCAGTTCGGGGTTTTCTACAAATGAGATGTGACATCTATCATTGACGTTATTGGGTGAGCGCTGCAACGTTACAACTAATCCGTGATACCAAGTACTGCAAGTATCGATCCATCAACACCACCTTCCATTGCAATAACCTCCATAAAATGACATATATCATCATTCCTAAACTTGATCCCAGCCCCCAATAAATTTTTACAGCGCATCTCATATGGGAATAAAAGTAAATTATGCCCCCAGATGTTTGTTGTGTTTCCTCTAAGATTATTCGCCGTGGAGAAATATGGAGCAGAATGCTGTGCCATAATTATATTTTTCTTCCCCGGCTGATAAGCGGCTGAAATAATATTGCGTTCATGTTGTACGATATCTGACCCGCATTGTCAGCTAGGAAAAGGTCGGTTTAGTAGTCAAAACATACCCTGTAAACAATATATTTGACCCCCCTTGTGCCAACAGATCCTTCGGTTCTACCTAGCTTAGCAACTTTATAGTTGTCGATCGCCTCCTGACTGGTCCGAAACAATATTGCAGAAGTGGAGCCCTCGGTAGAAATGAAGTGAGACAACGGGAGATAGATTTCGACAGTTCTCGCGATCGATCACTCGGTCACTAGGCTAGCTAGGTCACTCAGGCTGACATCAAGAGTGTAAACAAATACCCTCTTTCGGAGAGAAAAATCACGTCTGCTCAATGATTGATTACGCTTCTACGGCATTCTCGACCAAATATCAGAAAACCTAATGCCGCTCACCGGGCCCCCAAACGACGAACTTTCCTCCTCGTTGCGAAAGAACAGGCCTCCGAAACACTTAACCCCTAGCTTTGAGTAGCGTCGTATACATGAGAGGACGACCCCCATACATTCAAGGCAAATGTGATATACGACATCGAAGTCGCATGAAAGCATTGAGACACATTAAGAAACCGACTCGAATTTTCCTCGAGGTCGAGAGATACTACGCTTATAAAAAAAACAAATATCAATATGTGTGTTTATTATCGATTTCGGGGGACTCACGCCTAGTTTCCAAAACTATTCACATCTTTAGTTCAGATATACAGGGCTGCCATCGTCTGTGTACGACAACAAGAGTGCACATGTTGGTGGGACAATTGGGGTGTTCTTCCACAGACTAGTTCGTTCGCAACGTCCGAAGACGAGTTCATCGTGTGGGAAACCGAGTAACAGCAAAAGATCCTGAACACTGAAAGCGAGCGGTATGCATATGTGCCGTAAAGAAAAAAGAAAGAAAGAACGAGGGCCCAAGAGGACTCATGTCTTTTATTCATTCAGCCCTCTGTAGCTTCGATGCTGTCATACTGACTCGGTGCTGTTATCGTTCCGGAGTTGGCTCCACTAGGCCAACCCACCGAGTGCCGTCAACCTTAAAAAAAAACTCCGAGCTAGTAACAGTCGACAACTCCAGTCATTTCATCGTCTAGTCTTGGCACAAGTGCGTACCCTAATATTATCAATCCAACTCCCTAGCTCCTATGTGCAACACAACAACGATAATCAACCCTTAGATCGTACATAAAGAGAACAAAACTATAACCTGACGAGCTGTAGTGTATTTTGTATTGCACATCCCGGCGTCAAAAACTGATACTTCAAGAGCCGGCGCCAATGGATATCAGAACACTTACGATTGATACAAATAGCCTCGAGTGCGCCTTGAGCATATTTTCTGTCCAGGACCCCCCAGCGATGGTAGGTGGCTCCAGTTTCCTTAAACAGTTCGGTACTAACTTCATGCTAGGAAGGCTTCTCTTCTATTCCTCCCGTGGAACCGTGATCTTCCGCAGATTGGTTATGCAAAGCCAGGCCGAACAGTCTATAAGCTGGATTGAGCTTTGAGCCCTGACGAGCGCAAGCTTTGGCCAAGCGGGCTATGCAGGTGCGGCACTGACGTCCTAAATCCTCCGGAGCTACCAAGTCCATGCTGCTCTTCTAGAAGCGTTCTGGGCGTCCTCAACGTATCATCATCATCATCAAGGTAGAGAAACCGTGAGGTTTTGCCGTTGCATACACTACGGAGGGCCTCCGTTCGGCTCAAACTGAGGCCTAAGCCCGGCTTCATACCGCCCAGGCCGGCTCGGGCCTACTTTACGCCCAAGCTCAGCCTGAATAGGCTTGTGGATCCTCTGGGACATTGGGGACACTAAAATGCGAGGAGTGAGCACAAAAATGTGTTCAGTGCTGTTTTTGATGGCCGTATTTGCTTCGGGAGCTCCAGCATCTGTACTTATGCATATGGTTCGACTATAAAATCGACCTATAATAGATTTTTCTAGATCGTCAAGCCGTTCAGTGTATTTCTAGATTACAGGCACTTTCGTTTTCAGCGCGAACCTTCATATATAACCATTCATAACAAAGAACCCAATCAAGAAGAAAAAAATATATAAAAAAAATACACAATCTAGTTATAATTCTCACCGTTATCAATTTGAGAGTATTTAGTGCTGTTCCCTGTTTGGCCTCACATCGGTCCGGCTTAAGCTTATCCTAGAAACGGATGCCGAGCCTCTTCTATGACCTCCTCTTCCACGGGATACCCCACCCCGACTTGGACTGGAATTGCCTCGCGGTGTCCTCACTGGTTTATATCTATCGTCGACCGCGGGACTCTGGGGGCTCTTGGCTACCAAGTCCGCAATGGAGGCCGGGATTACGCTTGTTAATTTTGCAAGTTCGTCCTCGCCCCAGGCCGAGAAAAAGTTCCCATCGTCACTCGTATCTATCGATAGCCTTTTCTTCGACCCACTCTCCGGCGACGCAAGAGGTGACCCTCTCCAATGGGTAGACGTAGGTGTACGTGGTGGCTCAGTTGAATCCCCCTGGTCATCTGGCTCTCTGTCTTTGAAAATAGCGTCTTCTTGTGGTGAGCTTTTTGCTTTTCTTGGCTCTACTTGAATCCTTATGGCCGGACTGAAAGTAAGCGTCACCCACTTTCGCTTGAACCAAGCAATGCAATCCCTCTTAGCTTGTTCAACTTCAGGTACAGTTCCCCGTTTTTGGGCAAGCTCCATGATACCAATAAATATCTGCCTGCAATTTTCTTCCCTGAGAGTTTTATTGCTTACAACCATACTCAGTAATTCCCCCCCGACGGGTTTTGACAGGTTGTAAGGGTGGAACACACGTATCAAGCCGGTGGTGACTTCACAGCTGTCGAACGCTTTTGCTATGAACTCTACCGTGTGCTCCATCAACGGTACCAGCAGCTTTGAGTCCCAATCTTTGGCATTTTTGGATGCCAATGTGTGGCGTCTTAAATCGGAAATCGTTTCAAAGAGTCGAATAGCCCGCCTCTCTTCACCCTCCTTCTGGCTATTACTTGCAACTTTTGCAATCAGGAGTTGTAGGACGAAAGGTGAACAATTCAAGAGAGGACGCTTCCACAGCGGGGCAATGTTTGAGATCAGTGCGAGTAGGCTGATCCCGTTATCTAGAATCCTCTGGCCCGCAACATCACTCTTGGCCACAACATCAAGGATATGAGGAACCAAAATACTGCACCCCCTCCCGGTGCACCCGAACCGGTGCCCTAGCTCAGAGAGAAGGTAGAGCGCAGAGTTTTCAAGGGTGACACATTGGAGGTAGCGAGCAGCCCTAGTTATGTCTACGAATTTGTCCGCAATTTCAATATCGGGGAGTGTCCGATCAGTGACACAACTGTTACAGCTCTGGACCTTGTGGGGGTTGTTGAGATGGAGAGCAATGTAACTGCGGAACCCTGGGTACGGTTCAAGCAGCTCTGTCAGTTCCTGCAGGTAAACGTATCCCGCAACGACCCAGAGAGAAAACGGCGTGAAATCCTCTGTATAAACTGTCGAGGTATTTCCAGACGCATCGCCAAATTTTGAATTGAAAAATGTCTCATAGTATGGTATCCTCCGGGCCAGAAGGAACTTGTGAACCTTTACGGCGCAAAAGGAGGGCCGGTTTCCTGGTGCTTTAAGATGTATTTCAAAGTCTGGTAATATCGATGTAGGCAGCGTTGGGTCTAGAGGGACGCCTGCATCAAGCCCCTTTCCAGTAGGATCGACAGAATCATAGCCCATAGCTCCCCATAGACCTCTCAAGCTCCTCCGAGTATAAGTGTAGCCCATCACTTCTTCGAAGCTCGGCCGGTTCTCCTCTGAGATATGAAGCACAGTCACTTCGACACCCAAGTCGTTTTTGGCAGTTTCCATGGTGTCCGTGCCAAGGTCGAGACGTCGTGGGGCGCCAAATTCCTCGGGAAGCCTCTCACCAGCAGCAATGTAGAAGAGAGGGGAATGAGCCCATACTTTGACATTATTAGGGAGGGCAAACACCACATCGCCGTCCTTCGAAGCTTCGTCGCGGAGGGCGGCTAGGTGTGTAAGTACGTCTGAATAATCTTCATCGACAAACTCCAAGGGATCAGTGAAACATGGCCCCTCATGGTCGGAGAATATTGGGCTGGCCATTTTTGTGAAGGTCTTGGAAGCTTGATGATGGTGGTGGCAGCACGAATTTAGGCATGAGGTTGAGCGGTGGAAACCCTAACCCAGGCCAAGTCTAGAAAGCTTAAGCTTCATGTAGACCATTGCGCGTTGTGCCCGGAACGGCCCGAGGCTGTTTTGATAGGGATTTATGATTAGTGCGTCTGGTGCGGTAGAAGCAATTATCTGATCTGGATAGCTACTTGTCTTCATTTGGTGATTCCTATGAATCCACGGGTATGGAGCATCCGCTTTGGTTTGATCCCTATCCAATCTTCAAACCATCAATCACATCCGGCCACATCGAAGAAGAGAAGCCAAAGTATTCCGACATGCAAAATCTCCGAACTCCCCGGAGGCTTGAACGAATAATTGTGCACGCCTTGCACCTCCTCGGAAAATGCTTAAGGCAAATAGGGGTAAGCGGCTCCTTGGCGCCCCCTAGACCTTTTCAAAATGGTAAAGCTCGTATTACCGGCCATCACTACATCTCTACCTGGCTAGATCTAGATAGAGTACCTAGCTGAGCTCTGGGGATGAACTTTCCCGACCCCTTCTTTGAAATTACTCTCCATGGCCTAGGGTCAACAACGCAGCAGTGCATTGTAACAGCTGCAGGGCTTTCGCTTAATTCGATAGGAATGTCAATTAACTATCGCATCGCTAAAGAGAAAACATAAAAATAGAAAGTCGGGGGGAACTCAATTAACAGGGATCGATCATCCGGACCCAATGTCACAGTTAACGGGGTGATATAATAATAATATCAGGGATGTCAAATATTCAGCTGTTGACGGACCTAGTCAGCCCGTTTCGGACCGTGAGCTCACTTGTACCTACTTCATTCGCCCGACGGACTCGAGCTTGATATCACGCCGGAGAACATCAGATGAAACTCAGCATCTGGGAGGATTTGACCCTATATTGACACAAGGGGGCGACAGGACATGACAAGTCTTTGAGGGGGAATTATAGGCCGAGAAACTTAACATTCTGGAGAAAGTTAAGATGAACAGCCACTTTATTCGGAACATACCTGCCAAACTGGGCGGAGGGGATCATCATATTTCGGCATTGAACATCAACTACAACCGCCTATAACTCCGGCCCGTACAACTGCCACAGGCTTTCCAATATAGCTGACCCCCAGTATAAGGATACGGTCGGAGCCGAAATTATGTATCCGTATAACGAGATTATTATTATACGTAGTATAACGAGAGTCGACAATACTCTCTACACAGTACCATATTCTTGCTGATACTAGCCGGATCTACTACGGGCTATGAAAGAGAACGGAAGAACACCAGAGTACCTACTCTTTAGGTCTTATCTTTACCATTATTATTAGGAGCTCGCGCATATACCTCCTCCTCCAATCAAACCCGGCCAGGGTTACCAGAAAAGCCACAGTCACATGGTATCACTCGGAATCCACCATCCCTAAGCGACGAAACGAAACCTCATATTACTATCTTAGAGGATCAAGTTATAAAAAAAAGCTTTTTCTTACCACATTTACTAGGTGGTTGTTAAGAAGCTCGGATACTCTAAGGAATGTCGGCCAGATTGTTCGAGTGATATTATATGACGCAAAGTAGCTAATAATTATAGATTTTGTTATGACTAATAATTGTCTGTAGTCAGAGGAAAGCTGTTGTCCACGACAATTACTTCCACATACTAACCGCGCGTTAATTAAGTCCTGAGAAATTTTGTGAGGTCATTGCTACCAAGAATTCTCAGGACTTAATTAATGGGTGAGTATACGGCTGGTGATAAAGAACACAGCCTTTCCGGTTGCGGTAATCATTGCGAGAATTAACAACTATGAGGCCCATTTCATGAATTGATATAGATCGATATGGATTATAGGCCATTCGTTCCTTAGTTTAATTACGTACTAGGCTTTTTTATTTTAGACCTTTTTTGTGTAGTTCATCTATATCTATCATTGAATCCTCAAGGAGTGGTGCTGTTATCTACACATGCGGCACTGGCATTATCTGCCTTTATATCAAGAGAATATGCAGACTCTCTATCCCATCTCCAACATCCCCACATTCCCGAATCGTCACAACGTATAACATCTCCAGCCCAATACCATATCTTTTTTTTTTAAAAAAAAAGAAAAAACAGAAGCTGGGCATTAACTACTTACCTAGCTACAAAACTTTAAATACCTACAAAAAAACACACACAAGCTGAAAACAAGCACAAAAATATTCCTTTTACTACGTGCACGCATTAATTTATGTTTACCTATGCATGGCCCCCTTCTATTTGTTTCGCCATATATCAAGTCCGCTTTCAACTCTACCTCTACCCCCCTTTGCGCCATACCTCTCCACACCTCCGTCTAGGCACACTGCGTTTACGACAACTACCCACACAGTCAGCCCCCATCCCCTCTCTCCCGCTTCACCCCCAGGATCAACTCACCTCCATATCCTCCAACGCATCCTCCTGCGAAATACACCTGAGAACATTCTTCTTCGAGCTCTCCTGGAGCTCGCCGGCGATCAGAAGCTCATCGAGGATGAAGTACGCCTTCTGGAAATTGAAGATGATGTCCAGCTCGCACACGTTGCCGTAGTACTTGTCCATCTGCTCGACGTAGCGGTGCACGATCTCCAGCGTGATGAGCTCGTTGTCCGTCGCGTCGATGCCCGCGATGAAGAAGAGGGAGGCGTAGCGCCGGTAGACTACTTTGGAGTCTGCGGGCGGGGGGTGTTAGTGGGGTGTGCGGGGGGAGGAGGGGGAAGCGGGGGGCGGGGACCTTTGTATTCGAGGAAGTTACACATGCGCGTGCGGCGGGCGAGGACGAGGGCGGAGATCTCTTTTGTGATCTTGGCTTTCTCTTTTGGCGAGAGGGTGGTGAACCATTTGCAGAGGCGCTATCACCTCTATATCAATATCCAGTTTATAGCTCCTAGCTATCTACCCCGCGGATAGAGAGAGAGAGAAGGGTGGGAACTCACGACTTTGCCTTGGCGCGAGAGAAGGATAACGTAGCTGCATTGTGTCAGAGACGCTGGGTGTGAGAATTGTAATGTGGAGAAAGAGGGCTTACCGGATGGCCATTGTGGGATTGTGGATTGTGGATTGGAGCTTAAGCTGGGAGCTTCGGATGAGACACGCTGCGGATGGACAGCTGGTGTGGTGGGGTGGGTTTGGGTTGACGTTGGGGGCGTTATCTTATCTGATTGATCTGAGGCTCAATGCAGGGACGAATGCGGAAGGGGATGTAACGCAACGGCCACACAACTGATACATCCGGTAAGTGCCTATCTGTTGGATTAATTGATTGATATATTAATTGCTTGGTCTGTAATGTAATCAAGCCTCCGCGGCTACACTCGGAAGGTAGTGGTCAGTCAGACATCCAACTCCTCCTCATTCTAATCCTTCTCCGGCTCCGAGGCAAGGTTGCCAGTGGATAGGGCTACATACACTGTGGGGAACAAAGACTGCCAGAGACAATTGCAAGGCTTCCCTGGCCCATTGTTCAGCACCAATTAATGCAGCATGACTCCCCAGATGCTACTCAGTTACCCGGCTACTTTGCATACATGCACCCGCAGCACTGCAACTGCACTGCGCTGCGCTGCACGGCAGACAGCCAGCAACTAGGGTTCAGCCATCGTAACACACAACGGGGGAATGTTCGACGGTGTATTACAAATAGCTGCTTACAATTGTCACGGAAGTCTGTTAATCACATCATTTGCGCGCCAAAAAAAAAAAAAAAAAGTCATGCAACTAGACAGACTAGAGTGCTAGAAAGTAATCCTCCTAGATTTGGATTCCCCCCCTCCGGCCCCTCCCTGGTTGAATTTTTCAAAGGGATGACACACAGAGAGATGGGATGCATATGGGCGAGATGAGATAGAGATAAGTAAACACATGTGGCCTATATGGCCATTCTGTTCCATAATAAGGTGACGTATCCCGTTCAGATAAATACATGTATCAAAGGGTTCCTCTCCCCACCTTCCCTTTATTCCACTTCATTGCTTTAGCTACTCTTGACCTTCCACTCACTGCCACTACTCTACTTGAACTACCCCTCCCCCTCCTCCACACTCACTCACCCGCATCCGTACCAATTGACCGGACTCGCACCGCCCACTCACTCCCACTCCCGCCCGCTCGCTCTTCTGTCTCTCTCTCTGTTTCTGTCCCCAAACCAAACACACCCCCCCCCCCCCCCCATAAAGAACAAAAAATGGTGACGACATGCATTCTCTCCACCGGAAACATCATGACCGCCGGCGCCGAAGTCATCCGGCGGCCGACAGTCGGCGGCTCAAACACCGAACTCGTCAATTCGCTGCGCGAGAAGTTCAAAGCGGCCTCCGCCGACGAGTCCGCCCCGACTGAGAACGGCAATGGCAATGGCAACGGCGCCGGCGCACATCGGCTCAAGGTCGAGGAGTGGACGAGCGTGGGTGAGGATGGGATAATGTACATCCCCGCCGCGGCGAACAGCGAGCCGGAGGTGCTGGTCGAGGATAGGGAGGAGTATGATGTTACCGGTAAGTTTTTTTTCTTCGCAGTCTTTACTACCCCCCACCACCTCCGGAGAAAGACAAAGAAATAAAAAAACTAACACCCCTCCCCCGCTATAGTAAAACTATTCTACCTCCCGGACTCCCCCGCCGCCTCCCGCCCCCAACACACCCAAGACGCCATCCGCCTCGTCACCACAGCCCTCGGCATTCCAACCATAACCCTCCTCATCATCTCCTTCCCGCACATCACCTTCGACGCCGACGACGACGAGCACTCGCCCCCCGCCGACATCCTCTCCTGGGCGCACACCTACCGTTCCGTCGAGGCCCTCCACGCCGCCGGCACCATCGCGCGCATCGGTCTCGCCGAATTCGGGACTTCCCGCCTTGAACAATTTCTCCCGCACACCATCGTGCGGCCAAGTGTGGACCAGATCAACGTTCGCGACTGCTGCGTCGTGCCGCGGCCGCTGATACTGTATGCGAAGCAGAACGGCATCGAGCTGTTGACGCATAATGACTGTGCGGATGTGCTGCCGGCGGAGACGATGAAGGGCCTGCTGGAGGAGTTTGGGGTTGTGGGGGCGGAGAAGGAGGTCAGGCCGTTGTGGGTCGTCAAGTATACGGCGGTGATTAGGAGCCGGGGGGTGGTGGAGAATAAAGGGTGAGTCTTTTCTTTTTGGAAATGATTTTTTTTTTTTTGGGGGGGGGGGGGATTTTGGGGCGGGAGACAGGTAGAGAGATAGAGAGGGTGTGCTTGTGCTGACCGGGGTTGTTATAGGTATATCTTGATGACGGAGATTGACGATTGATCAATCATAAAAACGGCATCTTAATTTCTAGAGACAACAACCACCCCCGGACCTCTCCCTGGATAGATTCTCTTTCGAAAAAAAATCAGGATATTTCTCAACAGGCGTCAAGGTTTCTTTTTCCCTTCCTTTCCCTTCCCTTCCATTCCTTTCCCTTTGTTTATTTCTGTTTTTTATTTATTTTATCTTATCTTTTATTCCCCAACCCCCCACCCCCTACCCCGCCGCTTTTTTATATTCTTTTGTTGCGCGCACCGCAATTTTGCATGTACAATAGCGATCTTGAACCATCTGTGCTTGAGCCCGAGCTTGCTTTTAGGGGGGAAGGGGGTACAATTACATGTATGTAATAGATATTCACTTTCCATCTAGTCTGGTCAACTTCCTCTCCGGTATGAAATGTGGATGGACGGATGTGTATGATATATAATCCAGTGGACAAATGATTGTATTTTGTACAGGGAAAAAAAAAGAAAGCCAAACAAAAAAAGGAGATACATACAGCTAAAGTAGATCGATGGCAGTACGACCAACCTTCCCCCCTCCCCACAAGGGAACAAAAACCAAGCCAAATGGAATGGAGAGTTCAAGTACAGATATGGACAAAAACACAATGCAATCCGTCAATTCTTTTTCTCTTGCTCAAAGAACTAACATATTTCTAAATATACAAAATTTTCTCGATTTTTTTGTTTCCAATGCCCCTTAATTGGGCACTTTAGTCCAAAATCCGAGTAATGAGACCAGTGGCGACAGTTCTGCCGGTTTTGTTAGCAACTACTTATACCATATATATAGTCTTGGCGCGGGGGTATGTAAAACTCACCTTCCACCCTCACGTAGGTTGAATCGTTGACCAGGGTCCAAAGCCATGGGCTTGTGGAGCTCACACTTCACCTCAGTGTTGTCACCGGGCATGACCATCTTATCCTGGTCCGAGCCCTCGGGGAAGTCGATCGTGACGGCAATATCCGAGGTTCTCAAGAACATCTGTGGGCGGTAGTTTCCGTGGAATCCGGTGTGGCGACCACCCTCCTCCTTGGTGAGGACGTAGAGGGAGGCCAGGAACTTGCTCTTTGCCTTGGTGGTACCGGGCTTGACGACGACCATTCCACGGCGGATCTGCTCACGCTTGACACCACGGAGGAGGAGACCGGCGTTGTCACCGGCCTGGGCAGAGTCCAATTCCTTCTTGAAAGTTTCGAGGCCGGTAACGATGGTCTTGATGGGGGTGGTCTCGAAGCCGACGAGCTCGACTTCGTCACCCTTCTTCAGCATTCCGCGCTCGACACGTCCGGTGGCGACAGTACCACGTCCGGCGATGGAGAAAACGTCTAGTAGGGGGTTAGGGTTATTAGAGTTTCACTATTCGGGTTGGGAGGAATTGATCGGTACCTTCAACAGGCATCAAGAAAGGCTGATCAAGGTCACGGACCGGGGTAGGAATGTAGTCATCGACAGCCTGGAGGAGCTCGGTGATCTTCTGTTCACCAATTTCCGGGCGGCGGCCTTCGAGAGCACAAAGAGCAGATCCCATGATAATTGGCGTTTCGTCACCGTCAAAGCCGTAGCTGGACAAGAGTTCGCGCATTTCCATTTCGACAAGTTCCAACATCTCAGGGTCCTCGAGGGCATCGACCTTGTTAACGAAGACGACGATTCTCTGGACACCGACCTGGCGGGCAAGGAGAAGATGTTCACGGGTTTGGGGCCTGGATGGGGAGGGTTTTTTTTGTTAGTATGGTTCTGATATGAGTGGCAATATGTATATATGGGGTTCGGGTGAAGGGAAATGCTACAAACATTTGACCATCGGAAGCAGCAACAACAATAATAGCACCGTCCATGGAGGCAGCACCAGTAATCATGTTCTTAATGTAATCAGCGTGCCCAGGGCAGTCGACGTGGGAGTAGTGGCGGTTATCAGTTTCGTATTCAATGTGAGCGGCCGAGATGGTGATACCACGGGCCCGCTCCTCGGGAGCCTTATCGATAGAAGCGTAATCATGGAAGTTTGCCTGTCCTTTGGCAGCGAGAGTCTTTGTAATGGCAGCGGTCAAGGTAGTCTGTAATTGCATGTCTCCATCGTTAGAAACAGATTGATATTTCCCGGGTGCAAACAAATTGCGGGGCAATTTTTGGAGGGGAGGTGGAACGGACCTTTCCGTGATCGACGTGCCCAATGGTACCTGTATAAAAAAGGTCAATAATCTCGAATCACATTGGAATTGAGGGGGAGAAACGGAGATACTCACCAATGTTGACGTGAGGTTTCTCACGCTTGTAACTTGCCATCCGACGGATGGAGGTATTAATCGGGCTTGAAGCATTACATTTCCATGGTGAGTTTTTGAGTGAGGATTTGCACGAGAATGCGGCATTGGTTGCTGTAAGGCTTTCGGTGAGCCTGGCGGCACCCCGAAGCAGGGGAGCAAATGAGGCTTTCCAGGAAGCCATTGTGTGGGCGATATACACAGAGGTGGGTGGGGTGAGGTTGTAGATGGAGAGAAGACGCGATTTGCAATCGTTGAAATTTCTGAATCGAAAACGGCGCCAAGCCGAATTCGGAAACAATGTCTTAGTCAGGGCGGAGACATCTGTCGATCTGCTCTTCACAAAAGCCGAGGCTTTGTAAGTATTGGAACTGCATCATGTAATTAATATCGTAAATGCTTAAAGAGGGTATCAGTAATTACGGGGGATAGATATACGAACTTCCTTCGTAAATAGTAATTTAATTATCAACCACAATAAAAAAAATAACATCCCGGCTCGAGGGCTAGCTAGCAGGTGTGCAATTGATTCAAATCCCAATTCTTAGAGGGCTACGTACAATAGCATGAAATGACTGGTATTTGGTAGTTGTAATATTTATACTCCAGATTTGACAAAACATAATATCGATGCAGTGACCGCACCTGTTCAATCGATGAATGCAACCCAGAACCTCGGCCTCATTCAGATCGATACCATCTAGGCCAAAGCTCTCAAAACCAGCATGTGGAAAGACTTAATAGATATCAGAATCTAGAATGGATGATTCTATTAGAGAGAACGCTCAGGGTCGCTTATAAATTTAATGATGACACATTGACTAAGACCAGTTTCATAGCAGCATGGCGGTACACGTATGCCATTTATGAAAACAACATGTATATATATATCCTTAAAATTGGTCTTTCTAGTACCGGTATCGGCATAGGTGTATTGTACCCGCAGTTGCATTGAGCAACCGTTATGAAGCAAGGAGGACAAGACCGAACTGCATGGTTCACTTGATGTCTTATAGTGGCCTAGTTAGGGCCCCATGCCACCAACGACATGAGACGGCGCCCATCCATATCCCATCAACACCTGTACTCTTAATCAAGATTTATATCATAAATCCAACTCGTCGTTTTTTTTTTGGACACTAGGGACTTGTTGCGTAACCACCAGGTTGACACGATTCTCTCTGGTAAGGACTGTTATCCTAAGAGTACTATTACTAATTTTAGGTTTCTATCGTAGCGCATATTTCCTCCTAGCAACCCCGCAACTACACGAACCACTCGCGTATATTTTAATGCAATATGAGCTATAAGTGGAGAAAGAGGTATATAATATTCTTCCTGATCAAGATATTTAAACCTAAGATGGAATCTGGTGTACTCAAAGATAGGATGTCTCCGAGAACTAGGAATCTTTAGCACTGGACTCAGCAACAAACAGGTACACACCTGCAGCATGAACATGCCCGGCCTGCAGCAGGCATCTTCTCAACATCCAGCCAGGCCATATAGGCGATTATTGGCCCTTTCAAGCAGGTTAGTACGACCATCGCACCACAGAGCTGTGTACAAACATTTACTCCATAGGCGGGCCTAACTCCGTGAATCTAGTTTAAAACTCGACTGGAAATCCTTCTCTCCTAGGGATCATGTTAATTTTTTGATTTTCCAAGCCATTATACTTTGAGTAATAATGGGTTTGAATTTATCACTACGTACCGCCAGCTCGAGTTCATGGAGTGGAAGGATCGAGGTTGATCTATATACAAGCGGCATGAGTTCATCGGCTACTCTAGCGCAGCAAGGCATCCCCTGAAAGCTATGGGTGCAAACTCAATTAAATATAGATTTTATTCTATAATGAAATTTGGGCGATGTCCATCTCAATTTTAAGCAAATAGCTATCCAGCCCGGTGTTATCTCTTTACGCCAGAGATGTATTTACTCCATCGGCTTTGTACCGCGGTCTGATTTCATGAGCAGCCCGAAGATCACAGTCGAAGCTCATCGACATTGGTACGTTAGGGTTCCTACCGCACAGATACAATGATATATCAAAGACGTGGGTCCCATGGTAGGCTCGTCCCCAACCCTTCTACTTCCATGCTTCCAGAGGACGGGCTGGTGCTATATCTCCCCGACTTGGGTGAACTCTTTTTGTATGGAGTGTCGGCTGTCGGGGTGGCTGTCGAGGTGGCTGTCGAAGTGGCTGTCGGACTCATTTACATACAAAAAATAAACTTTTTTTAGCTTCCGACATCAAAATTAAGGTTTATTCTGACCCCGATATCACATTTCGGGCTTTTATATCACAAGTCGGCCTTCCATGTCATATTGTCGGCTCTCATATCACATTGTCGGCCTTTATATCACAAGTCGGGCGCCTACATCACAATTCAGAGCCCGATATCACATTTCAGAGGCTGACAAGAGTGTCGGCCGACATTTGTCGGGAAGATATAGCACCAGACTGTACTGTGGCAGCTTGCTGCAAGTAACGGGCTGGGTACGAGACTAGTCCCATGGATGTTCCCTCGTCTTGTGGATCTCGCTGGGGATTTGGTCGGTTCGATGCCGCACCCAGGGTTAGGGTTCATGGATTATCACTCGGAGCATTTGCGCCCAAAGATTTTGCTACGTACATGCAGATTTGCCGAGAGACGGCGCTCTTATGCATGGATTAAACTTGAAGGAACGATAATTCTTTGGAGGGGTTCATGGGGCTCGCGATGGTTTCGTTTGCTCTGATTATCATGGTGCGTGCATGTCGCAAGTATGATCAACAGATCAGGATCGATGGTTATTACAAATTTTTGAGATTACCGACATCGGATGAGAATAGCCGTCTATCAAGATATATATGACACTTTCAGGCGTTAGACTTACTTCTGAGTTAACAATTGTGGTCTACGCAATGGACGGATTTGGAGCTTTGGGTAGAATCTCTCACCTAGCCCTGAGCTTTGATCTCCCCAAACGGGACCCCTTTTCATAAGATGATGCTGAGTGTGTGGTCGATGCACCTTAGTCGATGATCTCCCGCATCTCTGCTAAAGCTTAAGTTTAATTAAGTATATAACTCCCAAAGCCCCCTCTCCTCCTCCTCCTCCTCTTCCCCCCAAAATACTCACTGTCTCCCAGATAAATCACACACACCTGAAATACTATATATCTCCACCTCCCGCTCCCCAATTACACCCTCAAAAATCAGCCAAAAAACCAAAATGGAAATGTCCATCACCACAAAAACAGCCGCTTTCAACATTAACTCCTCCTCCACCCCCCTCAAACCCCAAACTCCATCCCAACCAGCCACAACCACATCTTCTCCGCATCCCTGCGTCTCCCCATCCACACCCACCAAGAGCCACCCGCACCCCACCGCTGCACCCTGCATCGAAACACCGCCACCATGCATCAAGCGCGGCCTCTTCCACGAGAACCATGGATGGCATCCGCTCAATGCCGACATCAACAACATCGACATCCGCGACTACATGAGAAAGTGGGTCGAGAAAGAACAGCGCAAGAAGAAGAAGAGAAAGGCTGTGGTTTCAAATCCGGGCCCGGATATGGTCACGGTGAAGCGGTACGGTGCGTCGGGCATCGTGTATCAGACCACGGTAAAGATCGGGTTTCAGACGATCAAGAACTGCCCGTTTCCGGTGGGTAGACCGGCGTTGTTCGCCGAGTGCCCGAAGATGAGTGATGGCGGGTGTGTGGCTGTGAGGGATATCGTGCGTGAAGAGAAGGAGGAAGGGGCGAAGGAAGAAGGGGCGAAGAAACGTGTGGCGTGGAAGGAACTGGTGAAGAAGAGGTTGTTGGGGATTGCGAAGGGGAGTGTCTGTTGGAGGAAGGGGAGCCCGGTCAAGAGGACCCCGATCAAGAAGAGCCCGAAGAAGAAGAAGCCGCCGGTTAGGAAGTAGAGGGTGTTGGATGATAAGAAGGTTGTGGGTAAGTAGAGTGCACATGGTTGTGAGTCTTTTTCTTCTTCCTCTTCTTTTATTTGTATTTTTCTGTATGGTTTTGATCTGGGGGCTGAGATATCTAGATGGCTGATGGCTACGAGTATTATACCATGTATTAGACCTTTTTTCTCCCTTACCTTTGATTTCCTCTGTTTACGATCTTCTTAAGATCCTTTTGATACCCTCAAAATAATGTATTCTCTCTCTTTCTCAAATCTATTCCTGTCTATACTTTCCTATCTTTTTTTCCCGCTGCGTATCTTACCCTCAACATGTTTTCAGTTACCTCTCTTGCTACTATACTATACCCTTTATGAGAGCGGCAGCATGACTCCCATTAACTCATACTCCCTTGTTCGCAAAAAGCGTCAACGCCAACTGTAGTTATTAGCAAATTGTCATTGCGATATACAGAGTTCTCAAGTAACTAGGCCGATTAGTTACATCAATATCATCAAGGTACGCTACCTAAAAATGCATGGGGACATCTTCCGTTATCTTCATGGAATCGCACTCGTTATGGTAGTCCGAACCATTTTTCATGACCAACCCACCCGCACAAACATTTGAGGATGTGGATATTATGGGAATTATTTAGTCACTGCGTGTTATCGAAGGTGGTAGCGAAGTTTTATATACTGTCCCTGCGAGATCGTTTAGGGAATATACATTTAGAAGAAACTTGAGTGGTATTAGCTAGCGCCCATGAGGCCCGGGTGGTTATAGCGGTCACGTTAATTAATAAATCTATAGTCCCCCCCCCCCCTTACCCTATATCATAGGCGTAAGATTCCTCTACTATATATATCAGGATATTGATATATCATCCTCGTGCCCGGTAACTACCGGTGTGGTGGTAAAAACTGTGTTATTCGATATATAGATCTACCGCTTCTCATCCGTAACGTAGCCTCACAAGAAAGGTTTCTTAAGGAGGATCACGTAAATATGATGAACCCCGTAAATATATATAATCCAGACGCCCTGAAGCCCTTTCCTAATTACGATCAATAGATTGGCCTCCGGGTCCCGGCACCGCCGGGCAGGTGAAAGGGTTACTTTTTCCGTGGTAATAATAACGATAATAAAATCGATCTTTAAAGCATTAGAGAATGAGAGCTTCGAGAATTATTATATCGTTATTGAAAGGGTCAAAGTAATAGACGGTCAAACATCAGTACAATGCTTTCCCGCGAAGTACTTTATGATACCCGCACACCAGCTCCGTGCATGAGGGGAAATCATTGACAAATCCCAACTCCGCTTTCGAGAGCTACCTTGTATTGATAGGATTATCGCTTCAACTGCGGCGTTTGAGTGTTGGGGGATATAGGTTTATGCACACTGACTAGATATAATGGTTAACTGGAATATCGATCATTGACCCTATAAATGTGCGGACACTTGGCGTCTGGGTTTCTCCCTCCAGATATTCCCTCACAATCCTTTTCCTTCTCTTGAGCTATCCTCTACCGTCATCACTCCACTCCACTTCTCACCTCGATCCAAGTACCACAAAGGCATAACCTCAGGATAGCTAGAAACCATAATCCATCAACTACCCCCGTCACCCTCTAAGCTATTTCCAAACCTCCGATAACCGTTATCGATATATCCCACCTAGAAACGCCAGTCCACACAAGTCACAGAGCGGGGATCCGGATAGCTCATTCCCTCCAACACCACAGCGCATACCCTCTCTATAGTCGACTCCCGCGGTCTCGGTGGTAAGGAGGAAGGACTAAGAGGATATATATGTCGATCGATTCCTCAGGCATTATCAGACAGATCCACTCCAGCCACATATAGGAGAACCTGTATCAGCTGGACCGTTCTCACACCTTGACAATGAGTCGCGATCGACTGTCAGGTGCTAGCTTGCCCTGTCATACCTCCGTGCGGAAGGAATGGGTACGTGTACCGAGATCTGAGTATATCGATCTGTGAAAGATGCGGCCACAATCTCCTGATATTTATACTCATACCTCTGTTTATAAAATTCCACACATGCATACGCGATATGTAACATCATATCATACGTTGGGCTAGGGCCTTTGAATTTTTAACGCATATATTGCATGGACCGGCGCGGCGCGAACCAGGGGAGGTGATAACAATTAATAGCCACAGCCAAGGGTAACACGACATCCAATTTATTACGCATGGCATACATGCCTTGCGTAGAGTACAGAACAGCAGATTACTGCAAACCCAACTCTGCACGCGAGATCTTCAAGTGGTGTGGTGTGGCGACGTTGTGGTCATTGAATGTTGTTTCTATTTAGAGTAGATCTGGAGATATGCACTTCTCTCGATTAAGACCGGTACCATTCATGTGCTCTAGATCTACATACACCATAAGATCCTAGGTGAGATGAATTTGAGCTGCCTGTGCCAATATATCCAGGGCGCACACACTACAGCCAGGCCCTGAAAACCCCCTCGGAGAGTTTTTTTGCATCAGCGGTGGCGCCAGTCTGGGGATTAATCTTTAAATGAGTAGCAGCCAATTGCAACCTTGTTATCGCTTACCGATCCCTGACATCACGTGGGAATGATACGCATGGGCTGGAGTTCAAGAAAAATTGGATAGTCGGTTTTTGGAAACGATATGTCTAATGATTCAACTTGGTACATCATCTTGCAGATCGCACTCAGGCTTGTTTTCCGCGCTTAGGGCCGAGATATCGTCATTCCCGGCGGATGCGCACCCAGTCACAGTGGCTGGCCAGGTATTGTAGAGTGCTCTACCGCGATTGACCAGGCCCACTCTGAAGAATGTACCAGCTGAACACACGTGGTACATATCGCCCACTGGCCAGTTTCCAACCCGCAATATCCCCACCATGGCATTCTCCGTTTCACGTCAACGACATACCAAGGAGCTGATCCACTGCATGCTTCCCCGGAAGACAGGATCTTTGGTTGCTGGCCAGGCGTACAGGCTTTCCAATGTTCCTGTTTATTGTCGTCTACTCAAGACTTGGAAATGCGAGTGATATATCATGAACATCCGTCTCAAAACTCTAGCCACAAGCCAAAACTTGATGAAAGGCCCGCGTACTGCCTAGTCTTACAGGTGCGCTGTTTTAGGGCCATATTTTCCTACCTACACTACTAAGGCGCGCACATAGACGCACAGACAAGCGGACCGCATGCAAGGAAACAAGTTCGCCCCGCAAAGACAAAGCTTAGCTCCTGATTCATGATATCACAGCTAACTATTTTTAGGCCAAGTTTCCCCTGACTTACCTAGGTAGGTACTGGAGACCCACCTGATATGAGACCGCAGACACCTTGCTTAGAAAGCCGGTATGTAAAGCAGACTTTGCAATAGGATCCTTAAGTCCTAGTACATTGGCCTACGTCAGCTGCGCCAGAGTCGGAGGAGGGATATGATCTGCAATATTCAAGCCACAGATATTCCTCGTTTCACGCCCACCTCCCACGCTCCCCCACTGTCTCAAAAGTTGCGTCTTTCTGAAAGCCACCGACAATGCAGAGATCATGGCCGGGGAAGTGGGTGGGGCTAAGATCCACGACCAACCAACCAACCAACCGGTCAGCCAACACAGCAGTCCATCGTCCGCCATGCTTGCCGAGCAGGTTGAGACGAATCAAGGTTCGAGTCGCGTCAGCACCAGATGTTGCTCCCGAGGACTTGGTACCGGGATACTGTAGGTAGATGCGTGAGGTGGTCAGCTGTAAATGTGGTGGTGGGCGGGGATGGAGAAGGAGAAGTGCTGTAGCGGAGTTATCCGGCGAACAGTACGAATAATATGTTTTAGCTATACACGTCGAATTATTACACCGGCATATTCCGCAGGAATGATTCAGGGCGCCAAACCTTATCTAGACCTCGAAGTTATCATATGACGGGAGATCCCGTTCCCAGGGTCTGTGCCAAGATCCTGCGACAGAAAACTAGGCAGCAGGGATTATTATCAACCAGAATTGAACCTCAAAAAACTTGAGGTAAACACTGGCCTCGAGGTGCTTCCCCTCCTCCAGCTAAGGGGAAGTTCGGCTCTTATAGTAGTTTGAAAATTGTGCTATCTGCTTTCTGCCATATCGATGTGCTGTTTCTCCGGCTATGTATTGCATTGGCGTTTACATTAGCATTGACGTGACGGCCCGGGGAATAATAGGATACTCTTGTATTAAGGACGGCCCTTCCATTCCCTTCCACTACAAGAATAGGACAAGTCAGACATACATGTAAATATCCTGTGCCACCACCTTTTTACACCGCGGGACCACAGGCTCAAAAGTGACAGCTTGGTATGGTGTGTGTGGCGATCATGAAGCTGCAAATTTGAAGATCGTCGCCGCACCTTAATTAACTGATAGATTTCTGATCTAATGCCTTATACGCAACCGGCCACAACCGGTACCCAAGAAGGGTAAAAAAAAACCCGCGTTTCGAATCAATTCGAATTCCAGGAAATTCGCAAACCAGGCAGAAATAATCCGATTAAATTATCCATCTCCACCGGCCTCACTTTGATAACGATAGAGATGCATACCTTGAACCTACATGTAGTCAATGAATTGCCGGTGTTCAGAGTATGCAGCACATAATTTAAGTAAATAGAGTATGTAGCAATACCCCAAAGAGTCCTTGATTAAGGGAAAAAAAAACCCTCCTACGTTCTCTATCTTGAAAGATATGCACACACACTCATACCCACAGACCAAAATCCCAGGCTGGTTTGTAACCGTCAAAATTTAGATGTGTAGGCATGGGACTTCCTTTTTTCTCGCTGGTGGCTATTGCCGGTTTGATTCGCTCCGGCGGCTCCGCGGGGTCTGGTTGGTTGGATTGTTGGTGGGCTCAAGGTCGTACCGATACCCTAAGATGTAAACTCCTCAACCTCCCATCCAAAAGCACATACCTGTAAGACTCTACGTGTTCGCCTTTCACCGAAGATAGAAAAGAAAGGCATCGAACTCATTATTTTCCAGCCAACTAACCAGCTAGGTCATGTGTCCATGTTCTGTTGCTACATGTATTCCCACTGGATGTATGTAAACTCCCCCAACTTACATCGTATCCAAGTGTCCTCCGCTCAGCCCAATAGTTTCGAACCCCCATCGTGAGAAAGCACACTTGAGCCCGGCGATCCCGCCACGAGTTTCAACCGCGGATATGTCGGTTGGATTTCTCTTTTCGATGTGCCGGTGCGCCCTCCACCCGGGAATCCCGCCGGAGCGGTTCCCAATTTCCAGTGATATCTGCTCATTTCTTAGTGGGGTGGTGGTTTGCATGTAGACTCTAGAGAAGCTAGAGTAGAGTTTTGGACCACGGGTAAAATTGCTCTAACCTACTTGATCAACTAAATATTATCTCCTACTCTATAGAAAAACACCCTCTTACGGTAACTGCTGGACAGGGGATATGATAGGTAAAACTAGAGTGGTAGGCTGGTAGTCACACCGCCACAGCTGGCTGCTGGCTGCTCGCTGTCTCAAGACACAGACACGGACACGATACGGTACGATGGCTCCACGAGAAGAGAGAGCAGGTTTAGTTTCATATATATCAGATTCTATGCACATCAGCTAGATTAAACAAGGTGAGTGGAGTAACAGAAAAAAAAAAGATACGACGTTATATTTTGCCTGCCACTTAGGTTTGGCCATTTCCATGTGTTGCTTGTAGTGCGCCGTGATAGGGCGGGCAGAGTTGAAAAGTGTGCATGGTGCTTTCGCGTATCTGAGGAGGCCAGAAAACCAGCTCGTCGATTTGGCCTCCAGTAGAGCCCCTAGCGGTAACCTGCAGGCGCCGCTCGCTCCGTGGTAGGTGGTGCACCGGTGCAAAAAATAATTATAAACTATCCCCGCTGAAGGAGAGCGAGCAGGAACCTTCTACCTAACCCAGGGAGTTTAGAAATCCCCCCCCCCCCCTGATAACCCTGAGTTATTTTGCAGCTTCTTTCTTTGGAAATGAAGCGCAGTGAAGGGTGAAGTTGCCCGGTCTGGTTGATCTGTACTGTGCTGTGGCATACATGTGTGTACATATATTCAAGCACGCTATTTGATTGGCTCGTTGGAGGGAAATGCAGTGAACTAAATGTAGAATCTTGGAAGGCGTTCTGTTGTGGCCAGATTTCGGCAGTTTAGTTGGATTGATTTTAGACCAGATTTGGGCAAGGAGTCTTTGGATGGACAGATACTCGCACAGCATCGAGAGTTTTTATCTGATGTTTTCCCCATCGAATGTTTGTTCTGATGGTAACTTGAGTTCGCCAAAATGTAGAGTACATGTATGTAGACACTAGGAACAGTAGACGCGGAGATATCGATTTGACTATAACCGACTTCGGTAGAAAGGTAGAGAAAATCATAATTTTAGATGATCAAGTCCCAAACACGAGTTCCTCCTCGTCATTAGAAAGTCGAGAAACGATCGTCGGAGTGAGCTAGGAGGAAAACGGCGGCAGCAGATTTCCAACCAACCAAATGCGTTCCACAGTGCGGTTGGATGCGGACAGGGGTGGTGGGGGGAAGAGAGCTGTTTGCCTACAGGAATGCACCCAGGAAATCAGTAAATCCGATTTCATCGACGATGGAAGGGCCGGATGTGGATGGAAAGCTCTTAACGATTGGACGGAACTCTTTCCCGTGCCTTTCACCTGTCAACGACCCCCCCCCCCCCCCATATCCACCACACTGGGCCAAGCAAACCACTACAACAACCGTGCACTTCTACAGAAACAAGGTGGAACACAGACCATTCCCTAGAGAGTGTGGCTCGAGTTGTGCCCCGTTCACAACCGTAACGGATAATTCTTTAGAAATGTTTCCCATCATCCACCCCCCCTCCATCCAGCTCTGCTATGATATCGATTGTTAGATACCGTACCCAGTTTCTTAACTCTAGAACCCCCCCAGCAAACAGCCGTTTATAGGATGTAGGTAAACTACTTTGGTTTTATGCGGCATGCCAATAAAGCTCGCCGAGTTCTAGCTAGCGAGGTTTTGACTATGGCATCACCGTACGTAAGCTCGTAGAATTTTGGTTATGATGAAGTTGCCCGCCCTGGCGGGTTGCAGATCGCGGCTACCCCCCCAATGCATTGCAAGTAGTAGATTGACGAGGATGAGATTCAAATTCGTGAAAATTAATGGCCTAGGCCTCTGAGACCCTTCGGTACTACTATTGCAGTTAACTAACTTCCTGTGCAGGCAAAGCAAATCAAGCAAGCCCATGGTTGGAATAGGCGGGAAGGCGTAAAGTACGGCAGTGGCTTCTACATAACGTCCGCAGCCTCCACCCAGCGCTGCATCCTATTTTCAAAAGCTTCCTCCAACCTCTCTGACGTTGTATTTCCCCGGTTCTGCCTCGCTTCAGAAGTAAATAAAGAATAGCTTCTTCCCAACACAACTCTGACACAGAGGTCTCATCTCCCTTTGCTTACGTTCAATTTCTATCGTCGTCCTCATCGTTACATACAACAAGCACATTAATATCTTCCCAACCCCGCACGCTATACCTAATACCAAAGAAAATTCACAGTGTCCATCGGGATACCGTCCTGTCAATTCGGCATTGGCGCATCATCATAAAAGTCAACAACTCCGACTTTGGCGGCTTTCCACCAAACCCCGTCATTAGCTGATACCTATCTCCATCAAGGCACGTTTCTGACGTGTTGGAGCTCCGAAAATAACCACCATCGTCATACCAAAATTCTATAATTTCAAATTTCTTTTCTCTCTGTTACGAGAAACATCTCCTGGGAGGAACCCCATATTTCGCTATAACTACGTTTGAGGAGAAAGAAAGGCGAGGCCTTCATCTGACCTCGGTCTATACCGCAAACCTTCGTTTTTTATCGTTAGGCTCTCGAACAAACCCCCGCGGAGGTCAGAAAATAGACATTTTAGTCTACTCGCGATCTCTCCTCTGCTCGGTTCCTAGACGATATCTCGGAATCATCGTTTTTTAATTTATATTTGGCGACAATTGTAAGAAGCACGATTCCCGATTACGTCTTCTCATCAACAGAATTTGGTGTGTTCCCCTCAGCTTTAGTAGGCCACACACCGGAAGTAGGAAGGACGTATTTTTTTTTTGAGTTTCTTAGGGCGCCCGAAATTATATAAAGTCCGTAAACATGAGCGCCGTAGCAATCCCGCCACAACAACAAGCACCACACACAGCTTCTCTAAACACACCTGGTTTCTTCACTCAGGCATTTTTAGAGTTAAACGTGTTCGAACAGTGCTTTTCATCTCTCCAATCCTCGGATTCTACTCCCTCCAGCTCCACCCCTTCCTCAACCTCAACGTCAGAACAAAAGGTCTCAACGTCCACTGCCAGTTTAGAGCCACCTTCTCCCCGAACGGTTATACATCAGAAAGACAAAACAGAATACACCACTCCAGTGGAACCAGATCTGAGTTTACCAAGTCCAATTATGGAGCCTCACGTTTATACTGTTGATAACCGTCGGTACTCCGTACAAGAATGTTCAGAGATTCATGACTCTCAATATTTTGCGGACAGGAGATTTTCCATGCCTGACACGCATGCACTTACATGGACCATGAATCCTGAGTATGACAACCAGCAAGCTCATTTACGTCCCGATAACTTCTATCTTCCCGCTCAACCCACTCCCCCTATCTCTGTTCATTCGAATTCGCCTATGAATCGTTACAACACCCCTCTCAAGTCTACTGGAGGAATTTCGACTCCTCCCCGTATGCGTCAAACCCCCGAGGGGCCTTTGTCACCTTTGGATGGAATGATCGGACACCCCGACGGTGGACTGTTTAGACCACTCCCTGGGCAGACGACCCCACCGGCCGACAACGATTTTGGCGGTAACATTGAACCGATCGACAACGATTATGGCGGTAACATTGAGTTGGACTCCCAGGAAATTTCGGAAACGTCCATGCCCCCTGAAACTTTCGAATGCCCCAGCTCTCCTCTTCAAGCAAGGCCCAGTATACGTAAGCGCGGAATTGGTAAGCCGACAATTGCGGCGACTCGCAAGGCAACTACAACAGCTAAGCTTGGTCCTGATGGGAAGCCCATACCGCCAGTTGAAGATGACAAGAGGCGCAAGAAGTTTTTGGAACGCAACAGGGTTGCTGCTAGCAAGTGTCGTCAAAAGAAGAAGCTCTGGATGCAAAAACTTGAGGAAAATGCTCGGAATGCACAATTAAGCGCCAAAAATCTTAGGGAGCAAGTCACTGCTTTGAAGGATGAGATGCTCAACCTCAAAGGCATGCTTTTGAAGCACACTGGTTGCGGTTGCCCGCAGATCCAGACATATCTCGAGAACGAAGCGGCCAAGGTTGCCCAAGCTGCTCAGACCTCTTTGGATACCATGAATTCCACAACGGAGGGACCCGCCACCACCTTCACTGAGGCTTCTAGTAGCATGCTTGGCGAGAACGACAACATCCTTGATGACGGATTCGAATTCGGGAGTGGCAGTTTCAGTGGCAGTTTCCGCAGCAGCAGCTCTGGATCTCTCTAAATTTCCACCCTTTACGATGTAACGTACGTGTAACGAGAGCACACTGGGTTAGGGGCGTTTTTGGCTTTTCAAAATTTCTCAACGGACGGCGATTTTTTCTCTTCCTCTTCTCTTTTAGGGATTTTCCGGAACATATGGGGTATGTAAATACACATTTCTTCTATTTCCTTTCATCTATTCTTTTCTTAGGGACTCACCGGAATAATGGGGGATTGTATAAAAGTACATGTCTTTTTCATTGTCGTTTTTTGATTTATATATATACACATATTTTTTTTTACTCTTTTTACCCTAGTAGTACTCTTTTCTGCTTCATCTATATATATTATTTTCCTTTTCTTTTTTCCTTTTTTTTGGGCCGGGGGGAGGGGAACTCCACTCTTTTCTGCTTCGGCCATATTTTTTTCTTTATTTTTACTCTTTGTACTCGTTTCTACTTTAACCCTGGCTATCATCCTCCTTGCCTCCAATTTCTTTCTATCGTCTGTCTTTACATTTTTATTTGTTCCCCCCCCCTTTTTTTTTTTTTCTTTCTCTTATCATCTCTTTCCCTAATATAGGCCCGCAACTGCATGTTGTGATGATGTCAACATGTACAAGCAACGCGAGAGAAGGGGTGTTATTATTGGGGTGAGATGGTACATATGAGGAGTTAACATATATATATTGACTAGCGCAGCGATTAGACTGCGCAGGTGAATCATGTATGTAGTTAGATATATCAAACAATAAAAAAACAGCAACAGCCACATGAGAATGGCTGTGCTGCGTTGCATGTAACTGTCTGTTCAAGAGCATAAGTGAATATCGGATGAATAAAGGCTCAGGGTTCATCTGCTGAGAACATGGAGTTGGAAGTTGGCGTGATACTCTGATTATCACGCATGGTCATGTGATCCGAGTGATATTTAATTTGTCACGGTGAGACCACATGCCAAGCCCAGTGAGAGTTCCAAGCTTCGTGGTGGATTTGCGCTCTGAGCTCGTTTCTCCTTTCATTTTTCGTCCGCCGGTTTCAGTGATGGGCGAGAACCGAATAGAATAGAAAGAATCAACATTGCCAGATCGCGCGGAGGTCCCAGAATCTGCATAAAAGTTTACTCTGCGCTCTAGAGTACAATACCAGCACTACATGTAGGTACCTACTTATCGATGCGAAATCCGTATGGGTTGCAGGGTTAGGGGTCCTCGTATCACAGTGGGAAAGCAAAAACCCATCTGCCAACGCGACCATTTCGCATCAGCTGGCTGGGTAATTGCCATCATCATGCAGTATCACAAGGTGTGGCGAACAAGCGCTCGATGCATACACATCATACACAGGGATGATGATTAGAATTCACCACGTACATTGTATGTGCATACCATTCATGAACGTAGGTATCGGAACCCTACGAATTAGCTACAACCGAGCAGTCGGAGTCTCGGTTTCGCATGGCCGTCTGTCGGGAGTAACTAATCTAGAGCTTTGTCTCCAGGAGACTTGGATCTACTCTGGAATCACGGCGAGCGTCGGGACTTTTACATCCGACGCCTGCCTGGGGATCTCAGACATTGTCGTTGGAGGGAGGTGGGTGACACAAGACATTGTAGGGCTGATCTTTGGGGTAATGAGCGAAGGGACATGATTAGTATGGTGCCAACAAGCACCAGGACAGAGCATCTAGGTTGAAGACCTCTGCATGCGAGGCCGTTTTTCAAAGGCATATCTTTCGTTTAATAACGAGTGCAGAGCCGATCGAAACGCCGTGTGCAGATTAATGGGACATGGGATGAAGAGAACTACTGCTCTGGCATGCGCAAAGACCCAGATATCTCGGGAGAATAAAACCGAAATAGCACCCCCAATCCCCCAACCACCACCACCACCACGATACACTAGACTCCGAAATTGCCTGAAATTAGGTTTCTAGCAGTTTCTACTATCTCTTTGGCATCTCATATATTGGCCCCCGTATTTATGTATTTGAATAAACCCTAGCTATAGGAAAAGGCGATTTTTACCTACTCGATAATCATTTCCATGTCAATGATACATATTTAGACAGGGCACACATCGGCTCAATTCCCTTATATGAATGGAACTGCGGAGGGATTATTCGGGAAGAAGTGAAATGTATATCATAAAGCAAAGTGATTACTAGTAGTGTTAAACCTGGGGCGATTAATTGTAGGATGAAATATTCTAAAATCGTTAAGGTAGTGGTGTGAACAGGAGATCAATATCACAAGGTTGAGTCCGGCTTTTGGTATATAAAACACAGCTCTCGATGCGGACATCATCTCATAGATATTATATATACACCTTCGGCGTTCTAATACTCCTCCACTGGTTTCAAGGCATTCTCAAACCATCTGCGGTTTGGATACAACCTCGCAATAACCTTACCTCGGATTAAAGCCAGCGGCACTGGTCCATAGTTTCTCGAGTCATAAGAAAAGGGTAGGTTATCGCCAGTTGTCCAACAATGGCCCTCGGGAACCTAACATGTCAGCCACCTCCTTCCTCTCCACGCGATGAACGGAGGGTACGACATACCTGCACCATCTTCCCCGGTGCACCAACCGGGTCCGCCACAACAAAGTCTCCAGGCATGCCAATGATCCGTTTGACAACACGCTCACCGGGGCCGGCATGGACGGGGTGGAGATAGCTTACCATGTCGCCTACTTCCACGCCACGGCCCCGGATGTGGAGCTTCGAAATAACGATATAGTCACCTAAGATATTCATGGTGGGGAGCATTGATGCGCCAACGGTAGAACCGACGGAGTAGAAATGCTCCCAGAAGAGGTGGGTGAAGAGGCAACCTTGTAAGGCACGCACGGTAAAACGCGCAACAGCGCGGGGCTCGGGCGGGTGGAATTCGAATAGGCGGGCGAAACGAGATTTGCTGGAGGTGCTGAATAGTCGGTTCATTGTAGGTGTGGTGGGGGTATCAAGGAGATTAAAGTGGGTGTTAGGTCGTGATGGATGGATAAGATGTTTAGGTCATCCAAACTGGCACTATACTAGCTAGCGCTGTGCAGCATGTTACCCCAGCTCGATTGTTTAACAATTGAACCCAAACCACACACACACACTCGACCGATGAGTGCATGAGCTCTCAAAGTTTGAAAGAGCTCAAATTTCTAACTTGGATGATCTTTCTAATTAGAGTCTTTTAGCTGTAATAGTTGGACAGAAAGTCGAGCACTTCGCCAAAAAGTCCTGCACATCTTGTTGGTTGAACGACTGCAAGTCTCTTCCGAAAACAGCTAGACTTTCTGTTCAACCTGCTCGACTTTCTGTTCAACTCGCGCAGCTAAAAGACTCTATTAACTTGACAAAATTTGAGCTCGAGGCCTCTTTCTCATTCAACAACTTCAATTGATCGACCGACGCTGATCACCTGTGTCACGAGAAACGATAGAGAGCTGTGGTTGGTCAAGGCTGTGAAGAGGTTGCGTTTGTGTTGGCACAGAGGGATATCGATCTAGACGTTAGTGCTTGGATCTCGCGTGGAGGAATTAACCTTTGAGGCTGCAATTGATAAGATGCTGCTGCGCAAGGTATGCAGTTCGTGCATTTCTCTATGTAACTGTCTTGGCATACCTTACGGAGTTTCTTCGTTCTTCGAAAATCGACCATGCTTTGAGCCACATGTTGTTTAGAATAGTTTTTCCAAAAAAAGAATGGCATAATGGCAAATACACACCCATTCCGTCACCATGTGCAAAGAAAGGGGTAAAGGAGAGATCCCTTATGGTATGTGGTCGAATTCAATCCTTAAAAGGTCCCCGATTCCCTTCTAATGTTTTTTGCTCTACTGCGTACTTGAGATCGAGGTCTCGACAGGAAGAACCATATTGACAGTTAACAGCTTCTAAATATATACACAGACGGGCCCGGGGTAGGACGGCCTGTAACCATGCCCCTCCCAGTTCACCAAGACCAGTATCCCCACGATACCTGGACTTTACCCTATCACAGCACTCAAACGGCTCAAACTCCTTGCTATGGCCCAGGACCGAAGGATATCATGGCTGCAGAATGATATCGAATGGCTTGATATCATCTTGCAGACCTAATTTCACTATATTTATCACCTTGCAGCATCAATACACGACCGGCAGTCTGATCATGATCAAGTAGGTAACTCCAGCGGCTGGTGAATACATCACAGGATTCCAGCAATTTCCACCGATCTGCATCCCACAGCTACCTGGAACCCCTACCGCATATGCCGTCACGCTCAACACATGTCACACTGGTACTTGCAAACCCTAGAACGGCGACACCGAGGTCCTTTTTTTTTTTAGTTCCATGTGGCTGGTCTCCCTGCCTAATTATTCCATCTCTTCCGGCCGGAACAGAAATTGCAAACCCCCTCATTTTCTTCTTTCCCATGGAAAAGAAAAAACCTGTTTTTTTTTTCCAAGAATTGTTTTTTCCCTCTTCCTTGTTGACGACGCGTGGCGTGTGGCAGTTTCCACCTCTACATAGTACCCGCCTCAGATATGGCAGCCACACACACTCGACGTGGTGGGTATTTCAACAATCAGTTGAGTGCATTTAATTCGACAAGAACAGAGCATCATGATTCCTTACTTTACCTTATGCAGCTTGTGGTTACTGCACGGCTGTTGTGAAGTTGGCGCTTGCATGCACCACTCATATGCCTGGAATTGAAGGCCTATAACTGTTGAAATATCACCTACTCGTTTATGAGTACATGTATGTACCTAGATTACTAGGACAGCACCAATGTCAATGGTATGTATTCACTCGTTTGCAGGGAAATAACCAGGAAATGTAGGTTTTTGTACACAGGAAACGCTGCCTTTTTTAGCAGCCTACACTATCAAAAAAAGAATGTATGCACCAATACCTAGATTCTCTAGAGTACCTACTTTATACCCTGTCTAACAGGTCAAAAGCCACGCGACCAAATCAAGAAACTTGATTTTTATTTTTAATTTTTTTCACCCGGAAAAGATTAGTTTTTTTTTGAGAAAGGGGAGGCGAGGGCCGGAGGAGAAGTGCGAAAATATCATGCCTCAAAAACCTCTCACGTTTATCCCCCCACGAGGGGATTTTCAACGAAACCGGGGAAAATAAAGGAAAGAGAAGGGGTATTCATCAGAAACAGGGGGAATCAAATCTACGGACCAAGATTCCGCTGATCAATCGGGACTAGGTGGATTCCCACGATGAAAGGAAGGTGCGGACGACGGACGTGCTTGAGCCACAATTTTGAGATCGAAAGATCTAGTGGAGGACTGCATATGTACACACATTTACAGGGATCCCAAATATGGTAAGATCCACCTCATTATCTAGACTACAATGTCCCGATCGGGCGCACACTACTATTTGCGATATATAGTAAGACGGAACATAAATCCGTCCCGCGGAGAGGTGTTATTTTTCTACCTACTCGCGCTGCCGGATTGAAGCCGCTCATACAAAAAAAGGTAATTGATCTAAAGACTGCAAAAACTCGAGCTCTTATTGGCTGCCAGATCACTCGCCACAGCTCTTTAGGCGGCTTCAAACCGGCCGCGCGAGTATGTTCTTGGGAGTCACATAGTAGCATGAACCTGGTTCGAAAAGGTCCGAGTGCAGCGTTGTATGGATGCTGGCTGCTGAAGTCATTGTACATACAGCTAGCTAACAAAATGGCGAAACTGGAGGGAAGCGGGAATCATTTGCTCTCTTTCACATTCACAAGGAGATTCAGAGAAGGTCACCAGGCAGGACTAGGATCCGAGATTCTCTGGCATGATAGAGTGGAGAGTCTCTCCCTGAGATTTTTTTTCTTTTGCAACCAGCAACAACCCTACACAGATGCTACTTTAATTGTAACTGACGACGTCGTTGCAGCAGAGCCCCAGCCTTGCAGGCTGTGACATTGGGTGCGACATTAATTTACGAACCCCGGATCATTGGTTTGGGTCGTAGCAACCGAGAGCCCCGCCAATTGCAATATCGGTGAGCTGATGGACAAGAAACTGTTTGTATGGCGATCATATAATAATGTCTTGTTCGTAAACAGAGCAAGATCCGAATGATTGAGCTGAGATACGTGCAAATGCCATGTCCGTATGTCTGCTGATGTAGAGGATATCCTCCGGTCATCGGGCTGCGTGAGTGTGGATAATGTTGACTCTGATGATGTGTTGAGGTTTCATGTGTTCTTCCTTACATACATGTATTTAAGGGAGGTTTGATGTCTTACGTATATGCAGGGTTAGGGCTGTTTGTGTCAACTTTGGGTGTGATCTTCAAACCTACATACCTGGAAACGAACTGTCTGGCTTTGGGCTAGCGAATTAGTATGACTTGGTATGAAATCTAGATTTTATCTCAACAGTATTTTGGAAAAAGGTAGGTTTTCATAATGTGGCGCAGGTATGCCTCGATCACAGGTCATCACGCGATGGTATGTTGTGGCGGTGTCGAGTCAATCCTCGTACTCACATGTGCGAGTCTTCACCTACAATAGTACGGAGAATAGAAAGTAATTCATCTTACTGCTCCTCTGCTGGGATGAGATGTTCTTGTACTCGTAAAAGTTGCTGCCCTTGGTCAAGAATGCTAATTGATCTTGACCTTGCAGATACATGTACATGCATATCTAGATCAGGAATATACATATGTATAATCCGCCACAAACGGTCTATGTACTTATAGGCTGTAATTGAAACAAATACTTTAGAGAGTTTCCTTTAGGAACCTAAGTTTTCAATATCAATCCTAGAATAATACCAGAGCTTTTTAGCATCTATGTATCTTAAAAAAGGGATAGCAACTATCGGAGTACAACTACATGTACCTACATCACCTACGTATCTTCTCAAGGGTGATAGTGAAAAAATGCAAAGTTATTATCACCGACTGTACATATATGATCGAACGCCGGCGTTACGCTTCTGCTCATATTTTTATCCCATCATCCGGACCGGAGAAGGCTGCTGAGATGGCTATTCACATTTTGTACTCTGATATTTTCTCTCAAGGACACTTGGACCTGAGCTACTTTATTACCTTGCCTAAATTGAAGGATACTATATTATCGGGCTAGATCCGTGTATTTGATACTTTTGATACAAGATTTTGCAGGCTTTGAATCAATTCTGGGATATGAAAACAACTTTGATCGAAGTATTTTGGAGGATATAAAAAATTACCCGCGTGATAAAATGGCTATTGAAACAATTTTTCGAAATGTTAGGCGATGTAAGGTCTTGATGACGGATTATATTATATATAGAAAGCCAAGATATCAACTCAAGCACTTATCATCGAGTTGCTAAAAGCCGGTATGACCAGAAGGGGCTTGTTCCTAATTTGCAACATGACGTAAGAACTTTATAGATTCTAATGTGCAATTGTATACTAGGAAGTTCGCCTCATAATCATCTAATAACACAAAGTACACTTGGGAGCTTATTGTGGTACTGTTTCATCAGTGGATGGCATCGGATGGATTTCAGACAATGATGCATGTAGTCCCTTCACACCTGATATTTTGGTCGTGTACTCAAATCAAGCGGGCCGAATAGGCGGTATTCCTAATATCGGTATACTTACCATATCATTTACGTACGAGTAGTTTAGTACCAATATATATATCTATTACGATTTCATTCAGTTCTCGATGCAACTCTAATTATAAAGCGCTAACATTTTCGAGAGGGACCCGCGATGAAAAAGAATTGATTATAATAGTACAGTACAGTGATCATGATCATGATGAGATCCCGAGTCATGACTTGAAAAAAAGCTGATAGGGGTCGAGGAAAGTACAGTGCACGTGGAAAAGAAAATAGTCATTATAGCATGAGCCCGCTTCGATAATTCATTCATGACCACTATTCCAACAGACATTAGCCGGTCTCTTTGCGTAGCTACTATGTCGATCGAACCCTTCAATTTTCCGAATTCGCATTACAGTATATTCACCAAGCTTATCGTCTTCGAAGAGTTTTTTGTGTGCACCAACACGGCCACAACATAATAGTGAGACCATTCACTCAAGTCCAGAACTACATGTAGCTAGTCTGGTGCCCAGATCTGTGATGAACTTTTCTGTGTCTCCATGAAGTGCGACATCAGACCTTAATAACTGGTAAGCAGGTTAACCCCCCATGGTATCATAAATTAAATAGTAAGTAAGCTCGAAATAATGATAGGTAATAGACTTAATGTATGTCACGAGCTCGAGACTTTGTCTCGGGACCTGACGAGACCAGTCTAGGATAAGATAAGATATCTTGAGACCTTCTTTTTTCCTCTTTTGTTGAAATCTCGAGATAAGTCTCGAGACTTAATTCCGAATGATGCTAAATGACCCAAAATGAGGACCCATCGTGCCCAGGTTTCTTCTAGTTGGTTATAAATCAGGTGTGCAGTACGTTGGCTTTGAATTCAATCTGTCATTTTGCCAAGAATTCTGGTCTCTAGTTTACTTTTGGAAGTTACTAGCCAGATGTATGTATAAGTTCTTATATCGAATCCGGGTTAGGTTAGCTTAGGGTCGCATTATCTCTACGAGGTTATATTATGTCGAGCACTTCCAGCCATACCAAAGGGTGCTGGTAACCTCACATAGCAACCAGGAGATTTTCCAAATTTGCAGTTCCTCTTTATAGGCAAACTTTTAAATACCAGAACAATCGATCATATTGTAATCGAATGCCGTATCAATCTGATTACCACATATATATCTCATGTGCACGTGAGAAAAAATCTTTCCTATCATTTATTCTCTTCTCCAGAGCGTCATTGCCATACAAGTATCTACTAATTCTGCAAGAATGACTAAGTATGTAGTTGCAAGCGGGATCAAGGTAGTTCCCTAAAATACCAGTGTCGGGTCATGAGGGGTTACAATATACTAGCACTGATCATGAAAGCTATATATGGACATCTGGGCCCCTTCTTACCGCAACCTACTACGTACTATAGGTAGTCAGTGCCTGTAACTGATGTTAACGGAGAGATTACAAGGTGCCAATGAACACTGAGTCGTAGTTAGGGAATGTTAGGAAATTAAAGTGAAGGCAATCAAACTCAGTAGAAGAGTTTTGCTGTGAAGTGCGCACTAGTATTGCCGGCGCGAGAAAATAAAAATGGTGTTTTGCTACAAGTCCAAACTATATATGTCATTTTAATCCACTACAATATTGTGTGATGAGTGATATCAACTGTATATTGAAAAAAATACGCTCTAGTGTGAATTTTATCTCCTTATTTTATTCTAACCCGTCAGAGAAGTGAAGTTATGCCTACTTTGGACTGTTGCAATTGCCATAGAGACACACATTATAGCAGCAAAAGTCTCCCAATAGTCACTACTATGTACAGAAACAAAGAAACAAACTATTTCTGTGCTCTTCTCAATAAATCTGTTTGGGCATTGAATCGTGCTGGTAAATTTCATTATCCTGAGATATCGAAATGAAAGCTGGCTAACACCATAGAGTAAAAACACATCAAATCGTCCTCGATTTTATCCTGTATCCCTTTTTTCAATACACCTAATTGAGTACATTGCGGTGGCTTTAGATCTAACTATCGTAAAAAATCCCCTTATACATATGGTTCACCTCCACCAACGAGTCATAAACATTGAAATCTACCCATTATGTCAGCCAATCTATCCCACTAATATAAAAAAAAGCAACTATTCCACAAAGGAAGTGAGGGATACCAATATTCGTCCCGAAATCTATGGAATTCAACACCTTGACCGACAGGTCCTGCTGAATCTTCCCAACAAGCTCCGCAGCATGTCCGACCGCAAGGTGACTATCCTACAGCCCCGAGAATCTCTTAGTTAGTACATTATTAAACCCATACCATAAATGACTAAACACATACCCGGTCGAGGTGAGCAACGATGGTGCCGTGGGAATCAATTGTAGCAGTTTCGCCATGGAGCTCGAGGACCTTTCCGACTATGCGTACAACGCGGCCCTGGAATCGTTCTAGAAGAGGGGCATTGATCCTGGGAGCTTGTTCGCTCATTGTATGGTGTATTTGTGGTTTTACTGATGGGAGGTGTTAAGCTATGAAGCGTGTAGGCGTGAGCGTGGTGGGGTTGACGCGTTCTGTTGCTGGTGACACTTCTACGTGTAGAGTGGTTGTCGCGACGGACAGAGCCTCATTGACGTTTGGCTAGTCCTTATTTGGAGATTACCCATGAAAATACCCCTTGCTTGGATCAGTCCTAGACTCGTAGCCATTAAACCAAATGAGATTTTTTCAACCGTGCTAAAAAGAAAAGGCTCGTGTGTTGCAAAGTGCTGAATTGGACTTGCTTATTGACCCTCATAGACTATCACTCGCATACTATAATTGCCGATCGGCAGGGTTAGGGCTTTTCTTATCCGAGCTGACAACATCTCACGCCTCGTCAGACATCACAGGTCAATTGATCAGAAGAAGATATAACACACTCATAACATAAGATACACAAGATAATATAGTGTCTTATTTCTTGAGCAATGCTTCCCGCCAGCAGCCAACAGCAACAGCCTGCACAACCAGTCTACGTGCTCAGAGGACACTCAGCGCAAATACATGCCGTTGTCTTTACGAGAGATAATGAGAGAATTATAACTGCTGACGCCGATGGCTGGGTTGTTGTATGGAACGTTGGCACCAGACGGCCAGTCGCGGTGTGGAAGGCTCATGAGGGCACGGTTATGAATGTCGTGGGATGGGATGGGAAGATTATTACGTGGGTTTGCCTCCCTGTTATCATAGATATTGAGCATCCCCGTTTTCATTATCCCACACGTGATAGAAAGGTTACCGGAAGTAATGGGATTAACATATCTATAATAATGCTCAAACCAGACACGGAAGAGATAACAAAATCCTCGTTTGGAAGTTAGGGACTCTTGAAGATGAGTCTGGGATGGATACAGCTCTTCCAGTTGACCTAAGCGCAGGGCATCGCCGAAGCCCGTGGCTCTTGTGTGCATTAGATGTTAACGCACTTAATTTCTGTGGCTTTGCAATGTGCGAAGATCGTGCGGATTCAAACACCCCAGAGACATGGGCGAAGAACCTGTTGATAGCTATACCCAGTGCACTTAACTCTGACTCGGTAGTAGCATTTCAAGTTATGATGATGGATAGTTTAGACTAATGGAGGTTTTATATATAGGTTGATATTATGAGACTACCAACGAAGGAGAGAGTCCATGCTGGGATTAGGACGGAAGAAGTCAAGACAGGTTCGTTAGCACTTAGAGTTCGTTTTCGCCAATATGGTCTGTTTTTGTTAACAACGTAACCTAGGCATGGCTATGAGCCTTGGGCTTTTCTACTGTGGAAATACTCTTACCCTTGTTGCAGCTTATGAGAGTGGACATGCAGCGGTATACAAGTTCAACGAGGGGTTATGGAGTAACATTTACTTGAACAAATCACACTCACAACCTAGTAAGTCCCCGCTTTTCTTTCTAATCTGAGATAACTCTAGCTCAATGTAATAGTTCTCTCCCTCTGCGTATCTCCGTTTCCAGAAGCTGCGCCATATTTCCTTACCTCCTCTGCCGATGCCGCCATCGTAAAACACCCCCTAAACCCTCTCACGCCCAATTCTGATCCAATAAAAACCGTAAATACGAAGCATTCAGGGCAGCAATCTATCTCCATCCGCTCAGATGGTAAGCTCTTTGCAACGGCCGGATGGGATTCTAGGATTAGGGTATATTCCACCAAAACTATGAAGGAGCTTGCTGTGTTGAAGTGGCATCAGGAAGGATGTTATTCCGTTGCATTTGGAGAGGTCTTGGAGCCTGACCAAAGTAAAGAGACGGACGCATTGATTACTGTCGAGGAAAGGCGGAGGGAAAAGGTCAGGGCTGTGCATTGGGTTGCTGGAGGGGCTAAGGATGGGAAAGTATCTTTGTGGGAGGTTTACTAGCTAGTACTAAGAAATCTTACCAATGTATGGGTTTGCCGGTGCTCCATGGTTTATTATGTTTTCGACAGATCCAGATCTGTAGAGATGCTTAACTAGTGCCTATACATATGTATGCTTGTGTTTGGGGAGTGATATACAGTATATCTCGTAGCGTAATATTTGATAAAACTGACAAGAGTTTCAAATCTAACGCATTGACATCGTCAGCAATTGAAAGTAGTGTGGTCTAATCATTTCTGATGCCACGTTTGACTAAGCGCCAAGAGCGTGAATATATGCGCACGTTACCCTACTGCACCTTGAGACTTCAACTCGAGCTCAATTGTCACCCGCGTGAAGCAATCCCGAATTCGATATTCAAAATGTCTGTACGACATCTCTTCCGGCGGTCTCTGTTATTCTGCCAACAACCATTGAGGCCACCCCCAATAGTATTTCGGGCAATCCCAGCTTTCCCGCTCGCCAACAATTCACTCTTACCCATCCCCCGCCGCCGCACATTGGTCGATATCGCCCACTGCCTCCGCGACGAGGACATCCTGAAGATAAGTCCGCAAATCCAGTTGATCGATGCCGATGGCCAATTCAAAGGGGTGCAGGCCCTAGAAAGTGTGCTTGGGTCCTTTGACCGGGAAATATACCACCTCGTGTGCATCAATCCAGTTGCCGAGAACCCGATCTGCAAGCTCATCATGAAGCAGACCCTGGTGGAGGCCTCATATATGATGGACAAGAAGAAAAAGACGGTCACTAAAGACCCCAGTAAGATTGTCAAGGTAGTGGAGATATCATGGGCCACTGCGGAAAATGATCTAGGACACAAGATCAAGAAGATGGTTGAGTTTATGCAGAGGGGGAACAGGGTCGAAGTGGTGCTCGGGATCAAAAAAGGCATGGCAAAGCAGCCATTAGAAAAGATGGCTGAGCTGGTTACCCGAATCAGGGCGGAAGTAGAGCCGTATGGGAGGGAGTGGAAGGCACCCGATGGTGCCGTCGGAATGCAGTATATAATATACTTCGAAGGACATAGACCGAAGGAGGAGCCGAAGCCAGTGGAGGAGCCAATGGGTCCTATAAAGATGAAAGCAAAGTTTGCAAAGGTCAACGAGGAGCGAAGGCTGAGATACGAAAAGTGATGTGTTTTTGCTTCCTGTAAATCAAAGCATAGCGTGTGCTTGGATAAATATAGAAATAAAGAAAAAAATCCCAAACAACTGGCTTCTAATCCCACAGTAATAAAGGTCATATTCTAGGACGATATATTATGTATCTAGGTGTATGGCTCGATTTAGCCTTTAAAGACGACCATACCCCGATTCTGTGCTTCAGGGCCAGGAGGATCGGTCTTGTACTAAGCCAGAATTTCTGCACACCCCAAAGGATCTTGGAGGCAGTCCCGCCCCGTAAGCCTTACTTCGTTTCGAAGTTCATTCTATCGGGGATATTGGGAATTATGTTAATACACCCTTGTGACAACCGATCACGATGCTCAATGCAAGAGCAAAAAATGTTCCAATACATTTGCTAATGCTACCCATTTACTGCATGGCCTACATATCTATAGGAAACATCACTTCTCGAGGTAGGAATCCACCACCAGCCGGTACGCACCTGCCGTGAAATATAAATGACTACTGTGTATTGATCCTCTCAGAACTCAGCCATGCAGTGGAAAACAGGTACCAGAGAATGCGGACCGCCACCACATACTCGTACTGGATAGTTTAGACCTTCTGCGGAACTATCCTCGTCTTGAAATCACAACATATATATACACGGCACTCTGCATACACGAATGAATTATCAATCAGTCAGTCACTACACACGGCACTCTGTATGGGTCGAGTGATATTTCATGTCCCAATGTTTTGCGATTTTGGGCCTTCATAGATTCTGAGCAAGTTCGCATATCAATAAGCGCGTTTGATTATATGTACATGTTTCCAAGTACAATCCCCTATATTCGTTGGAATAATTCACCAATCACCGTGTAAATAACTGTAGGTTGAAAAAAGAAAGAAAAAACGAGACGCGATAAAAAGATGTGCCTATTCCAAGAATACTCCAATACCAAGTTGATAAAAAAACAAAAGAGAATAAAAATGCAAAGATATAAAGCTCCAGGAACCCCCAAACCAAAACAAAAGAAAATAAAAGATACAAACTGCGCTTCCCCCGTTTAAACGTCACAATCATTACTTCGTCCAAACTTCTAACAATAACAATAAAAAATGATAGATAAAATATATGAATCTCTAATCAGGTGCTCGCCACGAGATTTTTTGTAGCCTCATCAATATAGCTTGAAAAGTCTACCGTCATTGCCACTTCCTCTGGCGTCGTCCCAGCACTGCTAGACTTCTCACTCTTCATACTTTCGCCATCCACCGGAGCGGCGATTCCCATATCTTCAAATATATCTAATCCATAGTCCATTTCGTTGAACTCTGGACTGGATGGTAGAAACCCTCCCCAGCTGTTTACTTCATCTTCCATTCCGTCACCAAGATTGAATAAAGGTGGCGGCGAACTTGGCATAGTCATGTCTGTCTCAAATATATTGTCGCCAAAATCGAAATTGTTGGTGGTGTCGAAGGGAGAGAGTCTGGGGAGATCGTCCGGTAAATGGGCACCGAGGTCTAGCGGGAGTGTCATAGGATCTGCCATTGTCATGATTTTTTCTAGGAGTTGCGATGTGGGAGAGAGTGAGGACTGAACTGCCGTCTGGGTGGTCTGTCCTTCAGGAGTGGCTTGAACAAGGCTACCGCATGCCTTTCTCTTCCCCCCAGGAGCGAAAATATCAGCGTTCCACGGAGATGGCGAAATCAGTTTTCCAGGCTTCATAGGTGAGCTCAAAGGCGTCCTAGGCTGTAAGGAAACACCCCTCTTTTTAATGGGTGTGGCTAGTCGTTGATCTTCACTCCCATTGTCAGGAGAAACAGCATCGGGAACACGATTTTCCTTCTCAAGTTCGGATCCTAAACCTTTGGGGTGAGTGGCATTCCCAGGTTTTAATGCTTTTCGAATAGACGAACAATTAGGGATTACTTTAACGGGAAACAGAAGTCGCCGTGGAGATTGTATATTTGTGTCAGCTTCCAAATCGATGGGGCTGTCTGCGCTGAGGCCGCGCTTGGCAGGGCTGGATTGAACGACACGCCTCGACGCTACTGAAGCTGCTTCCCAATCGGGGTCACTGCCTCTAACAGACCTGTTCCCTTTGGGTGTCATGGAATGCCTCTTTTGCACTGGTACTTGAGGAGGAGGCATCGGCAGTTCCTCTTCATCCTCATCAGGTACAACAATCGGTTCTATGCAAACCTCTGAATGCTGAGATAGAGCTTGGCTTGAAGCAGCAGGGGTTGGCAAGGCCTTTTTCTTCTTTGGTCGCGGCCTTTTTGGTGCAGGCTCTTCCTTCTTCCCATCCCAGTAATCCTGGGGCCGCATGGTCTTATGCGAGCCATACCACAATCCGCATGGGTTACAAAGTAGTAAATCTTTGTCTTTGTCTTTCTTTGATTTAGCATCACCTTCCACCTCTGCTTCTTCGCTGTCATCCTTCGTTGAAACCTTTCGCCAGGTGGGTGTTTCGATAGCCCCACAATTCATGCAAAAGTTCGGCATCTTTCCTTGCTCTATCGCGGCAAGCATTTGAGCATGGATGCGTTCTTTCACATTGGCAGCTGTACGAGCAGCTTTCTCGCTTTTTGATCGCTTTATTTTCCTCCCTCCATCCTCTCCGATATCGCTAGAGGCTACGGCATCCGAATTAATAGTGCCGGGATCTATTACTGACTTGGCTTTCTTAGGGTATTTTCGCTTTTGTTTTGGTTTTGGTTTTGGGACTTCGCTGAATGTGCTGGGGGAAGGTGCTGCAGTTTCAGTCATGTCATCAGGCAATGTACTTAGCCTATTAACAGTGGGAAATTTCAGGGCTGTCAATAATGCGGTTTCTTGGTCTGTCGTTGTGATTGGAGGCCGCGCAGGGGACTCGACAAACGGCGACCCGATATTTGCCACATCTGGTTTGACATCTTCAAAATTTGGATCCTCAAACAGAGACTCCACGTCCTGATGATACTCTTGCGACGCATGTTGAGCATCTTCGTTAGGAGGCAACGATGGCAGGACCGGACTTGTAGGCTCTGGTGAAAATTCGGCGTTGATTTCTTCGGCGGTTTCCTCTGGTGCAATCGGAGGAGATGATGCCATGATGGTGGAGTTGACAGTCTGAGGGGCCGGAGAGTTTTCATTTTCCGGGGAGAAGATCTCGGCATTAAACGATATAGAGAGTTGCTCCGTGGTCTCTGCAGGTACTTCAACTGGTTGAGGAGTTGCATCTTGTGGAACATCCAACGGTTCCTTGAATTTTTCCATGGGAGATGTAAAGAGCTCTGGTATCGGAGAAAGAGGGACGGGCGGCAGAGCTGCAGTAGCCTTCTTTCGAGATCCACCACTTGGCTTCCTTGGCCTCCCAGAATAATTTCGCACCTTCTTCTTTGGAGGCTCTCCATTCTCTTCTGATGATGTTGCATTTCCATCCCGACTGCTCTTCTTCGAACGGTTCTTCTCTGTTTCGGCCAGCATGCTCTTATCTAAAGTTCTTGACTGGGCTTGTAACGGCTCAGAAGCCGATGAGGGGTGTGTAGGTGGAGCTAGGATGTTAGGGTGTTGGTTTAAGTAAGTTGTCCAAGCTGAAGCATTAAACCCTCCCGGTATAACTTTTGAAAGAGCATTGTATGTATGTACAGACTGCACAAATTGGGCCTGTGTAAATGTCTGTACTGGCATGAGTTTAAATTTTACTTCTAATGTTTCCTTTACTTCGTCATTACTGAAGAATCCGAAGTTATTGCATGATATACGACCAGTAATGATATGCCGAGCAGGGGCGGGGTTATCTGATCCATTATTTGGGTTATTGACAGCTGTCATTGCCCATGAGAGTAGCCCACAGCCAACCAGAGGTATTCCTTGTTCCGAGTAATCATAAGCATAGACAGAATAGTCTTGACTAAGATTGGCTACCAGTTCAGGACTATCCAGAAGAAAAGACAATTCTAAAATTAGCAAGAAAGAACGTTCAAACTTGCATTTACTGGTTCCAACCTTGACGAGATCATGCTCAAAATGCATGTCTTGAACTCTACCGCTCCCACTAGGAGGTCCTTATCAATTTGTATGGCCCTACTGTTAATGGGATGAGGATATCGTGCCAGGCAGTTTGATTTGCTCTCATCATCGAATGTGTATGCTACCTTCACTATCAATGAAAATCACTTTTGCGTTAGCGTTTGTTTGTGACTGTTCTTCTTAAATCCATCATAAGTAGACGCGTACATCGCATAGACCTCGGTTGGTTTTCACCCTGAACCCCCACAGATGACCCGGGGGGAGTAGCCATGGCTGAAGAAGACATCTAGATTTCTTCAGCCGTGAGGTTGTTCGGTTACGGCACGACGATGTTGAATAGGCGCCCAGTTGTCCTCCTGACCCTCTATCCTTCTCTGAACCGAAGGGTCACCGTTCGCACAACGCACCAAAATTGATGGGTTCGGTAATAGCCCTTGGCGCGTTGAAGGATACTACGAAGTAGTGTGGAGATGGGATGGGAAGTGCAGTTGTGGTTTGATGGATGGATGATTTCGTGAGGATCGTTGTGTGTGGAAAGATCGAGGGGGGTGAGGTTAAGTTTGAGGTAACCGAAGGAGAATGTGCAGAGCGGTCGTAGTGCAAAGCGTGCTGTGAGGGGCGCGACATTGAGGCCTTGGGAATGGAAGGCCGGAAATGGAAAAATGTAATAGGCTTGAACGCGCGCAGGGGTCGGCTTTAGTGATAGAATTGACCCCTGTCATAACCTCAAACTCAGCACAATTCACGACAACGCGCTCCTCGAGCAACCATGCGGGTTAAACGCGACACAAATCACTTTGCAGCCCAATCTGGCTTGGGATCTCTTCCCTAACTCGTTAGAACTTAGAACCACTTTAACCACTCTATCTGAGGATAACGCCAGCTCTGATAATCAGTAAAATTTAATCCTCTCCTCTGATATAGAACCCTAGTTCAATATGTTTGCACTTCGCTCTCTCCTGTTACCTCTCTCTATATATTAACTAGAACACCAACCACTAATTATTTGATTGATAGCCACATTAAAACTGCTACAAGTGCTACAGCCAAGAAATGGAAGAGGAAAATAGATATTGAGAGTTTTGAATTCCTCTGTGATACCCAAGGTGCATTCTGCTCATGTATGTAGCATCTCCCTCAACCACGCCACTTCCATCCCTTCCATCCCAACAATCCGCACCCCCGCCTCTAGCATAGACCCCTCCGCCTCCTTCCACCCTTCTACAGGATCCACCGCCATTGTACCCTCCTTCACTACAAACGTAGTGTACCCAAACCTCGCTGAATCTATTGCACTGGCTCTAACACAATAATCTTGCGCTAGTCCTACAATATACATATGTGTTATCCCCTTCTCTTGTAGAAGACGTGGTAGCTCCGAAGTGCTCACACTCGTAGACTCAGATGTGAATGGAGCTTCATGGAACGGGTCTGTAAACGAGGAATACATCTCTAGCCTGGAATCCTTCCCCTTATCGATGATCATATCGATCAGGTTTCCATGGAGCTCAGGAAGCAACTGTGCCCCTGGTGTGTCTTGAATACAGTGAGGGGGCCATAGGAGGGTCTCATAGGTTCGCGATGGGTCGAAAGGATGGATAATGGTTGTTTTGGACACGTATGCGATGTTGTCTGGACCCGCGTGGTTGGAAGCGAAAGATATGTGGTCACGAGGATGCCAATCCCTTGTAGCGACTTTGATAGCGAAAGGGAGTGAAAGAAGCTCGTTCACAGTTGGCACGATATTTCGTCCGTTCGGAACTGCAAGAGATCCGTTCTGCGGCCATATTAGAATGCGGGCGAAGCGGGAATAGGTGGGAGTACAAACTGGAGGGCAGAAATCTTCTTGCACATCAACAACTAAAAGAGCTGGTTTAAAATTTTGTGGTGCTTGCGACATTATGAAATATCGACTTCTTTGGTGTGGTAATGACTGAGGATGATTACATGTAGGTAGGTGAAGACAAGATAGATTGGGATGGTTCGCTTATATCACTACTTCTGGCATAGCTTCATGCAACGTCAAGATAAGATAAGCCATCAACTATTATCGCTTGAGATTAGCGAGAAATCTCAGCCAAGCCTTTAATTGATCAAGCGAACCAGTAATAGTAATAACTGGAATTACTTAAGCACGCAAGAGTTAGGTATCTACAGATCTTTTTCTTTTTCTTGGGGCGAATCCCGGGGGATACTCTTCGTATTGCAAGTCGGGTATGTAGAGTAGATAGACTGAGCTAGGATTAGAGCCAAGTGGATTTAATCTCTAATAATTGCATGCATGTATGTATGTACGTGGGATTAATCGACCTAGCACACCTGGGAGGGGGAAATACATGTACTTGTAGCGTAGTTCTACTACATCCCCAGTCTCAAACCGCGAGCAAGTAAGCTGCTCGTAGCTACAGGGGATAGGTATATGTATGAGACTACTACAACCCACCTAGCTCAGTGACACTCACTGAGGAAGGCCGCTCTGGGTCCCTTGGAGAGTCACCATCCCCCAAAAATTACATGTATGCACTGCTCAGCTCGCTCGCCACATAAAGAGCTACATCCTCATATATGTATATATCAACATCGATATTGCGGGGAGTTCTTGAGAGGACAGCAGCTGTATTTAGGAGCAGGAACCAATTTCTACATCTCGACTTCTACAACTACCCCGTAATTCACCAGCGATTGGCCTGGCAACAGTGTTTTAATTCATTTCATCTTGTAGATGTCTTAATCCGCTGCCTAATTGGACGTCCTCACTTTGTCAAAAACATATAGCTAAGAGACTTAGCTGACCGCAGGGTGAGAGTTATAGGCACAACAAAGCCCTAAAGTTTATATGGAGGTGCTGTAGACGTTGGATGAAGCCATTACTTCTGCAGGTTCTCCTTGTTGTTGACAAAGGCCAATATTGCCATTGCTCGGAATTAAGCAAGGAGCTCACAAAAATATAGGGGACGTTGTGGGCAGAAATGAAGTAAACGACAAGTACATGAAGATAGATACATTATATTATAATCTTCCATAAAAAGAAGATGCAATATGTATGTATATCTTGACCAACATCCTTTTCTTCAAAATTACATGGCTCTGAATGTCTGTATGCACTTCACATATGTAGGCTTACCACGTAAGTGTAAAGATTTTCGTGCGCTTAGGATTCTACAACGCGACTAATGGCTTAAAATGATACATGCATGTATCAAAATATTTGGAGAAGCAGTGGGTATTAATGGTTTACATAGTACATTTCAATCTTATTCGGAGCTCATACGTGTACATAGACTCTCGGCCTCCAGAGCTCGAGACTTTGTTCCTCATCCACTCTTTACTTAGACTGCGCGAAGCCCTCAACCAAGACTGCAATTCCCACGGCACCAGGATCCAGAGTATCCCCAATCTCATTAACATAGACACTTCTTCCCAGACGTGGTCTCATCCCCTTTGTACTATCTGCGCCTTCTCTTGCAGCCTTTGCTGCAGCAACCAACCCTTTATCCTCCGCCAGTGCAATAATGAAAGGCTGTAGTGCATCAACCAAGGTCCTATCGCCTGGCTGTGCAGGGGTGTATCTCCTCAAAGATACAAGAGCGGCCATTGCGGCAGTTGCCCATGTCTTGAGTGTTGCCCTCTCTTCCCCACTCCTCCGGAGCGCTTTCGCAAGGGAGTTGAGAAAGATTCTATTCTTGTAAGCACTACGCAGGGAGGTAAAGGTATGTGGATAGGTGGGTGGACATACGAGTAAATGGCCCCTGAAGTACCATCCATATGCTCCTCCACTATCTCTGCAAGCTTTGCGACGGTGATGACTGCATCTGGGACAACCTTCCCGGAATCAATGAACTTGAGTACCGCTTCTGCACCTGACTTAAGCGCGAGCCCACAGTCACCATCACCTACGATTTCATCGGCCTTTGTGATCTCTGGCTCAGCCTCAATGAGTTTTTTCAACCCTGCAGTCAGTATCTTCGAGAAGATAGCCGTATCCACTAATTTGGGTTACCCACTAGTTAGCGTTCAACCTTGAACACATATCCTGGACTGTATTTTACGAACTTTTCAATTTTGAAGATGGTATTCTCTCATCAACTGCAATCTTCTCGGCCACCTCGTCCTTGACTTTGTTATCCCAAGTTTCAGGCTTGACAATCATCGGCCATCCGATTGTTTCGCATGGCGCGTCCAGAAGTTCTAGCATACTCTTCCCTTTCCCAAGCCCGGTATCAACCAGTCTCAGAAGACTAATGCTGAAACCATTCCCATTCAAGCTGGTCATATAGGTTCCACTGAATACTCTTTTTGGCTCAATACCATAAGTCGCGTCTATAAACATTAGCCAGCCTTCTAATACGCAATTCTAGGTATACACACCAAGCTGTTTGACGACTTCTGTAGTGACACCTCCCATCTCTAGGGGACTGACACCCCCCAAATTATTGATCAACAGGACCCATCCCTCGTTCTTCTCTACTTCTTCTAGGTATCCGCGGTCTTTATCGCTCGAATCTAATAATTGTTTCAACAGCAGACTCACTAGTTCACCGAGCGGCGGGATTGGAATCCTCTTGAACCCCTGCTCATTATGAATCCCCATCCCTACCTCTACATCCGTTTCCTTCAACGCTGCCTCATTCTCTGCCGTTCCATGGCCCGGTACGTGCACATGTCCCAGCGAGCTCCCAACACTCACCAAATTAGCACTCACCAACCTTGCGACCTCCGTCACTTCCTGCAAGTTGCCCTTTGCGGCTGCTAGCGCCCCAGCGACCTTGTGGACTAGCACCGTACCAGCGATACCTCTGCGCCCAACTTTGCCGTTTATTTCACGCCCGACACCGACGTCGTCGCCGACTACTACCATCTCGACATCTAGACCAGCGGCCTTGGCCTTTTCGCTTGCCAGCCCAAAATGGAGCACATCGCCGGTGTAGTTCATAACGATCATACACACCCCACTATTGGGGTTCACACGGTGGATGATGGCATTATAGATCTGTCTGACACTTGGACTGGCAAAAATCGATCCTGAGACGGCAGCACGGAGAATGCCGCTGCCTACAAAGCTATGAGGTTTCATCCCAAGTGTCAGCAAGCGCTTCTCGGACATCTCATCCGCAGCTATAACTCATGGGCATTCTGATATGGCCTGGAAATGAGCATGTGAGGTTGATACCTGACAAAACTGGGTTCATGACCAGCACCTCCGCCGGAGACAATCGCGACGGTGTCAGCGGCGTTGTGCCTCGAGTAAACGATTTTGTTTTCCTCATCTAGCTTGAGCGCTGGGTTTGTGACGGGCACTGATCGAAGCGCTGATGCGACTAGGTCTGCTGCGTCATTGATGAAATGCTTGTCTATCGACCCACCAGTTAGCTTTACCTTGTGGAGGTGTCTGGGGGGGCCAATGATATGACGTCAAATAAGGCTGAACTTACTGGACATCTTGATTGTTTAAAATCGATGTTTTAGTTGGCTACTTTGGTTGATTGGTCTGTCCTTCAAATAACGAAACCGATCCAATAGATATTTGCAAATAAGATGAGCAGATTCCTGATGTCTTTACGGAGGGGAAACGTTACGAATCGTGTGGGAGCGAGAGGGGTCAACTAAGTATCATGCCATGGAATTGGTTCTTCAGGCAAAACAACCTCCATGAAAAATACATCCCAGAAAAACAAGCAAAATAAAACGGCTATGAAGTCAACGGAAAACAGATACGGAAACTGGTTTGGAAATCATTTCGTTGAGTCTAACTGCTCGGTTATGCGGTCGTTGTGAAGCGTCGTGGGGTAGCCGGTGGATTATCCGAGGCTAACCCGATTGGGACAATTATCGGCATAATAATTGCGCGAGTGCATACGGTGATCAGGTACACCGCGACAGTTACGGCAGACAACGGGATACTCAAAGTCGCTAGTACAGTAGAAAATTTGCAAGGCATATCTCACACGGAAAAGAAAGAAAAAGAAAACATGGGTTGGATAGTCAGTCTTTTATCCTAGTATCGTAGGGCGCTTTTTGAGAATGGTTATCGGAGACGATGATTCACTGAGAGTCTCGGTGAGTGTGCTCTACTAGCTCCACTTTCTATTGCCGTAGACGCGTATCCACCACCCATCTAGACCTTCACTAGACCGGATTGTGGCTGCAGCTCTCTAATAGCGTTTTCCACGAAGCAAAACAGCTACCGAAAAACATACCTGGGTCAGCTGCGGTTACATATTCGATTAGGAAAAGCCAAGGGTTTGCGGCTTTTGTTTATGGAGGTAGAAGGATTTGCATCATAGATGATCACTCGCCAGCCACGGGGCCACGGAATCGAGGTGTCGGAGGTCTTGGTTTATAACGGAGACCCTCCGGATTGGGCATCTATAATGATCAGTAACCAAAATGGAACCACGAAATCGTAAGACTTGACGTCCCCACGACCACATTCACTGGGTTCTATTAGCCTGTTGTCGAAAGATGGAATATCGATCATTGGCTTGTCACAATGTCAACCTGGATGCTAGGGTAATCACTTTCTTGGGTTACCCTGCCCTCGTTTGGTGTTTAATATTTCGAATTCGCGGTGCCGTGGAATTTGGTGAAGCTTTTATCCTGAGATCTACCAAGATTACACGGGGTCTGAAAGATTGGATTCTCAAAATTATGCAACTACCAATCTTAGAGTGAATTGTCTCTGGCGGGCTGGCCTGTGTCATCTAAATTGAATGCCGGCTGGCAGGTTCAAATTTACCGTCGCAGTGCCGTTGCAAATTAATTGGTGTTGCAGCTTGAGTGTTGGAAAAACCCAATGTCTAAAGCATCAATCTTAAAGGTTGATCGACCGGGCCGGAATTCTATAGAGTCCCCATTTTTTTTTTACATGTATGAAGACATCAAAGTCCATACCACACCAACATGCCGCCGTTCACCCACAGAAAGTCTATCTCTATCTGTACCAGTTGCACCAGCCAGAAGCTACTCCCAACCCCCCATTAGACCAGCCCAGCCCAGCCTAGCCCAAACAATAAATGAGATAACGACTCAAAATGAAGCCCCTCCCCAATTCCTCTACAAAAAATACCAACTATATACACACACCCTTGAAAGAAGAAAAAAAGAAGGGAAAAAAAAGATGCTATTTTTACTCACTATATCCACACACACATATAAACTACGTATCCTTCACCCTCGTAAACATGACATCCCATCCCGGCAGCCCGTTCCTCTGCATCACCTCCTTGGTGTCCTCGTCCCAGCGGCCACGCCACATGTGCGCGCCCACGGTCTTGAGCTCGTGCTTCTCCTGGAACGAGCGCAGGTTGAAGGTCTCGCGGTCGATCTTGCCGGCGAGGAGCGCGGGGTCGAGGCGCTTGTTGCCGGGCTGCTCGAACACGAAGAGGGCGTAGCGGTGGTAGGGGCTGCCTTTTTGCACGTGCGGGGGGAGGTAGGGGAGCAGGGTGTCGGAGGGTTTGGCGCCGGTGCCGATGGCTTGCGTTTGCATGGGGGAGATGGGGATGTTGGAGCTGTGGAGAAGGGGGGTGTTAGCGGGGGTTTGGGGGGCAGGGGAGAGGGGGGGGGGACATACACGATCCAGTGGCAGCGGTAGCGGAAACCGTCTTTTTCAAGGTCGGGGACATCTGTGAATCACAACCACCAATTAGGACTGACTGATCACCGAGAAGGGCGGATATGTGTATGGGTATGGGTATGGCATACCAGGATCCACAACGGCAATGGTGCACAGTTTCTCGCCCTGGCGGAAGGGGATGATCTTGAGCGTTGGCGGGCGCTCCGAGTTCTTTGACCCCACAAACACTCCCGGGGCGGTGTCCCGCCCCACGAAGCGCACCTGGACGTCGACGCGGGGGTCGACATTGGGGAGCACGTCGGGGATGACGCTCATCTGCGTGAGGCGCTGCATGAGCACGGGTCTGCGCATGGAGCGCCATTTCTTCTCGAGCAGGAAGCGGTAGACGGGCTTGTTCATGCCGACTGTCACATACCGCACGCCATCATTAGCAATTGCCCCCCCCCCCCCCCCCCCCCGTAGTAGCAGCAGTAGTAGAATAGTAGAATAGTAGTAGTAGTGGGCAGTGGTAGAGGAATTGAACTTACTGACGCCCGTGTCAAAGTTGTACTTGACCCTGGGGTTGTTGATGTCGGCCTTGATCTTGAGGTCCTCCAGGTATCTGGTCATGCTCTTGACGACCCTGCTGGTGGGCGTGAGGTTCTTGTACTTGATCATCTTTGCGATTTTCTCGTGCTCGTCCTTGATCAGGACGAGCTTCTCCTCGCGGTCCTTGCGGATCACGTCGAGCGCGTGCTGGTACGTCTGGAAGGGCATGCTCTCGATCGTGCGCATCTTCCTGGCGTGGGCCTCGACTTCGGGCGTTGCCAGTGGTACTGCTGCTGGTGCGGCGCGGGCCTTGGTGCGGAGCCCCCGCAGGCCGAGGCGGGGGAGGGCGGACAGCCGGGTGCTGGTGGACATTTGGGGGGGGGGGGGGGGGAGTTGAGGGTTGGGAGGGGAGGAGAGGAGAGTGTGGGGGAGGCGGAGGGGAGGCGGAGGGTTGTTTGGCGGGGTGGGTTAATTGGGTCTGCGGTTGTGAGGTTCGAGAAAAGTTTCAACGCACCACCCCACCCTAACCCTCGGGAAGCTGGCTGGCGATCTCCAGATCTCGAGATATCAACCACAACACCCCCCCCCCCCCCCCAATTACACGCAACTGTCGAGTTTGTTGCAGCGATAATCACCGGACGGATAATGGCTATGAGATCAATCAGCACTGGCCGAGGCCTTCTCGGTGGCCGCGGGGCAATGGATGTCTTGAAGGTTTTTCTTTCCTTTACCCCACTTGATTGAGAGGCTTCATGGGGAGATTCTCACGAGACGCACATGCAGGCCCTCCAGACCCGCCCAATGGCCACCGAGGCCTCCTCCTCCCCCTCCGTCAAAGTCCTCCCCATGGACCCTCCCCCGCCGCCCTCCTTCGCCTATAGAAAAGGTCTCTCCCACCCCCGTCCCCGTACCCGTCATGGCCCCAACCCCCCACTAACACCCCACCAGCACCCACCGTCCTCGCCACAATCCACAAGTTCCCCTCGCTGGAGCCCTCGCACTTCGAGGCCTTCCCCAGCACCTTCCTGCACGCCCCGCTGCGCCGCGACATCCTCCACCGCGCCGTCATCTTCGAGGGCGACTGCCACCGCTTTGGCCTCGCCTCCACAAAGACGCGCCGCGAGATCCACGGGTCCGGCCACAAGCTGCGCCCGCAGAAGGGGACGGGCCGCGCCCGTCTCGGTGACAAGTCGTCGCCGATGCTGCGCGGTGGTGCTGTCTCGCATGGGCCCCGCCCGAGAGACTTTGCGACGAAGCTGCCGAGGAAGATGTATGATATGGCGTGGAGGAACGCGCTGAGCTATCGCTACAGGAGGGGCCAGTTGGTCGTGGTGGAGGGGGAGCTGGAGATGGCGGAGGCGGATAAGGGGCTGGCGCTGGGTGTGCTGAGGGCGCATGGGTGGGGGAATGAGGGCGGGAGGAGTTTGCTGATTACTAGGTTTGAGAGGCATAATCTTAAGAAGGCGATGGCGGACTTGGGCGCGGAGGGGAGGGTGCTGACGGTGGGGGAGGTGGATGTGAAGGATCTGGTGAGTTTGTTGGTTCTTTGGTTTTGTGGGTTTGGGAGTGCTAATGGTGGTGATTGTAGTTGGAAATGGGCAGGATTGTCATCGAGAAGGAGGCCCTTGTGCACTTCCAGGAGGAGCACAGCGAGGAGTAGAGGAGGAGTTCTGAATACTCGTGTAGAATACAGTATAGAAAAACCAATTGACATCACTAGACTACTGCAGTTCACTCCCGGCAATAACCAGTATTTTGATTAGTGTAGTACATGTGCAAAATAAATAATTAATGCCAATTCCCCCCAGTGTTTTTTTATACGTGCATCAGTCAGTTATGAAACACCGCATTGCAGGGTGAATGATCGAAATGCCAGTTCTCGATTAGTATGCAGTTAGATCCGACATTCGCTCGCTAGTCGCACGCAGCCTCGGCCCCCGCCAAAGTTTGCCTTTCACCACCGCCGCGCACCAACCACAACGTCTGCAGACATCTCGAGCATACCCGCCGCATACCGAGCAACCTCGCCCTCGCCCTCCCCCTCCCCCTCCCCCTCCCCCTCGCCCTCCCCCTCGCCCCCCCCACACACATCTCTCCTTCCTCCCTTCTCTCCTCGATGCTGTTCCGCACAAGCTGTGCTCGACTGCTGTCGAGGCCGTCACTGTCACTAGCACACACAATGCCTCTGCGCTCAAAGATCCTCAATCCCGCATTCACAAAGGTACCAGAGTCCCTCCACTCTCATACTATCTACAGAGACTGATTAATTGACTGATTGATCTCCCTCCAGATGTCAATGTCCACGACGACAGCCGAGGCAAAAAAGGTGCTCCCTGAAGAGAACCCCGCCGACGACGTCCTCTTCAACTCCATCTTCGGCGTCCGCACAATCGAGCTGAACCGCCCCTCGAAACTCAATGCGCTCAACAAGTCCATGGCCGAGAAAATCGTGCCGCGCCTGCAAGTACGTCTTCTCCCCCATCGCCATCGTCATGGCCGTGGCCGTGGCACTAGTAGTTGCACCACATCTCTAACCCCCCAGCGCCCCCACCATAGGAATGGGAAAAATCCCAACTCGCAAACATCATCATCCTCAAGGGCCATGGCGGACGTGCCCTCTGCGCCGGCGGCGACGTCGGTGTCCTCGCGGCCCTTAACATGACGGGCGAGGAGGGCATCGCACAGTCGATCGCGTACTTTGGCCTCGAGTACCAGCTCGACCATCTGATTGCGACCTACACGAAGCCGTATGTGGCCTTCATGGACGGCATCACCATGGGCGGCGGTGTCGGGCTTAGTGTCCATGCGCCGTTCCGTATTGCGACCGAGAACACCCGGTTTGCGATGCCCGAGACTAAGATTGGGTTCTTCCCGGATGTCGGGGCGAGCTTCTTCCTGCCCAGGTTGGAGGGGCAGGTCGGCACGTATCTCGCACTGACGAGTGAGCAGTTGAAGGGCGTGCAGGCTCTGTGAGTCCTCTCTTCTTTTTTTGATATATGTCTATACATGGTGCCAGCAGTGGTGGAAGTGACTGACGAACCGCAGCTACGCCGGCATCGCAACCCACTACATCCACTCCTCCAGTCTCCCCGACCTCGAGGCCCGTCTCGCCGAGCTCACATTCGACGACCTCGCCACCTCGCGCGAGAAATGGAGCATCATCGACAGCACCATCAACGAGTTCAGCACGGGCCTCCCCGACGAGCCCATCCAGCTCGGCGGCGAGATGCGCAAATCCATCGACGCCTGCTTCGCGCACAACACCATGGAGGAGATCATCGCCGCGCTGCGCGCCCACAACACGCCCTGGGCCGAGCAGACGCTCGACACGCTGCTGCAGCGCTCGCCGACGTCGCTGCGCGTCACGCTGCAGCTGATGCGCCTCGGCACGGGCTACGAGTGGACTATCGCCGAGGCGTTCCAGCGCGAGTATGCGGTGGCATCGCACTTCATGAGGCATCCGGACTTTGTGGAGGGGGTTGAGCATGTGCTGGAGAAGAAGGAGGGCCCACCGAAGGAGGGCCCACCGAAGTGGACGCCGCCGACGCTGGAGGAGCTCGGCGAGGAGCAGGTGAAGGCGTTTGTGAACCCGGCGCCGGGGGAGCAGAGGTTGGCGCTGTTGAGGGATCCGGGGGTCGCGGATTATGAGAGGTATCCGCATGAGGGGGTGGTTGGGCTCCCGACGGAGGCGGAGATCAGGAGGCTGGTGGTGGGACAGAATACGTGGGTGAGGGAGGATGTGGTGAGGCATTTCGTGGAGAGGAGAGGGGGGAGGGAGGGCGTGGAGCAGAAGGTGAGGGATGTGGTAGAGAGGATGACGTGGGAGGAGCATGGCATGGTGAGGTGGAGGGACTGAATGGTGGTTTAGTTGGGGACTGAATTAGTGTATAAAGGAATTGACTGTTTGCCCAAGCCAGCTTCTTCTTCTTCTCTATTTCCTTGAAGGATGCGCTGTGAAAATGATATATGTGCATGGTACGCAGTAACAACATTGGTATTTTATGTCCATAGATCCATTGATGTCCTATCTTGCTTCCTCTGCTACGCATGACTGCAGTGATACCTTTGGCATTATGTTTTATGCCCGTTGATACAAAGCCAGTATTCCTCTTTACTCCCAAGAACCTCCAGTAAACCATAGTCCAACACAGACATGCCATAACCAAAACACCCCAAGTGCAACACCCCGCCTATATATAGCCATAAAGATCCTTTCTCCCTTGCTGTACATCATAAAGCATCGAATTTCCGCTTAGTCGGACATATACGACTAGGATAACGACTCATGATAAGGGTGAGTGATATGCTGTGACCCAACCCACAAACGAAACTTGAACCTAGCCCCGAGATCGAGATATCACCGCCTGTGTGTAGGTGGGACAAAGAACACAACCAAGGTGCGGTTTGGATATGTGAGCCGGACTGCTACTGCTAGTGTAGGTGAGGGGTATGTGCATGTCATGTCTCCGGACGCAGTCCCGCAACCTGGCGTTTGGTGCTTCCCATCCAAGGCGATTCTCAATGTGCTTAAGCTTCAGATCTCCAGAGCTGCAGAAGGTGCCGGGAGCTCTGTAAAAGGCGTCCATGGCGTGGAATAATGATGGTCACGAGTAGACGAAACAAGACTTGGGAAAGCCTCGTCTCGTCTTATCCTTAAAGTGTCTTGAAAAACTCGAGACCCGTCAAAGTCTTAGTACGACAGCGAGTTGCGGGGTTCGAATCCCTGGTAGAGCCTTATTTCAAACCCTTTTTTACCCCAAATTTTTATTTTCTTTCGGATTTTAAAGTATTAAACCTAGGAGTGAACCGGAACCAGCTACAATTTTCTTTTTGAGAATGTTTAGGTGGGGGTGGGGGGAAGTCAAAAAGGTCTCGAGATCTGCAGACCTGGCCCTGGCTCGTCTTGTTTTCATTTTGCCAAAGGTCCCGAGGCTTACTCTCGAGACTACAAGTACTAAGTCTCATGCCCATCTCTAGTGTGGCAGATACGCCATATCCCCGGCTATGACAGGATCTTCCCACTCTCTACTGGTCGGAGAATTCTGTCATGAAGTGCAACTGCCGGCCTCCTACTAAGCCGAACGGGGGACTAAATAAGGATTATAAGACCTGCATACCAAGATCTAATCAACTGAGCACGGCTTTCCCCAAAGGATACTTGCGGTAGCTACAAGTAGTCCCAGACCCCCAGAGACCGGTCTAGTAGTCCAAGCAAGCCCATGGAATAACCTTAGGCTAGTACAGTGCCGCGGTGATAGTATATGTACAATTGAACCTAATAGACCTCGAGGACAAGGCTACATCACCGTCAGTAATGTGCACAATCCGACAAAGGAGATAGCCAGCTAGCAGTCAGGACACGAGTCGAGAAGCGCAGCTCTACGAAAAGGGCCAAGGTATTAATTACGGCCGCTCCTCTTCATTCATAGTATAAAAATAGAATAAAACTAGTATCTACTGCATTGATCGTCAAGGCGATATCTACTACTCCCCCCTCCCTCACCCCCACCCCCATGGACCTTCTACAACAAGACCAGACATAACCATGCAGTGTCCGGCAGGTACTAAAGTGGCGCAGAGAACTGCTGCACCACTTTTCCCGTGGTGTTTGGGGCTGGAAATGATGCTGGGCGTGAAGTCTGGGCGAGGGAGGGGACTAACTTGACAGCTAACCTTCCTGGTCTGGGCTATAATGACGGCTTCCCGGGGTTACTTCTGGTTTGGTGAAAAACGCACTGCAGAAGATTCCTAGCTAAGGACTCTGGAATGATGCATGTATTTGTTTTTGTCTTGTTTACTCGTACATGTATGGCCGTAGGATTAGTATCTGCTGACCAAACTGTAAAGCCTGGAGCCCGTTTCTGATTCTTGCGTAGAGTACATACGCCGAGGATACCTCCAAAAGGCTCGTGGGACCAACACTGCTGGAGCAATTGAAAAGGCGTCAGAAACACCTCACGCGGGGGGGGGGGGGGGGGCAGTTACATGCACCCACAAAGCCCTGACAACTAGATACAAGATGTACATGCAGCTGCCACATCAATCGGTACATCGATCCCCACAGTTTCGTGTACTTCGTCGTATGTCCAAGGTACACCAACACCGACACACCAACACCGACATCTTTTCCTCCCATAGATAGTATAGCTCAGATAGCTACCCCAGTTATGTTCTCCCCCGAAATAGGGGCCTAGCTGTACAAAAAGATATGATCTTTCCGCCTGAAATTCTCCATGTAGAAGTAGTAAGTACATACTAGTACTTTCTACCCAGTCTCGCTGCCAGACATGACGGGATTACCGGTTCCCATAAGTACAAGTCATCTTCCTGCAAACAGCACCCCATATATTCACAGCCACCGAGCGTAAGGAGAGATGATCAATCCCAAATCCGATAACATGCCAAGCTCAGATGATTTCCTGATCTTAGTTGTGGGGGGGGGGGGGGGGGTCTGAAACCAACCCTTACCGCATGGAGCCGGCCAGGTTGAGTACATGTAGAGTTCCGGACCGCCCAATTGCTCGTACACACGCTGCGCCGGCCCGGATTAGTAGTGCGTCATGTAGTATCACTCGCTACCATTACGCCACAGCGGGAGTAGTAGCTCCGAGACAGTGCAATTGCGCAAGGGGTGAAAGCTTATATCGTGTATCAGACAAGGACAAGGATACTAACCTTCGAAGCCAGTTTTACATTGGGGGCGTAGGGCCCGGTCTTGTTTTGTCTTGTCTTGTCTAGGCCGTGGTGGTTGTAGCGGACGTGCAGATCACCAAAAGACAGACCCCTCCCTCTAGGCCTGGTATGTAGGACAAACCAATTAATTCTCCGAGCCAACCCTAGTAGTACCAGTGTAACCCACTCAAAACCATGGCCGGACCTGGTGATGGAAATACGCCTTGGCATCATGGGCCATTTAACAGCATTTGGCTCCAGCTCAGCTCAGGAACCGGGTTGAGCGTTCGGTTTCGCAGATACGGGGATGGATGGCGTTATGGCCCACGGGTGGTGGGTAGGTAGGTAACACACGTACATACACAGGTGGAGGGGATGGATGGGATGGGGAGCGGTGACGGCATACCTCCGATAGACAGATGCTTTCGACTCGGGTGTCTGGCCTGTGGGGTGCGGGAGTATGAGACACGCGAGGTTTGGGCTGTGAGCTGTAGGTACCTAGTAGTAGGTAGAGTACAGTAGCTAAGCGAATTCGATATCTCTGTCCCTGAGGAATGTAGAGGATCTGACGCAGTGGGTAGAGTAGAGAGGGTAGATCGTGGTAGAGTACTCCCAGAGCGAGCAGAGCCGCGGCGGCTAATCAGAGGCTCACGGAACCAACCTTACCGCAACCGCAGTCTTACATGTAGTTACTTATCTCCAAGATCCAACACACCTCCACTCAGGCTTCAGCCAGCCGTGCCCCTACCCTGCTATCAACAATCAACAATCAACAATCAACAGCTCAATGCCTGCCTGTCTGGCCCCATAATCAGATAACTGCCCTCCCTCCCTCCCTGCCACGTACCAGCACCGTGAATCCCGATAGGAGGAGGGAGGGTGGGAGGGAGGAAAGCTGGATAAGATAGGAGCACTCCCGTTTCTAGCCGACGAGGGAAATATTAATAATTCAACCCCCAACAACAGCGAGAGCTGTGTTGGGCTGGGGGAATAGAGTATGTAGAATGTCGAAGCGCACCCACCGACCGCGCTCACGATCCTGCCTATGAGGCTGAGAAGCGACTCGCTCTGGTCGACCCCTTACGTAGCTAGCACGTCTTACTCTGGTCCCGTGGGCTGCTCCCCGGCGTGGAGGAGAGCTGGAGTGGATTGATGGGAGGTGTGGACCTCAGCTGCGCGCCGCGATCGATAAGGGGAGGGCGTATATTTAGTATCTCCAGGAGAGCTGGGTTCACGATAACGGGCCGGTGGTTCATATAAAGGCTTAGGGCGCTCGACTCGACTCGACCAGGTTTCCTTCCTTGTAGACCTTTAATTTTCTTCATTCCATTCCACTTCTCACCCACAACCACACTACACACAATACTTCAAGGCGCAATTTTCTACCCGTCTTTTGTTTTTAATTTTTCTATAAACTCTACTTCTACTTAATATAACAACCCCCCCCCCCCCCCCCCACAATGTCCTACAAAGCAGCACGTACGCTCCTCCGCACCACCACCGCCGCCCAGCGCCTCCATGCCACCCCCGACGCCGCCGCCGGCACACGGACCTACTCCGGCACCAAACTGACGGGCACCGAAGCCGTCGGCATCGCCACGGGCAGCAGCGACTGTACATCCCTCCTCAGCCCCGCCCCGCCCCTCCCCTCTCCTCCCCAAGACCAAACTGACGAAAAGCAGTCTCCTTCCCCGCTCTCGCCGCCCGCGTAGCAAGTCTCGAGGCCGCCCACGACTTCCAAGTCGCCACCAGCAACGCCGAGCTCTCCCGCTCGCTGCGCCGTCCTGCTAATGCCCGTGCCCCGACACCCAGAGCTGACGCAATGGACCTGTTCCCGCGCGACCTGGAGAGCAGCATCCTCAAGAACCTTGCGCGCGCGGGGCACCACGAGACTTTCGACAGTAACCATCCCCCCCCCCCCCCCTCTCCCTGCGAATTGAGTCCGTTGCTGATGAAAAAAAACCCCGTGGATAGACGTGCGCAGGAGATACTTCCGCGACGCCAAGCGCCGCCTGGAGAACGCCAAGATGCTGCACGCGGGGCAGGTCTACCATGAGGCGGGGAAGCGCATCATTGGGCTGCTGCTGCGGCAGGGGGCGATACCGGAGGAGGTGTATTTTGGCGCGGTGGGCAGGGAGGTGGGCATGAGGATGCTGGGGGCGGGCGTGTTTGAGCTGGAGTTGGACTCGAGGGAGATCTCGTTTATGTCGGTGGTGATGAGGGAGTTTTGTAGGAGCGAGAGGGCACTGTGGGCGTGATGGGTTTGGGGAAAGGGGAAGGGGTGGGGGGGATATGTGGGTTTTGGGGGGGTGTATAGTAATTGTAATTGTAGTGGTGGTTCTTTCTGGGTTGGTTGTGGTGTAATGGGAGTGGAGGGTTAATATTTGGGTTGAATTCGAATTGATCATACAATATCACTCGTGCCCCAGAGCTGCTCATGTGACACGGTACGGTGGCGGACAGTCAAACCCGACCACGACAACAACTATTACAAGCAAAATTGCTACCGACCTGCAACTATGCCACTTTGATCTAAACTATTAATAGTTTTGTATAATGATAGTAATAAAGGTTCTTATAAAATATACTGAGGGCTATAAAAAATAAATCAAGTTTGGTGTTACTAAAAGCTCCCTAAGTGTTAGTATTTTGTGTTATTCCCGGTAGAGAAAAAACCCAAAATATTCTAAAAAGTGACAAAATCGAGTGATATTTCATGATTACAGGGGTAGGAATCCGTTTGCTATACTTTAATTACGCGTCTGTGTCATACTCGCATGCCTAATACAGCTTCCCGGAAAATTTTTTTAAAGGATGCGTTTGCTCTCTTATAAAAGAAAAATAGAAATATTCTTTGTATTCCGGTTTAGAAGTAGGCGATAGCACTAGCAGCATTTGAGTCAATTCACTTGCACGACAAATAACAACTTGAACCTGTTTGCCAAATATGGTTTCAGCAAAACGAAAGCAACAGTTATTGAAAGCTAGAGAAGCAAAACAAAACCTAAAATATGAGGCTAAAACCTTGCAAAATTCAGAATTGTTATTTGACGATTCTTCAACCTTTGAGACTTACGATTCCGACTCGGTTGAGGATAGTGATAATGATTCGGAATTTCCGGAAGCAATGGAATGGTATCCGGAAGAAAATAATATGCTGGACACGATGGTATTATCTAGGCATAGAATCAATGGGAAATGCAATTTAACTGATAAAATAAATAGGAATCGGAAAACCCAGGCGCCCGTTCAAGTTTAGATTTACCCGACATTATGGAATATGAGTATGATAAGAAAAGTCCGGATTCGGGACTCGGAGGGAAGATAGCATGGATAGAGGGAGCTGGTTCTGAACTCAGAGGCGCGTATCGGGCCGGATCCAGATCTGCTGAATACCAAGCAAAAAAAAATCTCGAAAGTTTGGAAGCAGCGGCAAAATCAACATACAATATTGTCGCAATTTGGAAGAGGCAACAAGAATTAAAAATTGCACTACCGGTCGAATATAGTACTACTAGTACTTTGCAATCAGAAATTCAACACAGTAAATCGATGGTTCGAGTTGGCGACAACAGTATAAGGAATCTTTCCTCAGGCTCCGATGTCTCTGATCGTCAAAGCTTGAAACAGAAAAGAATTGGCGAACGGGCTATTGGTCTTCAAAATTTACAAACTTTACTCCGCCGAAAGACCGATCAAAAAGCCAAATTCGGTACCGAAGGGCTACGGGGTCATTTATTAAAAAGATATGAAATGGTTCATGCTTTTTTGCTTGCACAAAAAAAAACTCCAGATTTGACGAGAAGGACCGTCGCTTTGAATGTAGCACACTGTTTTGGACGCGGTGAATTTACGGCCAGAAATATTATCAAATGGGAAAATTCTTGGATTCAAGATGGAGCGATCCCGCAAGCTAAAATTGGTGGGAATAAACATCACGTGTTAGAATCATTGTTAAATGATGAAGGACTGCAGCTTGCAATTAGACAATATGCAATGAGTTTGAAAGATGGTAAGTAAAACAGAATTTAATTATCAGATTTATTCTAACTGTGAATAGGTATCACCTCACGTAAACTAGCTGTCATGGTTTGCCAATATATAAACACAGCTCAGGCTGTTACTGCAAATTCTCAGTCGGATCAACAAAATTCGAACGAGAATCTTCAAAAAGATATAGCAAATCTTGAGACTATATTTGACAAAATGAGTATTATTGACGATGAGAACAAAGAGCAAACACAAGGACAAAGGGGAATAGTGGCACGTACCGCACGGAGATGGTTGAAACAGCTTGGATTCAATTGGCGGGATATAAAGAAGGGTGTCTATTTTGATGGACATGAGAGAGAGGATGTCATTGAGTACCGCAACAATTTTGTCAACCGCTTGGAGGAACTATGGCCCTATGTGGTTGAATTCAATGACGACGGGTCAATGAAAGATAAAACCTATCCAGAGAACTATGTTGTTGGCAGCGAGGATAATAATTTCCGGCCCATAATCATTATTACACACGATGAGTCTATATTTCAATCACACGATAGCAGGCGACAAGGATGGCTTTATAAAGACCGGCAATTTATTCGTCCTAAAGGAAAAGGTCAAGGAATAATGGTTTCTGATTTTCTACTCCCAAACCGTCGGTTGTCAACAATATCTTTGAAACAGGAAGAGAAGGAACAGCTTGGACTACCAGAATTTGCTAGTATTCTATTTGAGTACGGGAAAGAGGAGGGCCATTGGGAAGGGAAGGATCTTGTCAATCATTTGACAGAAATTGCAATCCCAATTGCGGAAGCAGTTTACCCCGGTTATCGATTTCTTTTTCTTTTCGATAATTCAGCAAATCATGGTGCATTTGCAGACGATGCCCTACGGGTTCAGAATATGAATCTCAACCCTGGCGGAGTACAGTCATTCCTCCGTAATGGATACATAAATGGCGACCCAACTCAAATTCAAGTTATGTGGGAATATAAATATGGAACTACAACACCACCAACTCGGGATTCAGCTATACAGGTTGATAATAATTCCAATCCGATTCGCGTCCAAAAAGGTATTCAAAAAATACTTTCAGAACGAGGGTTATGGCCACCGGAGGGCATGAGATTGGAATGCCCCAAAAAACTTTGTGCAGATTGTATATCAGCCAAATGTTGCAAAATATGTTTGAAAGGAACAAAATGTGGACCCTGTCGGGAAAAGAAAGTTTGCAGTGGACCATGCAATAAAAGACGAAAGTGTGATGAGTGTGAAAGAAGACGAAACTGCAATATTTGTATCGCAAAACGCAAATGTGCACGGTGTGAATCATATGCCAGTGTATCGAGAGATTGCTTGAAGTGCAAATCGATGCCTCCCAAATGTAGTACAGATGGTATGTAAAATTAATTCACATCAATTACTCAAAGCTAATTAAATTTATTAGGTTGTTGTGCGAGAAGAGTACTGTCACTAGAAACCGATTTTCAACAACAAGCGGGGATGTTGGTAGAGGAAACACGAAAACGCGGACACTTAGTAGAGTTCTTTCCAAAATTTCATTGTGAACTCAATTGGATCGAGTATTATTGGGGGAGTTCAAAAAGATATGCAAGGGACAATTGCGAGTATAATCTTGAATCGTTACGGAAAACTATACCACTAGCTCTAGCATCGGTGCCGGATTCTACTATTCATGCCTTTTACCATAAATGTATGAGACAGATACAAGCTTACCGAGCCGGTGTTCAGTTTGGAACGCCTGAGTTTGTGGATTATACTAAAAAATATAAATCACATAGACGGATTTATTTTATGGCGGAAGATATTTAGTATTTAGTATTGTATGTATTTTAAAAAATTATTCCGCCCGGTTTTGTTAACAACAGCATGACCCGGTTAAATCAAACAATAATAATCCCCAGTTGGGTTAAACAATAGTAATGCTACCGGATTGAAATTAAATACTAATTTTTAGAATCCCATTCGATCATTTTCTCCTCAACTAATTTCTTCAAAGCCTCCTCAGAAAATTCCCCGGCTCTTCTCAATTGTATCTCAAATTTGCGTTTTGCTGTCCCCATAGCCGATGACCGCTTAGCTTTCCTAACATTTTTTGCCCTCCATCTAGCTGAATTCTGTCTTTCACGGGTTTTCTTATCTTCAATTAATTAGCAAATATTAAATATATTCAGAATTAAATCTTACCAACCTTGAATACCTAGATTCCTCTCTTCTTTGAGGTCTGAATGCGCTGCTTTGTGGGCCGGATCCCCTACATAACTGGTTGCATGATGGTGGAGGTGTTGCCAAACCGCTTTGTGAGGGTCTTTCCGGTGTTGAAAATCTTTATTGCAGGTAGGAACAGGACAACTAGAAAACTTCTCTGGCCTTTGTCCTAGTAGTGGATCAACTGTTTGGATGGCTGGGGGTGCCCCTTTGACTGGCCTCTTTCTAATTCTACCCGTTGCTGTGTAGCCATAAGGAGCTTTGGAGGTGGACATGATGGTTGATGCGGTTGCTATGTGAACTCGCATTCAATTGCAAACCACCCGGGTTTATAGGGGCAACCAGCAATGATTTGGAACTCAGATCAGTTGCCCGGGTCAACCAACAATGATTTGCAGCCCACTCCAGTTGGTCGCGACTTCCCAACCCAGCCTGCAATGCTCCCCCCCCCCTAACCCTCAGCAACCGCCCAACCGAACCCTCAATAACAACTACCCTAACCCATGTGCCGAGCGCGATTACTAATCAAAACCGAAAAGAGCAAAACGGTTGATTTTGGCTGTCCGCCACTGTACCTGTGAAGAGCAGAGTAACCCACCGCCATGTATTTATGTAACATGTAACCTGTAGCACTCTGGGGGGGGATTTCCCAGACAGACACTGCAGCCAGCACTCCACATGTAGGTAGGTACCTGCCTCTGCCTGCCTGATACATTTGATCCCGAGCCTGGTTGCGATGAGAGTATCGCATGATCGGCCCGAGAATTCATGTCCGGACCAGCTAGCTAGCTACATAGCCAGCCCCCCACCCAATTGTGCAGCAATAACGTTGCCCCTTTCCAGATGCACTGGGGAATCGTTGGGGGTTCTATGATTGATCTATCTCAGGGCCGGCCCGTAGAGGATGGTGGATCATGGATGGGAGAGAAGAGAAAACTGACATCGTGAGCAGGAACACGTGGCGCGTGCTCTGCAGTCGCGCGGACGTGGACTAGCGGTGCCGGCTAAGGAAAGCTTGGTGGCCGCGGTGGGTTAGCGGGGGGAGAGAGAGTGTGGTTGGGGGTGGGGGCGAGTGAGTGGGTGAGGGAAGTAGCAGTGAGTGGGCGAGTGAGTGGGTGAGGGAAGTAGCAGTGAGTGGGCGAGTGAGTGATGCTGTGGTTACGGGGTGGGTGTGGCGGTGGCAGTTACAACAACCACAGCAACCACCACAGCAACCACCACACCCGCCCACCACACACACACACCCAGTGCCACCCACCCACCCACCCATACCACACCACACACCACACACATTCCCAATCTTCAGGTTCCAAGGCGTTCCACTGTCCAGGAAAAAGGAAGGGCTCGCCGTTGTTGTAATCTAGATTTACCGGCTGTGTGATGCTTGTCGGCGGACAGTACATGATACATACAAGTACCTACTCTCCGGTACAGGCTGGATACAGCTACATACAGTGGTTGCGTCTTTGATATTTCCGAATACTTTAGATAGGTTACACGTGCAGCAGGCGTAAATCTCGTGGCTTCGATTTCACGTTCGTTGGCTGGCGTGTCTGCAAGCAAGCAAGCACATCGAAGTTAGCGGAGTAGAGACAGCAGCAGCAAGCAGCAAGCAGTAGAGACGAAGGGAGGAAGAGACTAGAGTAACGACAGTAAACCTCCAGACCTTTTGTGTTTATTTATTTTTTTTCTCTTTCCTCCTCACTTCTAGATCTCCCTTCCCTCGCCCCCCCAAAAGCACAGCAGCTACATATTTTTTTTCACTAGCTAGCTACAATAGAAGCTACACAGCAGCTTTGTTTGTGTTTTTTTTATAACCTCCCCCCCTCTCCCTATCCTACATATCCATATCCTACATTCAATACCATAGTCATAGTTTACCTTATCACCAGTATCCAGTCTCCCTCACAATCATAACCGCCCCCCCCCTCCTCCTCATCCCCCTAACTCACCCCCGCCCTCCATCTCCATGGCCGGCACAAAGAAGAAAGCAAAGCTCCCCTTCCCCACGCGCTCCAAGCTCTCGGCCCCATCGTCGTCGACGTCGACATCGAAATTGCCCACCTCCCCGGCGCCCGCGGTATCGACCGTCCATGCTTCCGGGAAATCCTCGTTACCGGCAACAAGCACTAGCGAGTCCAATCTACACGTCCACAGCAGCAGCAGGGTCTCACCAGCACGGACTAGCACCCCCGCGGCGGCGCCCAAAGATGCGGACCCGCCGTCTGCGTCTGCTGCTGCTGCTGCTGCTGCTTCTTCATCTGGATCCCCAGCCACCACTATTACTGAGGCCTCCTCGAAGAAGCAGAAGCAGCAGATACAAAACCAGCCGGCATCGTCGTCGACACCGTCGACGATACGCGGCGGCGGACAGAATACAGATTTACCCGCGAATGACGTTGAAGTACGTATGATAACGGCCTAGCTATTGTTGTTGTGTCACACCTCTTCTTGCCCTCCTTTTGCTTCTTCTCCATAGTCCGCTTCTCTTTTCTCTTTTTCTTTTTTTTTGTGTTTTTTTTTTCCCCTCTGGAGATAGAGATAGGGAGGCAATCGTTTGCTAAACAGTCATCCGTCCCGCCCCCTCCAGAAACCGACATCGCGGTGGTTCCTACGCACCGGCACTTGGCCTCGAGGCGGGAGCAGAAAGTCCGCACCCGTCACCAGCGTAGCCTCAGAACACGTCTCGGGAACGACAAGCCCTACACCATCAATCAAGCACGGCAAGACGAGTGCACCAACCCGGGAGGAGGAGACCCGCGATTCGTCTGTTCCAGCAGCTACCACCATTACCACGCCATCAGCCATGATCACAAAGTCAGCGACCCCATCGATGAGAGCCCCGTCACTGCATCCTTCCGAGGCCGAAGCTACGGAGACACAGGGGGACAGTAAGGACGCGGTGGAGGGCAGCGAGAATAACGAAACATCTGATGCCTCCGCGGCACAACAGCCTGCACCTGCCGCGGGGTCGTATTGGTTTGGGTGGTGGTATGGGTATGGGCCGCCGCCAGAGACGCAGGCTCCGCCGGCTCCAAAGTCAGAGGTGCCAGAAGTGCAGCCGGAGGAAGCTCCGGCTGTGGAGGTTGTGGTCGCAAGGGAACCTACTCCGCCGCCCCCACCACCACCACGATTGCCAACGCCCCCTCCCCCTCCTCCGCCGGTTCGGGACCCGACGCCTGAGCCAATCGCCCCAGAGACGACGGAGGTGCCGGCGTTGGACGGGGCGGCGGATAATAAGGCCAAGGAGAGGCCAAGGTCGTGGTTTGGGCTCTGGGGAGGTGGGCCATATCCTGAAACTCAGACTGTCCAGGAGGCTCCCGCGGAATCTGCAGAGACGGTGCTGGAGCAAGTGCCACAAGAGTCAAGTTCGTCCGCCGCCCAAGCAGCTACAAGATCTGAGCCAGCAGCCCCTGCGGTCCCTGCAGTAGAGGTTGCTGCAAAACAGTCTGAAACTCATCTACTGGGGGCTCACGTAGATTCATCGGCGCCTCTTTCATTGATGCCCAGTGCCACGGAAACGGTCAGTTCGACAACGAGTGCGGCTCCTGCCAGGGCCTCTTCGGGTTGGGCATTCTGGTCGAGGGATCGGTCGAAGCCTACCAACCCTGCGTTGGATAGCAATGCCAGCAGCACGACGACTGTGGGCCAATTGGCGGTGGCTAATACTCCTTCGGCATCAAATCCTCAAAAGGCAAAGGTGAAGGATATACCTGCACCAGTTCCTGCCCCGCCTCCGGCACCTGTCAATGAGCCTAAGGTCGCTCGCTCGGTCAGTAATCTACGGGAAGAGTCTCGCCCGATCACTCCTAAAAAATCAGATGCAAGCATGTCTGCAGCCGCCGCTGTGGTGCCGGTTACTCCACAACCGGCGGCGGCTTCGGCTTCTACCACTGTGCCAAAGACACCCACCAAAACCTCGCCGGCCAACCATGTGTTCCCCGAGTTTGAATCGTGCTACCACAAGATGCGCCAGCCATCTATGTTCTGCCAGGTAACCAAGGTTTTGAAGAGCCAGGTTCCGCTCTTCAAGAACCAACCCCCTCCCCCGAAGAAACATTTATATCTTGCGCCAGCACCACTGCGCATCAAAAAGGCGGTGGCGATAGGTGTGCATGGCTTTTTTCCGATGCGGCTGGTGCGGACGGTGTTGGGTGAGCCTACGGGGACATCTATACGCTTTGCCAACTCCGCTGCTGGCGCCATCAAGCGATGGGCCGAGAAAAACAATGTAGAGGTTGAGATTGAGAAGATTGCCCTAGAGGGAGAGGGCAAGGTGGGCGACAGGGTGGAGACGCTGTGGAAGCTGCTATCAAACTGGATGGAGCATGTCAAGAACGCAGATTTCGTCCTGATGGCGGCGCACTCGCAGGGCGTGGTTGTGGGCGTCCAGTTGCTGGCACGGCTCATTGAAGAAGGGTGCGTGAAGGAGAAGGCACGAGTGGGCTTCACGGCTATGGCGGGGATTAACCTAGGCCCGTTCTACCACCTCCCGACCACGATCCTGACGGGCTCGGCGAAGGAGCTGTTTGAGTTCCAGAAGCCCGACAGCGCGCCGTCGCAGAAGTACATACAGGCGCTGGAGGTGATCCTGCGGCACAACGTGCGGGTGCTGTATGTGGGCAGCATCGACGACCAGCTGGTGCCGCTGGAGTCGTCGACGTTTGCGAATGTCACGCATCCGTATATATTCCGGGCGGTGTTTGTGGATGGGCGCGTGCACGCGCCGGACTTTTTGAGCCACTTGGTGGGCTTCGCGATGAAATTAAGGAACCAGGGTATCTCGGACCATGGGCTGATAAGGGAGCTGAGTAACCCGTTGGCGGGGAGCTTGTATGGCGGCGAGGGACACTCGAGGATCTATGACGATGTGCAGGTCTATGAGTAAGTTTTTTCTTCTTGGTTTTGTGTGTCCGTTGGGCTTTAATTGCTTACATGGTGGTGTCTGCTGCAGCTTGGGTGTTCGCCATGCGCTCGAGACGACGGAATGTGAGGGCGTGGAGATGAAAGTGGAGCCTTTTGAGCTGCCGACAAATACGAATAACCCGTTCTTCTTGCCATGGAGTATGAGGGGCATGCTGGAGGAGCCGCATGTCAGGAATAGGCTGCATGAGGAGTGCATGCAGCTGTTGGAGCAGTTTGAGAATTGGAAGCCGACGTCGAAGGTCTTGAAGGATGTCAAGTTTAGGCTAGAGGGCATTCGCAGTAAGCTATAAGAGTCCAGACTCTCTCTTCTTCTTCTCCTCCTTCTTCTTGTTTCTTTTTTTTATCCCGTTTTTATAAAAAATCAGCGCCGTGTTGTGAGATGTGGGGGTAAAAAAACGTATGATAGCCTGGAGTCTTTGTCGGTTTTTTTTTTTTTTTTTGGTTTTTTTTTTTTTTCTCCTTTGTGGATGGGAATTCCTTGTGTGTGATGTGTTATTATTCGGCGCTTGGAGACTTTTGCAGATTGCATTGCATTGCTCGTTTTCTTCCAGAACAGTCAGTACCAGTACCGGCGGCGGCCGATAAGCCCCCCCCCCCCCCCCCCACACCACAGCAAAACCCCAATTGATGGGGTTATCACACGCATTCTGTTCCCTATCATCATATCATAACTAGAAGGTGGGAGGGAAGCTGGGCGGGGTTAGGGGCCGGGACAGGGTACAGCTGTTTTTTTTATATCATTTTACAGCATCATGGGGGCCTCTCTCTCCGTCAGAGGCCTATTTGGAGGTCTTTTTGGTTCCTCCTTCGCGGCGGGCAGTGGCCGCGGTGTGGGAGAACGAGGGAGGTGGGAGAGTTGGGGGGTTACCAAAAAAAAAAAAGCGGGCGTGGTGCACTGGGCGCGGGCGTGGGCGTATTGCTTTGAAACCTTTTGTTTTGTGTGTGTGTGCGTGCATGATCCATGAACAGTAAGTAGTTGTGTGTGTTTAAGAAAGAAGAAAGAAAAAAAGACTTTTTTTATTATTAGTTGGTTTTTTTTTTTATATATTCCTGTCTTTTTTTTGTCTAACCTTTTTTTTGTTTGTTTGGATAGCGAGTGACATTTGGAGGTTTTTTTTTTTTTTCGTTTTTTTTTTTCTTGTGGAATGGTTTGTAGTTTGGACTTGCAATTTGGTAGACACGCTTGAGTTTTTGATATCAGAGTTGCATATATATTCTTTACTGGATTGTGGATTGTGCGTGCGTGTGTGTTGAACATGAGTTACTATTTACATACATAGGCTTTGGAGATACGAATCGAATCAGTTCATAGTAGGTGAGGCTAGTTTTTGAAGGTGTTTGTGATCTGAGCATGATCTGGAACACCCATTGGTACCGACTACATAGTGATTATAGGGCCACTGTCAAGTCCATCAGGGGTCGCAATTGCAGGTATCAAGGGCGATATCAGACGGCTTGGGCTGTATATACTATGTAGTTATACCAAGGTATCATTGCCTTATCAAGTACCCAAAAGACCAATATATGATCCAGACAACACGACATGTATATGTTCATGGGCCATGAGTCTCTACATAGAGCGATCAATCCATTTTCCAGTACTAGGACAACAACCAGCAAGTATCCATCGGTTTTCTCGATCTGCCGTTATTAGATAAGAATACCCAGGTTATGCATAGGGTCAGGGTTATTGTCCCGAGTGATAACCTATGAAGCAATGTGCGGGTTTCATAAAGTGGGGCCTCTTATTCTTAACTCATCCACATAGGGCCTGGAACATAGGGTCTGGAATATGGATTTTTACAAGCCTTTTAAAGTTACTTCTAACGTCATCTGGAATTGAAAAGTTGAATAATTGATTTTTCTTCTTCTTCACTGACTGAGTGTGGTATATCGGGATGAGGTTAAGATTAGCGACAATGCGACTTTGCGGTGAGCTTACATGAGATGCGCCCTAGCTAGGCCAGTGAAAAAAAACTTCAATGAGACGATTTAAACTCCCGCAAAACCCCTCCTAACAGCAGCGCTCATCCTGGCCGCCGCAGCCCTCTGCGCCGCCGCCGGGGTCAGCACGGTTGCAGCTCTCGCCTCAAGCACCTGCACCCTCGCCTCAAGCACCCCTATCCTCTCCGCATCCGCACCAGCCGTGCTCACAACTCTCCCAGCCGCTCTTTGCGCATTGACTGTCGCAGCGGCAGTAGTGGCGGCAGTGGTGGCGGCAGCCAGTTCCTCCTTGGTAACGATAGTGGCCATTCTCAGCAACTCGATGGTAAAGTCCCCGCCCTTGGACAGCAGAACCTCCATGTCCCCACAACCCATGAGCCTTTCCAGCTGCTTAACGGCGAAGCGGCACACTACGGTGCGAATGGTGTCGCCGCTGCGGGTGTGGGTGTAGACATAGTCAATCAAGTCGATTGCGTCGGCGGTAGCAGCATCGTCGGGGGTGCACCAGTTGGAGGCATCGAGGGCCTGCGCAAGGCGTGTGAGCGTGAGCTGGCGCAGCCCGGGGACGTCCTTGTAGTCGGCAAGGGCATAGAGCTGGGCGTGCGGGAGAAGGGTGTGGGGCTCGGATGAGTATGTGGCGATGTAGAGGTATTGGAGGAAGCGGGCAACGGTGGGGCCGTCCCAGTCGGGGAGGTCAATTTGCTGGGTGGCTGATTCTTTCCACGGGCCAGTGAGGGCACAGTTCAATGGCGGGGAGTGAGCTAGAAGGGTGGCACTATGGACAGAGAAGTGGGCTGTGCCGTTGGCGGCGGTGACAGCAATCAAGGGCGAGGAGAGGATAGTGGGGTTGTTGCTAAGATTGCTTAATTTAGTTAGCTGGTGGTGTGCTAAGGAGTAAGGGTTGAAGATTCGAAGATAGATACCTGGGTGGTTCGGACGCCATGATAAGATGGGGTGGTGGTGGTGGTGGTGGTGGTTGTGACGTGGTTGTGGTGATGCTATGGTGCTTTTGTTGGTTGTGGAGAGGTCGTGGTGGTGGGAGTGTGAGATGAGGTGAGGTGAGTGAGAGAGGGAAGACTCGACACATTGACCATGCAGGCTGCGGATCGTAAACGGGATGGGGCTGCCCTCGGATGCATGGAGAGATTAATGCGATCTATTCGCGTGTGGGAAGCCTTGATTTCCCCATGCACCCCGCCCTCGCCTGGATTCCTTGCAGGCTCGACTAGAGTAGAGCCCCATTACACCAAATCGATACCATAAAATAGATGTAGCCCCCACCTCTGACAGACAGATACTATTATTTTCTCAGCCTTGAAATTCATCTTGGCACTAGCTAGTGCACAGTTTGTCTACCTTAGTATCCAAGCTTTGTAATTATGCCCGTTCCGCTAGATATTCGGTTTATATTTACTGCTTTCGATTAAATCTATAACTGGAAGCTCCATAGGCTAGGGACTTGACGTAGATTCTTTCCTGTGGAACCTGCAGCTGAGGTTTGGATCCATATCAAAGCTATTTATGCATTCTGCCAAGCCTCGTGACTTCCGAGTGATATATCATGATGCCTAAATAACATTCTAAAGTTAACAGCGACGAAGAACTGTCATGATTATAGCACTACCATTACCATCAAGATTGGGCGCTTTTAGTATCTGGGGATCGCCTTATGGCCATATGAACAGCTACCCCACAGTCGCGTTGCAGGTAACTTGGAGCTCTCGAATAATTATATAACTCGCTGCGGGGTAATAATAATAATCTCGGGTTCGCTGCATGCATGCATCATGCATAGGTCGTCGGTTGTGGGACGTTGAAGGAGGATCTCAGGCAGAAGATATGTTGAACACGAATGAAGGCCTAGCGGAGAGCAAAGTGTTGATGTGAGTTATCTAAATACCATATTGATATAGTTTAAAAGTAAAAGCTGTGGTCCCTTATAGCAAGCGCTGCTGCATCTCGAATTAAACCAGCCTTTATCCCTAATATATGGGGAGTTTGCACCGTGAACTAAACAAACATTAAAGTTGTATATTGTACAATACGTATCCGTCCTTTATAATCGACAGTTCTAGATCATCCGTCTGTTATATACAGTGCGAAAAAACGGGATGAAATCACTACCATAGTACTGTGGATTTAGTGAAGAATATGGAATTGAACCGGCATTATAAAAAGAGATCTAAAACCATGTGTAAAATAGTTCTTAGGCTTATAATTTAGTTAATATACTTATATTCTCCTAGTAGTTGGAACTATAAAATAGACTACAAATTTTGCTGTGACGACAGGACGTGGTAAGGTTACATGCATGATACATGTTGGGAGGTTTTCCCGATAGCCTGGCTGCTCGGCCAGCTCGCGATGTAGAGCAAAAGTTGCAAGCAATGCAGCCCCGCTGCTCCTTTTTGCTCGAAGGAAAAAGAAGCTTATCTCCTAGACAGGAACTCCATCCCCTATAAGATAGCACTCAATTGGTTGCGGATCTCGAGAATCGACACTTCAAGCAAAACCACCGCAGAATCTGGACAAATGAACTCCAGATAGACCCCCCCCCCAAAAAAAAAAAAAAAAAAAAAATAAACCCAGTAAATAAAACCCCTCAAACCCCTCAGATATTTCAATTCCTCCAGTCTCCCAAAGAAAATTTCAATGCGGGGAGCCGTTGCCATGCATTAAAAGTTTAGCCCCATGCCCGCTCCTGCAACCACATCCCCTATGGCCGCCGAGCCCGCCCCTCGCAGAGAGATGCCCGGGGTTGTCACAAATCCACCCACGGCCAAGATTTTCGCCCTCTACTTACCTCTCTCTTCTTGCCTTCCTTCACCCTTCTTCACCTCCATCGCTTCCTTCATCTCATTTCCCCCACAACAGTCTCTTCTCCATCGAAAAAAACGCCCGCATCAACCAAACAGACATAATGAACTTGTTATATTTCGTACGTATCTCTTACACCCAGATATAAGAAAAGAAGAAACAAAAATACCGAAAAAATACTAACCCATGAGCATTAGCCCAAGTTCAATTTCGAACAATTCCGTACTCCAAGTCCTATGCTGCCTACAAATGGCCGCGCCGCGGCCCCACAGCCCAACCCTAACTCGAATGCACAGCTCTCGGCCAGCCCATCTGAGGAAACATCGGCCGCCGGTAATATCGGCCCACAGTTCGGCGATAAAGCGAAAATATATGCTTTTGCGTCCGGAATAATGATCGTATTGTGCGTCATCACGTTCGCCGTTGCGCATGCAGTGCTTGTGCGCAAAGATGATACTGCCGTCTCATATACTGCCATGATGGACAGTATCAACGATATCGATGGGATGGCCATGGCCCCGTTCCGTGGCGGTGTCGGTTTCGGCGAGCACTACACTCAAGACGCAAAGTAAGTATTAATATTCCATTTATTTATAAAACTGATATAGAATGTCAATCATACTAACGCAGTCTGCCAGATCCATAACCATGGTTCTACCAGCCAGTATGGATACTCTTTCCCTTGACCAAGACGCTATTACCGGCACTTTGACCGGCACTTTGACCCTTGGAACCCAAGTCTTTGTTTTGGTCGACTCTACGGCCACCGCTCAGATCCTAACTGGCACGGATTTATACGCTCCGCTTTTGACTGATCAGGGTCATGGATATACTTCATACGCTACCCCCACTGGGACACCGCAACACAAGGCCAGGAAGAGATTTTGCACCACAGAAAAAAACACAATCGAAACCGGGCCGTACACTCCATTCTCTGCCGAGCCTGGGGTTGGGGAAAACGTTGACGACGTTATTTTGCCGGTCTGAGTACGAGTAACGTCCGCGCAAATGGTGTTGATAGAGTTTTAGGTAAGCCTCTCATTGACCCCATAGATATTTGCTTGTTGCGCACAGAACTAACATGATATCTTCTAAAGATCCCTAAAATGTAATTTTGCCTGTAAAAGTTATATTCAAGGTAATTGGGTAGATAGAATTCTGTCTGCAGCTTGTACTGAAATCGAATCGTCTTTTCTTTCTTTAGAGCGCCCTTTTTTGAACTGTCTTTCTCTGAGAGTCTTTTTTTTAAGCATCTTATATTAGGCCGTCTTTTCTTTGGTCCATTTTTTCTCTAGGCAGCCTTTCCTTTAGGCCATCTTTAGAACGTCTTTCTCTTAAACTTATTTGTTTTCATGAATTCTCACTCGGCCGTCTTGATTTGCATAGCGGCATATGTAAATTGTATCTTTTTTGGTATTGTTTAAAAAAGATTGATATAAACTTCCTTTTAAAACTCCTCTGGTATTCCGATCCCAGAATGAGGTGATCAAGTAAGATGATGACCCATGCACAATATTGATAAATAGAAAGAAATTCACAGAAAAGTAAAAGCACCCTTCGCTGACTAATTTGTTGCCACAAATAAATCCCATTGTTCAATAAATAGTAGTTCTAATAGTCTAGGTGCCATACCTAAACGGCCCATTTACTAAAAAGAAACTCTTTCAAAAGTCCATTTGCTTCTATGAAGCTTCAGTTTCCGCCTTTGCGCCCTCCTCACCGCTCTTGAATGACTTGTGCGCTGAGTGCTTCTTATAGTAGTAGTTTTGCTGCGCTGGCTTCAGATCCTCGGGCAGTGATTCCAGAGCCCTTGCCAAGATCGCATCGATGCTCCTCTGGTTGCTCCCGTCGCGGTTCCAAATCATGATCAGGTGCGAGTTGAACCGAACACTGATCGAGACACCACAGATATCGTCACCTACACACCGCATTAGCCACTATCACCCCCACTGCTGCGGATAAAAACCACAATGTACTCACCACGCTCCACAACCTCTTGCAATATCTCACCAATCGCCATCATCAGCACCTCCTTCCAGAACTCCTGCGAGTTCGCCTTTGGCACACGGAAGGTCCACGCTCCACCCGTCATATTCCGCGGGTCCTCCCTGAAAGTGAGAAGTTGTGTAAGCGTCAATCCCATTATCACACATCATTGAGTGGGAGCGTGGGGTTGAGGCTTACCAGATAGGCTTCACATTCTTCTTGAAGAGGTGCAGCGAGTCGCGCAGCGGCAGTGTTGAGAACGGGGTGTTGTTATACACCTGCCAGAAGCTCTGCACGGTGCTGATCTGCGCGATCTCCTTCAGCTGGTCTTCCCAGTCCTGTTCTGTGGGGTTAGGGTTCGCCGTGTGCCTATATTCACGCATACAGTGTTAGATATTGCGGTTCCCACGTTCGACTTCTACGACGGCATAATGCATGGAGGATTATGTATATGTACTTGGGTGGTTCAACCGACCTGTCGTGCCAGAAGACCCACTCGTGTCGTAGCGGGTATGGTCGTAGCTTCTTCAACATGGTCATGCGTAGCTCTGCACGCTTCTCGCCGCTGACGCTGGTGGTCGTGGGTGTGCTGCCGTTCACCTGGAGTGCTGGAGCTTCCGACGACGGAGGAGGGCTGGGCTGGGATGCTGCTGTTGTGGTGGCCATGGTGGTGTGATGTTTTTTTGGAAAGTTTTGTCGAGGGAGAACGGGATTGGGGATCGAAACAAGAGATTTAGGAATTGGGCTGCAACAAAGAAAAAGACGACTGGGCTGGGCTGGGCTGGGCTGACTTTGCTGTCGTAAGGAAGGTAGGTAGGTAATAGCAGTAGCGAGTAGTAGGTAATAGATTAAAATGTAGTATTTAAGGTATCACTAGTAGCTGTAGAAAATATATAGCTATTATATTGATGGGCTGGGCTGGGGGAAGGTATGTACTACGCAGAGAAGAGAAAGCAAGGAAGGAAGCAATAGAATAGAGCTGGACAGTAGCAGGAGGGAAGAGATGTCAGAGAACGGGGGGGGAAGACAGCAGAGTATATATTTGGCCTTCAGCCAGTCAGTCCGGAAGCAAACTACCACCCTGGCCATTCCCTTCTCTTCTCTTCACTTCGCCCTGGTCCCACCGATCGGCGGTTGGGGATTAGTTAGTGCTAGTGAGGGGCACGCCTGGCCTGGCGGGGGGGGGACGGAACGGGGCGTGTGACAACACTTCTCGTTTCACATGCCCAGGGCCACAGTGAGCATCATCTAGAATATCTATTTGCTAACAGCATCCAGCCCCTGGATTGGATGATGATAGACGATAGTGGTGGTGCTTGATGAGGGAGAGCGCTTGGGGAGAGAAGAACACAGCGAGACGCGTACCACAATGGAGATCAGTGTTGGGCATCCCTTCTCGCATGGGCTCACAGCATCTTAATCTCTCACTTCCCCGGTTTCAACTTGACGAATTGGCCGTTTGATGTGCGGAGAACCTGGCTTTGGAGGGCCTTGGATGGGCCAATCCTTCGGGAAGGCTAGCTGCCTAACTTTGCCGAGATCCGGGTTGGGCGAAGCCCCGAAGCTGTGTGGGTCGGGCCGGGATCGGAGGAACTGAGGGCTCGGAGATCTGATCACTCCTCTTGCCCTTGGTGTTCCGAGTGGACTGGCTGAATCTGAGGCTACAGGAAAGGCTTTACTCTAGAAATGAAACATATGGAAATGTTTCCTCTGCCGCAGAACTTACTTTGCGGCACCCCAGCTTTCAATCAATATAAGGTCATCTACGTAGGATGCTGCTGCTTGCTGCACAGTGAAGAGGAGCACCGGGGTAAGTACGGTGGCGGACAGTCAAACCCGACCACGACAACAACTATTACAAGCAAAATTGCTACCGACCTGCAACTATGCCACTTTGATCTAAACTATTAATAGTTTTGTATAATGATAGTAATAAAGGTTCTTATAAAATATACTGAGGGCTATAAAAAATAAATCAAGTTTGGTGTTACTAAAAGCTCCCTAAGTGTTAGTATTTTGTGTTATTCCCGGTAGAGAAAAAACCCAAAATATTCTAAAAAGTGACAAAATCGAGTGATATTTCATGATTACAGGGGTAGGAATCCGTTTGCTATACTTTAATTACGCGTCTGTGTCATACTCGCATGCCTAATACAGCTTCCCGGAAAATTTTTTTAAAGGATGCGTTTGCTCTCTTATAAAAGAAAAATAGAAATATTCTTTGTATTCCGGTTTAGAAGTAGGCGATAGCACTAGCAGCATTTGAGTCAATTCACTTGCACGACAAATAACAACTTGAACCTGTTTGCCAAATATGGTTTCAGCAAAACGAAAGCAACAGTTATTGAAAGCTAGAGAAGCAAAACAAAACCTAAAATATGAGGCTAAAACCTTGCAAAATTCAGAATTGTTATTTGACGATTCTTCAACCTTTGAGACTTACGATTCCGACTCGGTTGAGGATAGTGATAATGATTCGGAATTTCCGGAAGCAATGGAATGGTATCCGGAAGAAAATAATATGCTGGACACGATGGTATTATCTAGGCATAGAATCAATGGGAAATGCAATTTAACTGATAAAATAAATAGGAATCGGAAAACCCAGGCGCCCGTTCAAGTTTAGATTTACCCGACATTATGGAATATGAGTATGATAAGAAAAGTCCGGATTCGGGACTCGGAGGGAAGATAGCATGGATAGAGGGAGCTGGTTCTGAACTCAGAGGCGCGTATCGGGCCGGATCCAGATCTGCTGAATACCAAGCAAAAAAAAATCTCGAAAGTTTGGAAGCAGCGGCAAAATCAACATACAATATTGTCGCAATTTGGAAGAGGCAACAAGAATTAAAAATTGCACTACCGGTCGAATATAGTACTACTAGTACTTTGCAATCAGAAATTCAACACAGTAAATCGATGGTTCGAGTTGGCGACAACAGTATAAGGAATCTTTCCTCAGGCTCCGATGTCTCTGATCGTCAAAGCTTGAAACAGAAAAGAATTGGCGAACGGGCTATTGGTCTTCAAAATTTACAAACTTTACTCCGCCGAAAGACCGATCAAAAAGCCAAATTCGGTACCGAAGGGCTACGGGGTCATTTATTAAAAAGATATGAAATGGTTCATGCTTTTTTGCTTGCACAAAAAAAAACTCCAGATTTGACGAGAAGGACCGTCGCTTTGAATGTAGCACACTGTTTTGGACGCGGTGAATTTACGGCCAGAAATATTATCAAATGGGAAAATTCTTGGATTCAAGATGGAGCGATCCCGCAAGCTAAAATTGGTGGGAATAAACATCACGTGTTAGAATCATTGTTAAATGATGAAGGACTGCAGCTTGCAATTAGACAATATGCAATGAGTTTGAAAGATGGTAAGTAAAACAGAATTTAATTATCAGATTTATTCTAACTGTGAATAGGTATCACCTCACGTAAACTAGCTGTCATGGTTTGCCAATATATAAACACAGCTCAGGCTGTTACTGCAAATTCTCAGTCGGATCAACAAAATTCGAACGAGAATCTTCAAAAAGATATAGCAAATCTTGAGACTATATTTGACAAAATGAGTATTATTGACGATGAGAACAAAGAGCAAACACAAGGACAAAGGGGAATAGTGGCACGTACCGCACGGAGATGGTTGAAACAGCTTGGATTCAATTGGCGGGATATAAAGAAGGGTGTCTATTTTGATGGACATGAGAGAGAGGATGTCATTGAGTACCGCAACAATTTTGTCAACCGCTTGGAGGAACTATGGCCCTATGTGGTTGAATTCAATGACGACGGGTCAATGAAAGATAAAACCTATCCAGAGAACTATGTTGTTGGCAGCGAGGATAATAATTTCCGGCCCATAATCATTATTACACACGATGAGTCTATATTTCAATCACACGATAGCAGGCGACAAGGATGGCTTTATAAAGACCGGCAATTTATTCGTCCTAAAGGAAAAGGTCAAGGAATAATGGTTTCTGATTTTCTACTCCCAAACCGTCGGTTGTCAACAATATCTTTGAAACAGGAAGAGAAGGAACAGCTTGGACTACCAGAATTTGCTAGTATTCTATTTGAGTACGGGAAAGAGGAGGGCCATTGGGAAGGGAAGGATCTTGTCAATCATTTGACAGAAATTGCAATCCCAATTGCGGAAGCAGTTTACCCCGGTTATCGATTTCTTTTTCTTTTCGATAATTCAGCAAATCATGGTGCATTTGCAGACGATGCCCTACGGGTTCAGAATATGAATCTCAACCCTGGCGGAGTACAGTCATTCCTCCGTAATGGATACATAAATGGCGACCCAACTCAAATTCAAGTTATGTGGGAATATAAATATGGAACTACAACACCACCAACTCGGGATTCAGCTATACAGGTTGATAATAATTCCAATCCGATTCGCGTCCAAAAAGGTATTCAAAAAATACTTTCAGAACGAGGGTTATGGCCACCGGAGGGCATGAGATTGGAATGCCCCAAAAAACTTTGTGCAGATTGTATATCAGCCAAATGTTGCAAAATATGTTTGAAAGGAACAAAATGTGGACCCTGTCGGGAAAAGAAAGTTTGCAGTGGACCATGCAATAAAAGACGAAAGTGTGATGAGTGTGAAAGAAGACGAAACTGCAATATTTGTATCGCAAAACGCAAATGTGCACGGTGTGAATCATATGCCAGTGTATCGAGAGATTGCTTGAAGTGCAAATCGATGCCTCCCAAATGTAGTACAGATGGTATGTAAAATTAATTCACATCAATTACTCAAAGCTAATTAAATTTATTAGGTTGTTGTGCGAGAAGAGTACTGTCACTAGAAACCGATTTTCAACAACAAGCGGGGATGTTGGTAGAGGAAACACGAAAACGCGGACACTTAGTAGAGTTCTTTCCAAAATTTCATTGTGAACTCAATTGGATCGAGTATTATTGGGGGAGTTCAAAAAGATATGCAAGGGACAATTGCGAGTATAATCTTGAATCGTTACGGAAAACTATACCACTAGCTCTAGCATCGGTGCCGGATTCTACTATTCATGCCTTTTACCATAAATGTATGAGACAGATACAAGCTTACCGAGCCGGTGTTCAGTTTGGAACGCCTGAGTTTGTGGATTATACTAAAAAATATAAATCACATAGACGGATTTATTTTATGGCGGAAGATATTTAGTATTTAGTATTGTATGTATTTTAAAAAATTATTCCGCCCGGTTTTGTTAACAACAGCATGACCCGGTTAAATCAAACAATAATAATCCCCAGTTGGGTTAAACAATAGTAATGCTACCGGATTGAAATTAAATACTAATTTTTAGAATCCCATTCGATCATTTTCTCCTCAACTAATTTCTTCAAAGCCTCCTCAGAAAATTCCCCGGCTCTTCTCAATTGTATCTCAAATTTGCGTTTTGCTGTCCCCATAGCCGATGACCGCTTAGCTTTCCTAACATTTTTTGCCCTCCATCTAGCTGAATTCTGTCTTTCACGGGTTTTCTTATCTTCAATTAATTAGCAAATATTAAATATATTCAGAATTAAATCTTACCAACCTTGAATACCTAGATTCCTCTCTTCTTTGAGGTCTGAATGCGCTGCTTTGTGGGCCGGATCCCCTACATAACTGGTTGCATGATGGTGGAGGTGTTGCCAAACCGCTTTGTGAGGGTCTTTCCGGTGTTGAAAATCTTTATTGCAGGTAGGAACAGGACAACTAGAAAACTTCTCTGGCCTTTGTCCTAGTAGTGGATCAACTGTTTGGATGGCTGGGGGTGCCCCTTTGACTGGCCTCTTTCTAATTCTACCCGTTGCTGTGTAGCCATAAGGAGCTTTGGAGGTGGACATGATGGTTGATGCGGTTGCTATGTGAACTCGCATTCAATTGCAAACCACCCGGGTTTATAGGGGCAACCAGCAATGATTTGGAACTCAGATCAGTTGCCCGGGTCAACCAACAATGATTTGCAGCCCACTCCAGTTGGTCGCGACTTCCCAACCCAGCCTGCAATGCTCCCCCCCCCCTAACCCTCAGCAACCGCCCAACCGAACCCTCAATAACAACTACCCTAACCCATGTGCCGAGCGCGATTACTAATCAAAACCGAAAAGAGCAAAACGGTTGATTTTGGCTGTCCGCCACTGTACATGTACTCGCGATGCGCAGTGCGATCTTAAAATAAACCCACCCCACTTAGGCTCCGAACACTAGCAGTTGTACTACTAGCTGAGGCTCAAACAAACCCAAAATACTCCCCGAAGAACTTTTTTCCTCAACTCACCCAAAACCTCAAAACCTCAACTCACCTCAAAACCCACGCTCCAAAATGCCACGCAAAGACTCAGAAACCCTCCCTGCCATCTTCCTCCACCCTAAGTCCAATGGCGACTCCGAGGATTCTCCCCAATTCACTGTCTCTACGACTCCCGCCGCGGCGTCGCAGAACAAGCCCAAAATAGCACCCATGCCACCCTCGTCAGATTGTATGTACACCCCCGCCTCTCACCCCCCCCCCCCCCCCCCCAACTACGGTGCCGCACGTGCTGACCTGACGGACGCCGGTGACAGTGCTTTCCCGCCTCAATGCGTTTCTGCCCGCCATCTCTGCAGCGAACCGGGACCTGGAGGGCGAGATCGCCGCGGGAACAATCGCGCAGAGGAACATCGAGAATGTGAGCGAGAAGGAGGAGGCGTATATTGAGATGGTGAGTACCACAAGTATTGTGATGCGCTTTGGGCTACGGTGGTGGTGGACCTGGCGGAAAAAGCTCACGCATGGATACTAACGTCCAGATGCGCTCCTGTAGAATCTCGGCCTCGGCGTCCTCAAACAATTAGATCCAAACAACCCTGACGAGTCCGAGTCAGAGTCCGAGGAGGAGGATGAGGATAGCGACGCGGAGGCAAAGGCGGAAGAGAAGGATATCCTCGGGAAGCTGCTGCAGCGTCCCGCTCGCGGAAAGCCAGGGATACAAGAGGTGGAGGATCAGGCGCCTAGTGTCAAGAGGGATGATGATGACATGGACATTGATCCATTGGAGAAAAGATAGAAGGTAGAGACTCTTCCATTTCTTTGTAAATCATTTTTAGGTATATTACATGTAGTCTGGGCTATAGGTTTTCCTTTTCTTTCCTTTTAAACCGTTTTAAAACGTATCTACATTACTTTTTAACGTTGGTTCTTGGATATAAGCTATATATAAATGCTTTTCGCCCATACGCACGTAATCTCATCAGTCTAACACCCATACCCAACCCACAAATCCCCACCGTCCCAAAAACCCTATATCCAGAAAAAGAAGATTACCAGAAACCAGAAAGAATTAATGGACCCATTACAAAAAGCAGTCTACATAGTCACAAACATCTAAACCTCCTTAACTCTGCACTGCCATCCACCAGAACCCTGGTCAAGCAATGGCAAACTGGCACCTAGACACCACCCAAGTTCGTTGCCCTTGATCTTCTTCGCAATCTTGACTTCGCGGTCCAAAGGCATTTCGTACCCAGTGTGCAGGAGCGCAAGCATGAAGCTCAAGTCGAGACAGTATTCAGGCCTGTCCCTAAGTTCTTCCATGGCATCGGGGATAGAGTGGAATACGTCCCATGCCTTTTCACCAGCGCACACCTTAGCGGTAGTCTCGTACATTTCCTTGAGTGTGAACGAATCCGGGAGACCAAGAGGACGAGCGCGGTCATAGAAGTAAGAAAAGATATAGATATCCTCAGTGGCGAATGTGCGCTCTAGAGGTGGCTGATGGATACCATTGAACGAGCATGGGGTGAGCGAGCATTTCTCATCTTTCTTGAGAATTTGTTCTGCGAGGAAACGGCATTGTGTCATAGATGGCTCAGCAGGGCCAGTCATGTTCACCTTGACAATCTCCTTGGTGTCCTTCATTTCAATCTCGACTTCGCGGATCATTCCAGGGATAATGCAAGGGTTTACAATAGGCTTTGCGTTCCATGCCTGGCCAACTTCGGCAATCTTTGCCTGCGCAACAACCTGGTGAATTGCTTTACGGGCCTCCATAAGCCCGTAACCGAGATGAGAATGCTGGTAAAGGTCAAAGTGACGACCGCCAAACTTAAGCTCATATTTGTGGTCTCCAGGAGCGAGATGGGCGGGCATACCACCTCCAATGGAGGGGAAGGTTGGCTCAAAGACAATTTGTGTTGAACCACCGCCAAGATCAAAAATGGCTGCAGTTGGAGTATCTTGAATGGTGCCAATCTTTCCAAGGAGGTAGTTGGTAGTGATCCATGCGTAGACACCTATGGATTATTAGAACTTGATCTGAAAATTTGCGAAATTGAACGTCTGAGGATTTACCTTCGTCCTTTCCTTCCATGATTTCGATACCGCTTCCTGCAACGACTGGGAACGGATACTTTGTTTCAAGCCTGGTTCTAACCGCGTCTAAAATCTTTTGACTTTTTTCGGGGCCCAACAATCGCAGACCGGCGGTAGCCTTGACAGCAACTGGTGAACAGCCTCTAAGCTTTTCAGGAACAGACGCGAGTGCTACATCCATCAATACATCCAGACTCATCGCAGCCTCTTCTGCCTTCTCCTTGAACGATGAAAGACCAGGTTGAATCATCTTAAAATCCTCGTTTTCGAGTTCAGGAGTTTCGCCGCAGTTGTTGAATCGGTATACGTGGACACGCGAGCCGGTAGAGCCAGCATCGATCATGATAGCATATTGTACAATTGGTTTATTTGGTGAACTGGACCTTGTGCATTTTGAAGTCCCGGATGAGGGATCAAGGGCAACCTGTCCATTTCCTCCCGCTGCTGCTCCTCCGTGTGTACCACCGGATGCTAAAAGGAAATCAGCATCTATGTCCCTCCAGCTGACATCAGAGGATTAAACTTACATGGAAGACTTCTGGGAGCTAGCAAAAAGAGTGCCAGGCAGAAGACGACCCCTATGGTCACTGTCTTGATCATTCGACTCGACATTGCAGGAAATCCTAGGGAAGATCCTGAACTTTGATGGCGACCCAGTTTTTCGTGTGGATCCGACGGACGGAGCTGTGATGAGATGCTGGAGGATCTCTGATGAGGGCGTTGGAAGGAGAAGTATGACCAGAGGGAAGGCCTTCTTCTCACGTTAGACATGGAAGAATATATATAAGGAATGCCAACGCGCGATGAAAAAAAAAACGAGTGTTGGGGAGTATTCTGCAGAACGGGGAAGTGTGGGTCAAAGGGACAAATGGCGAAAGCACACGAACAGCAGGTCTGTAAGGGGACAGACCAAGTGAAAAGAACGGTTGGGAACGTTAAATTATCAGAAAAGGGACGAAAGTACTCTTAGCCCAAGCCCGGACCCCTATCTAGAGTAACAAGTAAAACCTAGCTTGATAGCAACGTAGCTCTAATTGACGCTAGCTGCTGCAGGGGTAGAACATTTCTCATTTAGAAGGTTACCCGGCCCGGTGACATACAATACCGACCAAACATGGATAATGAGGCTCTAGCCTAGGAACATGTGCACGCAGGTAGAGTATATTCAGTTACAGTGCACACGGCTAGGGGGATTTAAACGAGAAGGTCTGGAAGCTTCTATCCTTATCTGTGGCGATAAGCTACGTATTTAAGAGATGCCCATGCAACCACTCTGGGCGCATGTGCTTTTGTGGGCTGAGCTTGATGTGAGCTCTCGTAGATTCAACACTGTATTTCGTCTCAATAAACCATCACCATCCCTATCTTTGTCTTCATCATCGTCATCTGCTTCTTTGTCTTTGTTCTTGCTGCGACAATCATCCATCCGTCTGTCTGTTTATTCAAACATCTGTTGGTCAATTCACACATTACACCATGGCAAATACTGAGCGTCCCGTTGAGCTCTATGTCTATGATCTATCTCAAGGTGAGCTCATCAAATATCCAGGTGCACCGCATAATAGAGCTGACCTCGTTATTAGGGATGGCTAGACAGGTATGTTCTTCGCCTGTTCAGTTCAAATGCTGTTAGTACAGTACTAACAGGCACATAGTTCTCTCTCGGACTCCTGGGAACTTTCATAGGTAAGTTCTTCTATGCCGGGAGGATGGATATCCTAACGGGGGAGCTAATTATCAACATTTTACAGATGCCATTTACCATACCAGCATAGTCCTTGGGGGTCGTGAGTACTATTATGGTCTGTCAACCTCCATCCAATGATCTATATGGAACAGCCCACTAAAGCCCATACAGGCCAGGGAATTCAGTTTTCCCATCCCGGGAGGACCCATCACGGAAACCCCATGGAGAAGATTCATCTCGGTGTAACTTCTCTCACGGATGAGATCTTCCTCGAATACCTCGATTCTCTCAAACCAATATACAGCCCTGAAGCCTACGACCTTTTTCAGCACAACTGCAACAACTTTACAAATGACGTTGCACAATTTCTCTGCGGTCGTGGCATTCCCGACCACATCGTCTCGCTTCCGCAGACTGTACTAAATACACCTTTCGGTCAAATGCTAAAGCCGCAATTAGAGCAAGCCATGCGCCCAATTACAACCGCGCCAACCCCACATGCGGCTTATACTCAAGCATCAAGAGACGCAGGCCAGCGCCCAGGGGCCTCTAAAGTTATTACTGCAAATTCACTTGCAGCATTGGAGAAGGCACTATCGTCCGCAGAAGCTTCGTGTGCCGTGGTATTCTTCACATCTTCTACATGCGGACCGTGTAGAAGTATATATCCGCGCTATGAGGAATTGGCCGCCGATGCGGGAAGTAGAGCGAAGCTCATCAAGTGTGATATTGGAGCTGCACCTGATGCAGCATTGAGATATGAAATTAGTAGCACTCCAACATTTGTGACCTTCCTAAAGGGCGAGAAAGTCGAGGAGTGGGTAGGGGCAAGCGAAAGAGATTTGCAGCAACGTGTGGACACTCTCTTGAGAATGGCTTATCCTCGTAAGTGTCTTTTCGCGGTTTATTCTAGAAATAAACTAAACTCTTGGTTTAGCCCACCCGCACACGGATATCAAGCTCCCCATTACATTAAGTACTCCCATGAAGCCGATAACATTCACTAAGGTCCCCCCTCTCGGTAAAGTCACCGAAAAGCTTGGGGATACTGGCAAAAATCCCATTATAAAATCTATCTGTGACTTTATCGCAACTCGGAATAACAGCGGCGCCGTTGAAGCTCATCTTCCAAATCTTTCAAATGTCGCAACCTTCCTCTCAGAATCCTTCGAAGGACTTCCCGCGGATAAACTATTCCCTCTTGTTGATCTCTTTCGTGTTATTCTTTCAGATGTGCGAGTTTCTGGTTGGTTTGCTGAGGAAAAGAGTACGTATATTCCTTCACAGTCTATCACTCGATCTAACCGAACGAAAACTTTAGACACAGCTACCATCAAAACTATGCTGTCTTATGCCAAAACCCAAGATATTCCCTACTCTCTACGCCTAGTCACTCTTCAAGCCTCCTGTAATCTTTTTAGTTCTCCATTATTCGCTGCACACCTCACATCGCCCACTCTTTTGTCAGACCTCGTAAATTTGATCACCACCTCCTTGCTCGATCGCACCCATACTCCATGCCGTGTCGCCGCTTCCTCACTCGTATTCAACTTGGCTACATATGCCCAGAAGCAGCGCTCAGTGTACAATGAGGAAGTCCTCGGAGGAGTGAGCGTAGATATCCTAGCCAGTGTAGTCGAAGCTCTCAAAGCGGAGAAGGACAGTAAAGAGGTAGTTAAGGGTCTTGTGCTAAGTCTTGCACTCATGTGCTACTGCGTCCCGCTTGACGGGGAGGTAAAAGACTTTTTGCAGGCTCTTGAGGCGGGTGCTATCGTCAGGTCAAAGTGTGGAGGAGCGGGATTGGGCGAGAAGGGACTTTGCGAGGAGGTTGCTCGCCTTTTGGAGGCCTAGTCTGGGGGAATAGATGGGTAGCAGTTAGGTTGCATATACATGTAGCATACCAGCCGCAGTGATATCTTTACATCGTGGCCTGTGCTTGTTAGAGCGTTTGTGGTTCGGAATACAATCAGATTTTTGTTTCGTTTTCAATCAGCTACACTCATACCAGCGCTGGTGTTCTCCGGACATGGAAGTATGTGTGCTTTCGCGAGCGCTGTCACGAACATCGTAGTTGAGACAAAGCCTCTGCTGCCGTTGACATTTAAAGTATGGGATAGAACGACGACAGAAAGCCGGAGAGAGAGATACTCAGCATACTCAGCCCCCACTTCTGACCCAGGGCGTGCACGGAATAGGGCTTCTTCAACCACTCACAAATTGTCCTCCGCTGGCAGTGGGACACTTGACTCGCCGACCCGTCATTGCCTAACATCTGCCTTTCCTTCCCAACCACAGTGGCCGTGACCGTGACCGTGACAGTGGTTAGCATCGCCTAGGGTAGAGTAAAGGCTGCTAAGCTGCGCGATAATGTCATCCGATAGCGTGGTTAGGTGGGTGTAGTATACCTCCCAGGCCCGGGGAAGATATTCTTGTTGATGAAAGCAAAGAGCTGTTGCGAGGAAGTATGCAAAAGGAAGGTTGGGGGGTACGTGATGAGCAATAAACCCTATATCCGGCCCCGACCATGGGGGGAGAAGGGGATCAAATAATGAGCGAGAAGCTAAGATAGTTCAATCTGCGGTTGTAGGCCGACCAGAGAGAGCTCTGATCGATACTTTCACACATACCCCACTAGGCCCTCAGGCCCACGGGTGGCCAATAAGATCCAAAAGAAAAAAGAAAGAAAAAATAAATAGGCAATAAATTTACAAAAAGTAATTCTGTGGCCATATACCCTTCGCGGGGGTACCTACCCAATACAGTACTGCAATATAATGGGCTACGTTTCCCGGTATATAATATACACCCCACAGACACTCCCACCCCCGGGATTGAACCCATGACCTACTGATGGTCATGGGGACTCAACCCACTCGGTGTTCGTGTAAGACGAGCTGTCTACCCCTAGACTACACTCGTCCACACAATGTTTAGTGCGCCGGAAGTAATACTTAAGGGAGATGGATAAGAGGTGCTAGGGAAACCTAACCCTGCCATGACAATCTGCCGCGAAGTGTGTGCATTGTGACCCGCACGTGGCTGGCCACCCGGTTGTATATTAGTAGCATTTTGGCAACTTGACCCGGCAGCCAAGCCCATCATCTGCCCTTACTACTCGCCCATTTTGCGGCAGTCAAACTAGAAGGCCCAGGAGTGCAGCCACAGCAACATGGCGCAGCGGAAGCGCGCCGGGCTCATAACCCGGAGGTCCCACGATCGAAACGTGGTGGTGCTAGCATTTTATATTTTTTTGGTGTGTTCTGAGGGTATGGGAAGGAACACACGGTGTGTAGTTTTATGAGGGAGAATTTGAGTGTGTTTAATTGTCGAGACTGTAGGGGGTTTCTTTGGGGGGAGAGGGGGGTCTCGATGTGGGCTATCGAAGTAATGCGACGCAGAACTTCCCCCTAACTTTTTCTGAGCAGTATGAGTGATATTAGGGAAATTTGGTTATAGAGAAGATTATAGTGACGATTTAGTTCTACAGCAAATATCTGTCTGTATATAAATCTCAAACGCAGCCTCTCTTTTCACGGGCAAGCAAAGGCATGGACAATACGTATGAGGCAGAGGCACCTCGAGGCACACGTCTCTAATCGCCTCGAGCAGCCTCGTGAACCACCTTAGCTATAGGCGAACCAGCGCTGTTCCTTGCCCATGTACACGTACACGGTACAGGGACGCCTTCCCACGTATTATCGTACGGCATACGGAACTATCAGCTCCGTACACTCTAACTGTGGACTTATGGGAGCAATAGGTGACGCGACAATCTGTCCTCAATCATGCCGTATAAAGCTAGAAACTCTGGTAGACTTGCCAATACAGCCGTCTATTTTCTCATCCAATGGTGTGATCTTGAGTGTTACAGTCATTGGAAAACAAGATCACAGCACTAACGAATCCCATGAAAAAACACTCTAGAGAATTATGGAACTATGCATCTGTTTCCTTCTATTTTACTCGGGGGCGCATCGAGGGTTACTAACCGGATCCTTTATAAATTTATTTCCATCTTGGGCTTGCATATATGCAGTCCTGTTTTCATGAAATTGTCATCATTGACATATCGAGTGATAGCTTGTGATCCATTGACAGGTCCATTAGCCCTTCCATTAACACATTCCTAAACCTGTACTCTACCTTAGTATGTTCTGGCATAAAGATGCCTGTTCTACGGGAGGGCCGGGCCATTATCATGGCCGTTCTCGTGCCTAATTCCTGGTGCGGTTCTGCTGCTCAACATGGGTTAATAAGCTGTCTTGGCGGTGTGGGTGAGTATATTAGTGATCATCGCGACTTCGTGACTTCACGACTTCGCATGATACCCCACGGCGAGGGGTATCATGGTCCTGGTCCACCTCCTCCTACCACGAGGGCACTGCCCGCGGTCTATAAGTTGCGACGGCGCCCGCGCAGCCCAAAATTTGCACACACACTGATGCTCAACCCCAACGACAACGCGCCTGATATCATGAACTGCGATACCACAACCAGCCCCGAAGAGCTCAACTGGGCGCCTGATATGATGGACTGCGATACCACAACCAGCTCCGAAGAGCCCAACTGGGAAGAGACGTGGGCAGCGCTGGAGACTGGTTCTACGCAGGTGCTAACTAAGAACCTCTCTCTGAGTACACAAGTCGCTATACAAGCCTTCTGGTATTGGTTTAAAAGGTAATGTACATGTCATGCATCCACCATGCGCCCACCGGCCCAATGCGAAGACCGTCTCCATCAGTCTACGGTACAGGGGTTCTACAAAACGCTTCAGATGGTGTACTTTAAATATACACAGATGCAACTTCCAAGAGCGACAAATGATGCCGTAAACACGGTGAGTATATCATCTCCCCAGCGAGTTGATACCTAACTAATACTTCGGAGTATATCACCGACGATCTTACCTCAGAATTTAAGCTTATATTGGAAGCCAAAGACAATGCAACATGCTGCGTCACTGATTTGTACAACCTTTTGTACTATCATTGGTGCCAAGATACAGAAAGTACATATCACGGGCGTTACCGAGCTCAGATGGCCTTATTGATGCAGCTAATTGCGTACACGTCCTCTCGCCCGGGCTCTATTATCGAGTCTCCCTGCTATAAAGGCCAGAGTTAAGTATTGAAATATAAGAATATGAATCTTTCTTTATTAAGAAATGACGGTGAAGGCGGCCTAATTCTGGTCCTTGAAGTGACCACTACGTTTCTCAAAGGGAAGAGAAACAAGCGGGAACCGTAAGTCCACCCCAACGCATTCCGCTCACAGCGTACTGACGTTTTCAAATAAGTGTGACGTACGTTCTTTATGAGAGGCGAGATAATCCAATATTTTGTCCTATCATAAACTTCCTTGCTTTGGCATTCGCGGACAATGCATTTATGGTGGACGGGATAAAGAGACCGGAAGATCTGTATAGTCTCAATATTCCCAACTTCAAAGAAACGTTGAAGATCAGATGGAAGGAGGAAATGATGGAGAAGCCGGTGTTTTGATGACAACAGGGTGATCAGATTTGCCCCACAACGCTGCTGGTGTATTCGGATCTAAATCAATACCTAAAACGACTAGGCGTGCTAGCTGGATATCCACAAAAACTCACCACATACGTATTGCGCAGAGGGGCTGCAAACGCTGTCGATTGTACGACCCCCCCCCCCTCCCGGTGCCAAAGTTGAAGATGAGAGTCTAACAAACCGCCGTGATCATAGGCCCTGAGGTGACGGACGTGCAGAGAAATCAGATCATGGGTCACGCAAGGGCGGACGTCTTTCGGAAGCATTATCTGCACTCAACCGTGAAAGTAGATACACAGAGCGCGTATTTGGGGACTGTCAGCCGCGCCGACCTCATTAGGAATATTGGCTTAATGAGTGCAAATAGAGACCCCCGGGCTCCTGTCAGGCTTAAGCCTGGGTTCAAACTTGACAATCATCCGGAGATCGCCGCTCTCAAAGCTGAGAGAGATCGCATGGGGCGGAGTCTACGCGCAGAATATGGCATGCTCAAGGCGTCCGAATCAGCATTTCCAGCGGGCCATGAGGCATATATAGCTGCTAAGCGAAAGCTCAATGCATGTAAGGTTAGCATAAAACGCGCCGAATTGGAACAGTCAAGAAAGACCTTCTTTGAGAGAGATGATCATGAAGAAATTCAGCATCAACTACGTGGTGCAGAGGCCTCAATGTTCACTTATACCGAGCCTAAGCTATGCCCATTGAGAACTTTGGTCGCTACATATCACAAGGGCGGTAGCGATATCTCATGAGCAGATGCCTTGCGCTCCCTGACTGATATTTGCCTTCAAAAGCCTACTGTCCATCGCAGCGCGGCATGTAAAGCTCCGATGGATAACACGACATCTGGGACTCGTCTATGTCCTTTTTGTGTCTTTGATAAGCAAACACAACAAGCAGATAGAGAGCACGAGTTTCACTCTGTTGGGACACTCAGAAAGCACATCTCCAGAAGGCATGCCGAGCCAACTACATCCACCAAGCCGATCGGGTGTCCTTTCGATCAATGTGTGGACGAGTTAGACGATGGTGAACACCTGAAAAGTCATCTGTCAGTATCTCATGGTCTCCAGTTATATACGTAATAATTTTTAATGTGGGGTGACTCCCGTCTGTTTTCCTTTTTTCTTTTTTGTTACAAAGCCACACTTCCTCTCCATCTTGTCTCTACATATCTATGCCGCCACGGATACTTGATTCCATTTGTTGATTTCCAATTTGTTGCGCGGTCGCATTCACGGTCTCATTTGTTTCAGTTTTCATATCACTCAGGGCATAGGCCAGTTAAAGGTTTCGGCTTTTCCGCTCATTATAGATATTTCATTCTACGTATTGCGCGTTGTTCTATGAATAAACATATCATGCCTCCAAACCAAATCACCATTAACCTCCCTGTCGATCTCATCCCCGGCCTGTAACAAATAATCGTTCGCCAGTTTCTCTTCCAGTCGCACACATGGCAAATGTGGTGGATAGTAATAGGTCTCTGACACAAAAGCAGTCCCCGAGTGTGTTTGTGGAATTGTTTTCTGTGTCTTGTCCGTACAAAGAATACTGCGACGCGTTAACAAAAGCATGGAAATAGGGTTGATAGAGGTGAATACATGTTCCCGCCATTGACCGTAATATCTTTCGGGTCCCCGCCCAGAGTTTTAAGTATTAGATGAAAGTTTACGCCAATGTCATTTTTGCTACCAAATAGTGTAGCCACGTAACCACCATATTTGTGGAGATCCAGGCTCTTGAATCGAACGACGGGTATGAAGAGTTTTGTGGGTCCCATGATGTATCGCTCGTGGAGGCTAAACAGGACTTTCGCGACGGCCTGCTCGGAACAACGTTAACGGTGTGAAGGCAGCAGAGGGAGAGGAGGTAGGGTGTGTACGGAGGACATAAAAACCTCTCTATCCAGAAACTCGAAAGTAGTATACCCAAGGTCCCCACGTGTCTCGAGAGCGTGAACAAGATTGACAGAATTTACTGGAACTGTAATATGGGAACGTTGCAAAATTATGAGCGCACCGTCTTGGTTCAGTGCACTCAACACGGCGTTGGGATCAGCATCAAAATCAAGGGTATCGCCACAAATCGTGCGAATTTTTAAAGCCATGATAAAATGAAGGAACAATGTAAGGGTTGAGGTTGTAACGGAGCCATTTCAACTGTCTGGTGTATGAGTACACACAGGGCCCGGTTACATGCTGAGAGTTATTGTTAGAAGCCAGTTGCACGGTGATATGCAAGTACCGGCAGTGTGGTTAGCTACCAGCTGTTAGAGTAACTACATTCCGGGCGCTAGGAAGGGGATCTATTCATGGGAGCAACGACTGACGAGTCTATGTCTCGCCAGTGACTAGAAGACCGGCCAGAGTGAAGCTCTGATTGTCTGGTGATCCTCTACATCCTCGGAGCATTGTAAGTCCGCTGAAGGGCAGGGACTGTGCTAGGGAAGTCTACAATAAGCCAAAGGTCTACAGCAATGATTAAGCTTACACCTGAGTGGCAGCTCATTTATGCAGGCCCTCGGTTGTGTGACAACCAAGGCTGCAGGTGTTACAAATGCTTTGACTAAGGGTGGTTGCCTTGGATATCGGAAACACTTGCTGACGCTTAGAGAAAAGCGGGGTAGCGGTGGTATTGTTTCCGGCACCGAGGAAAGGCTCCACCGGAACTTAGTAAGGAGTTAGGAGCAGAGAATGAAGGCCTTCGGAGTATAAGTACTCAGGTTTATTCTTGCCCTTCAGTCCTGTTCTCTCCAGTCTTCATCAGAAAGAAAACCAAGTTCTTATCGGTAGCAGAGCCCTTAAAGATTATTGAGTTCTAGCGATAGTATCTTTGAATAATCTGCAACCTGATTGTCTATCTTACACGGCCGTCTCTATTCTATCCGATTCTATTTCTCTTAGAAAGGACCCCCGTTACAAGATCCTCCCTGACCACCTCAGGATCTGGGAGTTTCTCCGACCGATTATAACGTGGGTCTATGGACGAGAGACTATAGTGCCAAGGAATACAACCGAGGCAAGAACGTAGCAGAAGATATTCATAACTATAGACTATGGGGTAGCTCTGATTGATCTGGTAATCAAACTGAATCCTATGACGTAGCATAGAACAAGAATAATATTCATAGAGTAGAATACAGAGGTTGTGTAAACAAATAAGGAAAGAGAGAAAACAGATAAAAGCACGCCCCCTTATATATCCAACCATAGTCCAATGATGACTAATACCTCCGCGTAACAGAAACTGAAAGAACATAGCAGAAATCCTAATTACAAATCCTAATCTCACTGCACAATACCTCCTCTTCTCGTTCCAGTTTATCATCTAACCGAAATACATAGCTGCCGTTACACCCAAGCCCCACTACAAAACTACAACCACCAGATATAAGCGCCAATCGCAATAGCCATATAGCTTGGCCACGCGGCGGAATCGGAGTCGGTTTCATTGGTACGAAGATTTGGAGGTGGGTGAACGATGTGAGAGGTATTCGAACCGATGTCAGAGGTGTTCGAACCAACAGCACCGACACATGACACTACCGTCTCATTTGATGGGGGCCAGAATACACCAGTAGGAATATATTGCCAACAAATTGGTGTGGGATTCGGTGTTGCGCTGGGGGGGGGGGGGCTCTTGTGTCTGTTAATAGGGCAATGTAGCTTTGAGACGTATTCGAGAACAGCTGACCGCTCGCACAATTTGGCTCGGTAAGGTTCGCAAGAGTCTGCGCCGTAATAGTGGAATAAAAAGATGTTGTCCATGACGGGTGATATTCGGTGTATTTCTCAGGTACAGTTAAGGTCGTGGGGCTCCTGGTGGGGGACGGAGATTTGGTAACTGGAGATCAAATGACACTCCAAGCCCGAGCGAGCCAGTCAACTCAATCGCGTTTGAATATATGGTAAAGAAAAGGAGTGCAAGAGTGCAGAGTATGATCTATGCCATGATTGTATGGGTTGAGGAGGACGGTTTGGCGTGTGCAGAATACTATAGTGTTATAGCCAGAAAGGTGTGAGTGGCTTAATGAACTGCAATAGAAGAGGGGCAGGAGCGGGCCCTTAATATACAGACTCAAGTGGTTATACTCGAGGGGCCGCTTTCCTGGCCCATCCCCCGTCTTCATGGCCCTCCCATCTTGGTGGCCCATCCCATATTCATGCCCACCCTCATAGCAATCCGGAGATGGCTAGACCAAATGCTATTTATATGTACACCCAACCCTGTTATTCACCACTTAGCACTCGGTTTTTTTGAGAGGTAGGTAACCACCATAGCTTTTGAGAGTTTCCCTTCAGGCGCCATTTCGCCACCAGCAGTGCTGGAATTCATTCAGTGAACTTCCCTTTACTATGAAGTAAATCCAGACTCATGGCATGTATGGAAGAAGGCATAGGGATGGATGTATCAACTTTGGGAGAAAAATATAATTCCAATTTCTCTAGATTGGTTTGTTGATTCTTTGTAACGGCAATTAGGTAATTCTGGCTAGGTGATAAATTGGAACGAGGGAAGGAGGTATTGTGCAGTGGAGTTAGGATTTGTAATGGGAATTTCTATTATGTTCTTTTGGTTTCTGTTACGCGAAGGTATTAGTCATCGTTGGATTATGGATGGATATATAAGGGGGTGTTGTCTTGTGTTTTTGTCTGTTTTCCTTCTTCTCTTCTTTCCTTACGCAACCTCTGTATTCTACTTGCTCGCTAAGGCTCGCAAAGAACTCCCTGATATCAAACCTCGCTTTAAAAACATCTTATTTCATTCCTCTCGGTTTACCCTGGTATACCATACCAGGCTGAGCCACTTCGTCCCCGATCGTACGGTCGCGTTTGTTGTTCCTAGCGAAAGAAACACCACGAAAACTGGCTTCTAGCGAAGAATTCTCCAGCCTTGACCTCCCGAAAGGAAGGAAAAGAAACCTTTCCGAAACGTCACTCTACGCCGCCAGGAGAACTGGACATTCAATCATGTCGCAGCAAGCTTCGCTCCAGTCCTTTTTCACCCAGTCTTCCCAGCAAGGGACAGCCCCCTCGCGGGTCAGGAACACTCAGGTTCCCGACCCAACCCCATCCGGAGCTCAAGAACAGGAATTCTCCTCGACCTTTGCAACAGAATCCGACTACAACGACCCCTACCAACCGAGAATCGACTACCTCTACCCGAGCATTGTCCCCCAGGATACTCACACCTAGACGGACCTGAACTACATTACCTGGGCCATTAGACATGCCACCAGCCGAATCTGCCCACCCACCGACAGGATTGAAATCCTCGAAGAGCAAACGACCACACTCCGGAGAACGGTGGACACACTGAGGCACCAAATCGAGGCGCAAACAACTATGATCACCAGCATGCACTCGGCGATCCATCTTCTCCTCAACAAACAACCACAACCGCAGCAACCGCAGCAACCACAACAAAACCAACAACAGCAACAGCAGCAACAACAGCGAAAACCACAACAACCGCAGGGACAGAGAATGCCCCCTCCAGCGGTCCCCCAAACAGTTCCCCAAGCAGCGCCTCAGGCAGCTCCTCAGGCCCCCCCACCCGCACCCCCCCAACAAGCCCCTCCCCATGGATGGAAAGCAGGCACCTGGGCCGCCGTGGCCTCGGCACCCGGCCCTGCTCAAGGAAATTTCCAGGTCGTAGAGAGAAGAAAGAAGTCCGCAAAGCCAAAAGCGGACCCTCTCTTCAAGCCAGAATATACCAAAATCAACAGAGAAATCATTGTTGAAACCAC